CTGTGCATCTGTGGTAGGTGAAGGTTGGCGCATGTTTGCCCTCGCTGCCCATCTGCCGGCAGGTGAATAGATCTTTCCTGTTCCAACAGGCTTTGGGGAACCGGCTGCTTTTAATGAAAGGGATAGTGCTGTTCTGATTTTATTGTGATTATTTGTGTGGTTTTTCATAGATTTTATATATGTATATAGTTTTAATCTATCAGTGTTCATTTTTTTAAAAAATGATGGGTTTCTCCCTATGTATTTAGTGGTTCTACTTTTTATCTGTAAGCCACCATGAGTCCCATCAGGGAAAAAGGCAGGGTGTAAATAAATGCAATAATCAAGGCCAGCATGACCCATGGTCACAAATGATGGGATTTGTACTCCCAAGCATCTGGAGAGCTGGAGAGCCCCAGTATGGGCCTAAGACTGCCCATACTATTTTGCTTGCAGCAAAAAACAGAGGCTACCCCCTCCTTGTCATCGAGCTGTTTAATCCACACCCAGGTCAAAACATATTTTAGAATTCAGTTTCATTCTTTCAATAAACTGTTAAATAATTTGATCTGCAAATGATGCCTAGGCAATTGTTTCAACAGCGCAAGCATTTCCTCTTTCCAGGGGGAAAGATTTCCCCTTTTCTCTCCCTGCACAGTGTTCTTCAGGTTCTCCTAACCTTCCAGAGCAGAGTTGGGGGAGGAGAGAGGGGGAAAGCCACATTGCACTGACAGGAGCCCTTGAGCTGGCTTTCACTAGCAGAAAAGGGTACTTAATAGTTAATAATAACCAGTGCTTTTTTCTGGGGGGACGCAGGGGTACACATACCCCTAAACATTTTGTGAATCTTTGTACTTTTGTCCATTTACTGTATTTATTTTTCCCGATGTGAACTATAAAATGGTGATTTTCTTGAGTCAAAGTGAGAGTACCCCTAAACATTTTTTTTTAAGAAAAAAGCACTTATAATAACAAGAATAATTTTATTATTTATACGCAGCCCATCTGACTGGGTTGCCCCAGCCACTCTTGGCAGCTCCCAACAGGATATTCAAAGCACAATAAAACCTCAAACATTGAACACTCCCCTCTAAAGGGCTGCCGTCAGATGTCTCCTAAAAGTCATATAGTTGAATCCAGCTCTGTGTTATGTAAATAGATATATAATTTATCATTACTATTCAATATTTATTTATATCGCGCCTTTTCCCTTGCCAGGGACTTAAGGCAGCTTACCAATAAAATAAGAACAGCTAAAAACATAGAAGAAAAAGCAACCATTAAAAAACAAGTAGAATTAAAACGATATAAATATATAAAATATTGATTAAAAACATACATATATAATTACAATAAAAAATAGCACTATCTAATTTATGTTAAAAAGAGGACAGTGAAATCACTAATAGAGCATTTGGTAGAAACTGAGCTGCAGTGGAATGGAAACAGTGCGATGAATATGGATCGGAATGGAAACTGCTGCCTTCTTACATCCCTAGTTCTGTCCTTCCATTATAGACAGATGCAAGAAGTGTCAGCAGTGTTCTAGAACATTGTGCTGCTTCCCTTCTATCCCTTCAATCAAGGGGAACGGAGAGGAAGGAACCCCAGGAAATGGAACAAAAACCATGCACACCTCAAATAATAGTAGCATGCACTTCTTGGCAGCATTGAGGGCTGCAACCACCACCAGGCAGCAAGCATTATTTGTCTTCATGTGCTCATAGCAGCAGGAGGCTTCTCCCACATAGGACAGAAAATTCTCTTCAGCCACCCTTCACAAATGGGTTAACTATGGGAGAGCTAAAGGGCGTTTCCAAGTGAGAACTAAAAGTGCTTTACTGCAGCCAGTATGTACCCTTTTTTTGTATTTCTCTTTTTTTAAAAAAATAATATTTATTGATTTTCCAACCATTTGAACACAATAAAACAGAAAAAACAAAAAAGAAGAAAAAGCAAAGAAAAAAAGAGAAAAAACATAAGATTAACAAAACAAGACACAAACCATTTAAAACACAAAACAATTTCAATATCTTAACTTTCATTCCCTTATTTCCACGACCTCCTCATGCCTCCCTTTTTGTATTCCACTTCTATTAATTGTTTCAACAATTCCTTTCCATCTTCCTCTGTTTTCTATCCTATAATTATCTTAACATATTCTAATCTTATTTTTCCCTTTAATACTCTATTTCTATTTATACTTAATTCCTTATAACATTTCTACTAAAGCCATATAACTTCATTCCAACATTTTTCTAACATTCATTATTTTTACAATATTTCTATACATAGTCTTAAACTTTTTCCAGTTTTCTTCCACCGACTCTTCTCCTGGGTCTCGGATTTCTGCCAGTCGTTTCCGCCAATTCCATATAGTCCATCAAGTTCATCTGCCATTCTTCCCGGATAGAAAAATCTTGTGTCTTCCAGTACTTCACAATGAGTATTCTTGCTGCTATTGTTGCATACATGAGACAAATTCTATCCTTCTTTAACACCAATTGACCGACCATGCCCAGGAGAAAGGCCTCTGGTTTCTTCAAAAGGGTATATTTAAATACCTTTTTCATTTCGTTATGAATCATCTCCCAGAGTGTCTTAATCCTTGGGCATGTCCACCAAAGGTGAACTGTAATCCTCAAATTCGTCTGTTTTTCCTTAAATTCAGTCATAGCAAGCGTCAACTTATGTTCATCAAATTGCCTCTGTAGGGCTGGGGCTCTCTTTCTCTTTCTCTCCAGTTGTGTTTCTGTACCTTCAACAGCAACAGCTTTTTCCTTGACTTCCTCCACAGCTTGCCATATCAAAATAGGTTCTTGTATCAATTTCTGGGTGGTTTCTGTATTGGTATTGTCCATACTCCCTGCATTCAAGTAAACCTCAACAATTGAAACATCCACCTTCGCATTTATCATGTCCATTTTCCTGTGAAGTTGACCCAGTGAGTCATTTATCTTATATAATGCCGCCACCAAAGCCTCTTCTGTCGACATTCCTCTTAGTTTCAAATATACTAGTACAGAGACAGCAACAAAAAGAACAGGAGGGCTTAATAATAGACCTCTCCTGGATTGTTACCAAGTCCTCCCAGACCTTAATGTTTTATCAACAGTTGACTGGTCTGTTTTTCCTCTTCCATTTACCATAACATTTGAAAGATTCAAGGTCAGTCCCAGAGTCTCATGGTTTTTAACTTGCAGCTGGAAATTCCCCTAGTCCAACTCTTGTAAATCAACCAGTTTCAAAGGCTTCCACTAGGGGGAAACAGTTTCTATTTGTAACAGTCAATAGTATCCTCTTTTAAACAATCCAAAATTAGTTTCAAATTAGTTTCAATTTTCAGTTACTTTTACTCCTTTTTAAAGCAGCCGGAAACAGTAGAAACAATGTATTTCTCTTATTTAGCTAGCTGTCAATGAACATTCTAAACGCTGTCAATGAACATTCCAAAAGACGTCAGTCCTGCTAGCAGCCCGTTTCCAGGGTCAGAGCGGCGGTGTTTTAAATCTCTTCGCTCTCTCCCACAGGCATACTCAATCCGCAACTTCCCCCTCTTTTCTCCTGCCTCCAAGAGGGGGTTTAATGTTCTTTACCGATGGAAATTTAATCTTTTACAAAAGGCTTTCCAGGACTCTAGCTTGCAACTTCATTGCCTCAGTCTATTTACAAAAGGGGGAGGCGGACTTCCTGTTTTGAACCTCCCCGTTACGGTACCAAATTAAACATTTAGAAATCCAATTCTTCCGCTTCAGCTCTACTCATGGGTAATTACTTTAAAGTCAAATTGTCCACAGGAAAAGGTCAGCGCTCTCCGGCAACAGCTATGCGGCTTCGCTCCGTGGAAGAAGCAGACAATTCGATGCACTGCGCCGCTCACCCCACGTCGCTCCGGAGCCCCAAAAACCGGGGTTCCCCACGAGTGGGGGAGGCGCAAAAGGTGTCCGCCGAATCCCACGTTCACAGGCTTCCCCCACCTGTGATTTTAACGGGTCTCCGCCTTCGCCGTGGCGGCCAGACCCAGATTTCCACGGAGCAGATTCCTCCCGGTCAGAGGAATTCTGCCATTACCGGAGGCGCCTCCCCGGAAGTCCTTTTTTGTATTTCTCAGCCTGTATTTTTAAGCATTGGTATGCAACATATGATTAATCCCGAGTGTCTGAAAAAAATTAAGGGGCACAGCTATTTCCACTTACTATTAGTTACAGCAGAAGTAAATTGCTTTTAATTTTTATATACCTCATGTTCACTGCATATCCTTAATTCTTATGGGAGGGACTTCTTGTCATTTAACTCAATGAATTAGTAGTTGATTTTCCATTATATGTGGAGCTCTTATGTCTGCATAAACTCACTATAAATCTCCCCTTTTGGACATTATTTCAGGAATGTAGTCATTATAAGTCAGTTGATGTATTTCAGTTTACAAATAGCTGTTCTCATTCAACCTGTGTGTGATGCTAGGTGAGCCTTTTATAGATACAGACAGAGATTATGTGAAAGGCGTATCAAAGTTGCTGTTGGTTATGATGAAGCCAACAGTTCTGAATTAATTCATTTGAAGCCCTACCTGGAAACGTAGCAGTCAAGACTTTGCAAGGATGGCTGGCTATGACCCTGCAGGTAAAAGTGAGCCACTGACAGAGAAAATATTACCTTAACTTATATTATGCAATAGTTTTATGTGTCCATAAGAGAGATTACATGGGTAAGTATGATACACTATGCATTTCAGTATAAGGAAAGACCAGCTAAGCTTATCAGAGGAAGCAACACATAAGGTTCATCTGAGAAGGAGAGGGATCTCCTCTTACCTGTATGGATATTTTTCAGTAAAGCCAATGTAGGCAGCAAAAGAGAGAACAAGGAACAAGAAGCCTATGAGAAGCAGCCTGGTTCCCCTAGGACACCACCTCCTGATTGATCTCATGGCTTCACACAAGACATCCTAGGAAGTCTCTGCCTTCTTTGCCACAGGTACTTTGCAGACTGACGAAAGCTACAGATCTGCTCCTCTGATATCCAGTGAACAGGGAAGGCAAGGCACACACTCCATTCAGCTGCTCAAGGGCAGCTCAGCCTCATTCTTCTGCCAAAAGGGCAGAGAAGGGTTACTTCCTCATGTCTGGCTTTGTGCTCTTGTGGGCAGAATTTGCAAGCAGAGAAACACCCACAAGTCAAACAGGTGGGTTTCACACATTTCCTTAGCCCCAAAACAGTGCTCTTTGATTATCATCTTGAAAAAGGCTTGTTTGCTACAGGTAAATATTACCTGAACAGATGAAATGTGAGCAGATGGAGAAAGGAACAGGGCTCTGTTCCCTTTAAAAAATTAAAAAGAGGACATTTAGGCAGGTGTGGCTTTATCTTATTCCTGCAAAACAAGCTGCACCTGCCGAAATTCCCTTTCTGAAACAGCTACCTGAAGACAACACAGGCATTCTGTCTTCTTTTCCTGTTAGTTTCTCGCTCGGTCTCTGTGTAGGAAGAAGTAGCTGTGTTCACAAGGAAGGGGAACTACAGTAAGGCTATAATCCTGTACTGAAGTTACTTGGCAGTAAGCCCCACTGAACTCAGTGGGACTTCCTTCTCTAATCAACATGCATAGGTTTAGGCTGCATCAGATCTAAGATGTAACAATTCTTGAGGGTTTGTAAAGAAATGGGCATTTTCATTAAGGAATTTCATTCATTTAGGGAGAGGGGGACCAGATGGACAGGGGGACCCTCTACAGCAGATTGGGGATGGGGAGGCTGCAGTGGAGATGAGAGGAAGGGGAATTAACAATGCAGAAGTCCACTCACACAGAATCTTTCTTTATTATACAGTCATACCTCAGGTTACATATGCTTCAGGTTGAGTGTTTTCGGGTTGCGCTCTGCGGCGACCCGGAAGTAGTGGAACGCGTTACTTCTGGGTTTTGCCGCTCGCGCATGCACAGATGCTCAAAATGACGTGTGCAGAAGTGGCGAATTGCAACACGTGCAGTCGCGTGTTATGTTCGCTTCAGGATGCGAACGGGGCTCCGGAACGGATCCCGTTTGCATCCAGAAGTACCACTGTACTAACATGATGAGCTGCTTGTGCGTAAAATCGTATCCCCTCAGAGTTTGTTCAAGTCCACAAACCTCTGTCTGTGACGGAGCCCCTCAGACATGGCTGCTCTAGTCACTAGCAGATTCCGACAGTGGTTGCTTTCGTAATCGCTTCCAACATAAAAGCTCCTTAACGGAAACACGTCTTCTGGAATCTCTGCGTGACAGTTTCCGGCGAGGAGTGGGTGTTCTTACAGGAGGTCCTGAAACCTCCCCACTGTTTTCGCTGGAAGTGTCTCTGAGCCATCCCTCCAGCTCAGCTCCTCTCCCCTGCTGGTTCCTTCTTCAGCTGCTGCGTCTCTCCCAACCTGTGTGAGCCCTTTCACCTCCCTGTTGGTTCCCTCTTCAGCTGCTGCGTCTCTCCCAACCTGTGTGAGCCCTTTCACCTCCCTTCCGTCCGATGGCAGTTCCCTGACATCCACCTCCCCTCCAGGGCCCCCTTCACCCCCTCTCGCCCGGGCGGTGAGGAGGCAAAACCCCGGAATGAACTTCCTTCATCTTCCGATGTCTCGAACACTTCTCTCAACCTGTTGCGGTTCCTGGTCTCGAAGTACACCTCCTCCTCAGAGTCCATCTCCCTTCCCCTTCCGAGTCCGGGAATCCTTCCAACTCCTCCCCTTCATCAGTGGTCCCAAAGTATTCCCTCCGGAACCTCTCCACAGGCTGAGGTTTCCTTGGGAACCTTTGATGGAACGTTTCTATCAATACCTCGTCATTGATATCTTCAGCCATTACCCAAGTGTTTTCTGACTCCGGTTCTCCTTCCCACGCTACCAAATACTCCACCTGATCCCCCTTCCACCTGGCGTCGAGGATTTCTGCCACATGGCTGCTGCATTCTCTTTCTTCTACGACCGGTCCCCGAGTGGCCAGCCCTTCTCGTCCCCTTTCGTACGGTGACAGTAACGACCTGTGAAATACTGGGTGCAGTTTCATGTGGTTGGGTAACCGGAGCCTGAAAGCCACTGGGTTGACCTGTTGAATGACCTCAAAGGGACCCAACCTCCTGGGTCTTAATTTCTTACAACCTCCTTTGAACGGCAACCCTTGGGTTGACAGCCACACCCTATCTCCCACCCTTATGGTTTCACCTTCCCTTCGGTTCTTGTCTGCCTGCCTCTTGTATTCTTCCTTCGCCCTTTCTAAGTTGAGTTGGAGCTGACGATGGATTGCTTCCATTTCTTCCACAAAATGCTCGGCTGCCGGGACGCTCCATCTCTCCCCTCTCCCCTGGGAAAGCCCTGGGATGACACCCATAATTAGCCAAGAAGGGGCTCATCCCTGTGGACACATTCTCGGCATTGTTGTAGGCAAATTCCGCCAGCGCCAACTTTTCTACCCAGTCATTCTCTCTGTCATTGACATAACACCTCAGGTATTGCTGGAGGACACCGTTTGCTCTTTCCGCCTGCCCGTTGGTTTCAGGGTGCCGGGCAGTCGAAAAATTGACCTCCACCTGCAGTAAGCTCATGAGCTTCCTCCAGAACCTGGAAGTAAATTGTTTTCCTCGGTCTGAGACCACCCTCAATGGCACCCCGTGCAACCTAAAAATGTTTTCTACAAATAACTTCGCTGTCTCTTCCGCCGTGACTGCATGCGAGCAAGCTACAAAGTGGCACATCTTTGTTAGTAGGTCTACCACCACCATGATGGCTGTTTTCCTTTGGACTTCGGCAGATCAGTCATAAAATCTATCGACACTGCCTCCCAAGGTCGTTCTGGGGTTGGTAAGGGTTCTAACAGCCCCGCCGGCGCCCGCCTTTCCCTTTGGCTCGCTGGCATTGCTCGCACCCTCTTACATACTCACGTACATCTTCCCTCACCTTAGGCCACCAAAATTCCCTGGTGACCAACCACATGGTTTTGTGTTGTCCAAAATGCCCCGCCGTAGGGCTGTCGTGCAACTGCTTGAGTACCCTCCCCTTAACTCTCCTTCAGGGATATACAGTGCCCCTTTGTAATACAAAGCTCCATTTCTTTCCTCGAAACCCCTGGTTCCTCTCCATCACCCCTAAGACCTCTGAGCTTATTCTGGGCGTATTCATCATTCTCTGTTTCCTCTACCAGTTCTCTTTGTCCCACCAATGCCGCCCCACACACCCAGCGGTCTTCTGGAATGACATGTCTCTCTTCGGGTGCCCCTCCCTCCAAATATTCAGGTTTGCGTGAGAGAGCGTCCGCCCTAATGTTCTCTGGGCCTGGCACGTAACTAATCTCAAAGTTAAATTTGGAGAACTCCTGGGCCCATCTCACTTGCCGTTGGTTGAGCACTCGTGCCGTCCTCCAATACTCTAGGTTCTTGTGGTCAGTGCACACTTGCACCTTATGTTGTGCGCCAATTAGCAGGTGCCTCCATCTCCGGAACGCCTCATGAATGGCTAGTAGTTCTCGGTCATACACCGTGTAGTTCCTCTCGGATTTGTTCAGCTTTCGCGAAAAAAGGCACACGGTCTCCACTCTGACCCCTTCTTGCCTGGCTGCAGAAGCACCGCCCCAATCGCTCTGTCTGATGCGTCAGTTTCCACTCTCATCGGTTTTTGTAAATCCACATGCAGGAGTTGTTGTTCCGAGGCGAAGGCCCTTTTAGTTCCTCAAATGCTCGCTCCGCCTCCTCAGTCCACACGAACTTCTTCTTACTGCTGAGACAGTCCGTAATGGGCGCCGTCAGGTGGGCAAAGTTTCGGATGAACTTACGATAGAAGTTCCCAAATCCTAGGAACCTCTGCACATCCTTCTTTGTTTTGGGTGTTTTCCATTCCAGCACCGCCTGGACCTTGCCGGGATCCATGGCCAATCCCTTGTCTGACAGGCGATACCCCAGGAATTCCACCTCCTTGGTATGAAACTGACACTTCTCCAGTTTCACCCACAGCTGGGTGGCTTGCAGCCTGCTCAACACTTCTCTGACGTCTCTCACATGCTGCTCCTCATTCTCAGAATACACCAACACGTCGTCTAAAAAGGCCACACAATTCTTGTAAAGCAAAGGCCCCAGGACGTGGTTCATAAACGATTGAAATGTTGCGGAGCCTGCTTGTAGGCCGAAGGGCATAACCAAATATTCAAATGCCCCTAAAGGGGTGAACATAGTGGTTTTCCATTCATCCCCCTTCCTTATTCGTACCAGGTTGTACGCCCCCCTTAGGTCCAGCTTTGTGAAAATCTTTCCCTTCCGCACCCTTGTCAAAATGTCGTCAATCCTGGGCATAGGGAAGGCTACTGGTTCTGACACTGCATTTAAGGCCCTGAAGTCACACACCAGCCTCGGCTTGTTCGTGTTTTTCTTATCCACAAAAACACTGGGCTGCCCCCACCGCGCTGGACTCTCTGATGAACCCTCTCTTCAGGTTCTTGTCAATGAACTCTCTTAACTCCTGCATCTCTCTGTCTGACATGGCGTACAGCTTGCCTACAGGGAGCTGTGCTCCAGGGAGTAAGTTGATTTGACAGTCAAAGGGTCTATGCGGGGTAGTTGGTCAGCTTCCCTTTCGCTGAAGACGTCACGGAGATCTGCATATTGTCGTGGTACCTTCACGTTCTCTGTTACTTCAGTCCCTGCTAGGGTGGCTTGGACCCCTGCCAAACCCTTTCCCTCTTTGCAGTGTTCTAAGCAATGTGCTGAACCAAAAGAAACCACTCTCTGATGCCAGCCCACCAGCGGATCATGTAACGCTAGCCAGCTCATCCCCAATATAATGGGAGCTCCTCCCAAGGTGGCCACATTAAAAGCTATCAGTTCGGTGTGCCTTGCTACCTTCATTATCATTGGGACGGTCTGCAAGCTGACTTCTCCACCCAACAGCTCCCTGCCATCGATCGTGGTCACCTGCAGGGGCTGCTTAAAGGGATTGTCTGTATCTGGTGTTCAGCTGCAAACTCTTTGCTCATGAAATTGCAGGAGCTGCCTGAGTCCAACAGCGCCTTTATCTTTAGAGGGTGTCCGTTTGGCAGCTCTAGCGTCACTTCTATCACTAGGGCGGGTTTAGGAGGTTCTGGCGTGGGCACTCTCACTGCTCTTTGGCCTGGCTGCTGTGCCCTGACAGTGGCAGCCAGGCGTTGGCTTTTACTTGCTCCGGTATTTTTCCTCTCTTCCATCCACAGCTCCTACCATCCCTTGCCATTCTTTCCTCTGGGGGCAGACTCTGGCAAAGTGACCTGGCTGTTGGCAGAGATAGCATTTCCGGGCGCCTTTTCCCTCCTTCTTTGCCCCCTCACTGGGCTTTGAAACCGCGCGCGCGCGCTGTTCCGATTTCCATCGGCTCTGCCGGTGGGAAAGTTGGCTCTGGAATGTCTGGAATGCGGAACTCCTTCCAACGTTCCCCTTTCCCTTCCCGCCTCTCCAATGCTCTCGCCTCCTGGCGCGCCCCTATGGCCAGCGCTGATTTGGTCAGCTGGTCCATAGACTCCGCCCTGGGCGCCCGGGAAAGTTCGTCTTTCACAGCCGAAGAAAGCCCTTCTTCAAAGAGCATTTGAATGGGTTCCGCCGATAAGTCCCACCCCAATCTGTGAACAAGCATGGTGAACTCAGTCCAGTACTCACGGACAGATCGGCTCCCTGTTTGCAACCCATTAACTGTCTGCGCACCACTCCCTTTTCAATATCGCTGGAAAACATCAGATCCATGGCGCGAAAGAACTTCATCGTGTCCTTTAAGACGTCACTATTCGCTGCCATCAGGGGTCTAACCCAGTCTCTCGCCCCTTTTCAAGATGCTCAATCACGAAAGCCACTCGTGATTCCTCGTCAGGGAATTCATCAAACTGCAGATTGAGGGCATATTGCATTTCTGTCCGAAAACCATGATAGTTTTTGGGCTCCCCCCCAAACTTCTGCACCAATCCTGGTACCTTTCTGGGGATCTGGGTGGCTTTAGCCCTTTGGTCTGCATCCTGAGCCCTCCTCTCCTCAAGCCTCGCCGTCTGCATCGCTAGCTGGACCTCCAACATCTGGTACCTTTCTTCCAGGCTTGGACCCGCTCCAGCTCCTGCTTCTCCGGTTCCGGCTGGGTTGCTCATGATGCCTTCTCCTGCACAAGCTGCTTTCAAAGACTGTCGGAATGCTGTGATGGGATGATGAGCTGCTTGTGCGTAAAATCGTATCCCCTCAGAGTTTGTTCAAGTCCACAAACCTCTGTCTGTGACGGAGCCCTCAGACATGGCTACTCTAGTCACTAGCAGATTCCGACAGTGGTTGCTTTCGTAATCGCTTCCAACATAAAAGCTCCTTAACGGAAACACGTCTTCTGGAATCTCTGCGTGACAGTTTCCGGCGAGGAGTGGGTGTTCTTACAGGAGGTCCTGAAACCTCCCCACTGTTTTCGCTGGAAGTGTCTCTGAGCCATCCCTCCAGCTCAGCTCCTCTCCCCTGCTGGTTCCTTCTTCAGCTGCTGCGTCTCTCCCAACCTGTGTGAGCCCTTTCACCTCCCTGTTGGTTCCCTCTTCAGCTGCTGCGTCTCTCCCAACCTGTGTGAGCCCTTTCACCTCCCTTCCGTCCGATGGCACTATTATGTGGCACATTAAGTTTATCCATATTTACTGACCTTCTTTCTCATTTGGATGGGTAAATACATTAGGTTTGTGATGGTGTCACAGATTTTACTTAGGATCTCTGTTGGATATTCTTTCAACACCAGGATATTAAAGTTAGCAAGTCCTCTTAGAAAACTATAGTTTGTGGTTGAAAGTATGAGCAGTAGTTCTAAACTGCAGACATTGAAAGGATTAAGGATGTTGTTCTTGCAGTTCAATAATTATTTCAATGTATGTCATAAATTATCTTCCTTAAATTATTTTCTTAGTTCTGTGAAACCATTATTTCCATAAATAAAGATTTCCTAATAATTCTTCCTCCTCCATGTTTGCATTATAAAACAATGCAGTAAGAGGTGATTAAACCTCAGGCTATTTTTTTGCTTGTATTTATTATACAAAGTGTTAAACATGGTTGATATGCATGGCTTATAGACTTATCAAAATGTGAGCAATGCCAGAGTGTATTGTTTAGACTTATCAAAACATTAATTTGGTCCAGTATTTAAAATCTTTTCGGGTAAAATCTGATTTTTAAATGGGCCAGCATAGCTGCTTCATAGTGTTTTCTAATTCATGGGAAAGCTATTCCTTTCTCCTTCATTCTGTCTTCAAAGTTACTCTGGGTCTTTTCTTTTGCCGGATGAAACCTATATCTTTTGCCAAGTATCAAAAATTTCGGGTGAACTCCTAATGGTAAATTTAAAAAAATACAATGGTATTTTTGACAATACTATCATTTTAAAGGCAGCGATTTCCCCCAACTGTTATTTATTTGTGACCAGTGTTTTTATTCATTTTTGTCTTTGTTTTACTTCAGATAATTTGTCTATATTTAAAAGATTTAATGCACACATTTATTTATTAACAATGTATGTATATTACCCAACAGCTAATATACAGGTGAATAATAAAGTTTAAAATGCATAAATATTTTTTAAAAGCAACAAAACAGACCTTAAACTTTATTATGAATCAGCAGCTTTTTGCTGGTTGAAATAATGGCTGCTTCTTGAAAACACAGACATCTTGGATTTAGAAGGTTTTAATAATGTATTTGGATGGCATGCATATTTATGGTATGACAAGGTCAAAGCACATAAAGCATTCAAAAACCATATTGTCAGGAAAGCATTGTTTAATGTCTGGATAAGATATAAGGACTTACTTGAAAATAAAACCCCAAGGTGGTTGTCACCGATGGAAGCGAAAGCACTGAAAAAGCTCAATATGGAGGCCAAATGGCCGAAATATTGGGAAATTCTGGAACAAGAGGGAGACAGATTGAAACTGCAGAGTTTTGAGAAACTAAAAAATAAAATGTGAGATTGGCTTCATTATTATCAGATAATGGAGGCATATAATTCGGACAAGAAAATTGGCTTCCAGGTGGAAAAATCAAAATTAGAAACAGAACTGTTAGAACCCAAAACTAAGACTTTATCAAAGATGTATAACTTGCTGTTGAAATGGAATACTCAGGATGAAACGGTGAAATCTGCTATGATTAAATGGGCACAAGACGTTGGACATAACATAATGATGGCTGACTGGGAACAGTTATGGACCACAGGTATGAAGTTTACGGCATGCAATGCCTTAAGAGAGAATATTATGAAAATGATATACAGGTGGAAAATGACACCAGTCAAGCTTGCAAAAATCTATCATTTGCCCGATAATGAATGTTGGAAATGTAAAGAAACTGAAGGTACATTCTTTCACCTTTGGTGGACGTGCCCAAGGATTAAGGCTTTCTGGGAGATGATCTATAATGAATTGAAAAAGGTATTTAAATATACCTTCCTGAAGAAACCAGAGGCCTTTCTCCTGGGCATAGTCGGCCAATCGGTGTCAAAGAAGGATAGAACTTTCTTTATGTATGCCACAACAGCAGCAAGAATACTTATTGCAAAGTACTGGAAGACACAAGATCTACCCACCCTGGAAGAATGGCAGATGAAGGTGATGGACTATATGGAATTGGCGGAAATGACTGGCAGAATCCGAGACCAGGGAGAAGAGTCGGTGGAAGAAGATTGGAAAAAGTTTAAAGACTATTTACAGAAATATTGTAAAATTAATGAATGTTAGAATGATGTTGGATAGAAATTAAGTGGTTTTTAGCTGTAATACTATAAGGGAATATGAAAAATGGATTATGAATAGGTAAAAATTTAATGTTACAATATTTTAAGATTAAAGACTAGGATAAACGAAGAGGGGAAGGATTTGCTGAACTAACAAACTGAACTGGAATGCAAAAAAGGGAGGCACGAGGAGGTCCGGGAAACAAGCTAATGAAAAATAAGTAATGGAAAGATTGAGTTGTTTTTAACTATTTTTATTTTGTATTTTTCTTTTTTCTTTTTTCATTTTGTAATATCTTGAAAATTTTAATAAATATCTTTAAAAAAAATAATAAAAGCAACAAAACAAGCAATAAAACATTAATCGATAAAACATCAACAGCAAACCATGTAAAATAGCATAAAAAAGAGGTATGGCAGATTGGACTATTGGAAATCTTGACAAATAAATTGAGACTTGCATGAGAATAAATTTAAAAAGGAAATTTCACTGCAACTTGCATTGATTTATGAGTACAGCTGAACATGGCAATCTTCTGGCACCAGCTCTTTGTATTGTATAATTGATGTAACTCTCCTAACTCCCCTTCTTTGGTGAAGGAGGCTCACCTATGGAAAAAAGGGCAAGTTTTATTTTATATAATCCTTTTGTCATGTCTTATACTAAAAGGTATGAATTATACCACTAGTTGTATGAATTAAAGTTTAATTATTTTTATTACTTCAATCCATCTCAAAGCATTATTTAATCTTTTGCAGCACAGTTGGGTTTTGTTTCTTCCTTTTTATGTTTCATGATGTAGTATATATTATTTGTAGTTTGTTTAGCTTGCTGCATTCTTTTATGATTTTGTATGTTATATTGGCATAACACCTAAACAGTTACAGTATTATGTATGCTAATATTGTGGAAATTCCAACTTTGGTGTTTTATAGCCTCTATTTTGGAAATGTGATATTTCTTCTTATTGTTAAAAATATTATATATATATATATATATATATATATATATATATATATATATGATAGCATAGAAAAGCACTAGAGTATCTTGAGGATTTAAAATCCCAGGAAATAAAAAGGACCACAATGTGGGTGCCAGGCAAGTACCTCTAGCGAGGGCATTCCATAACCAGGGCATGACCACCGAAAGGGTATCATATTAGATGCTGTAAGAAAATAACACTGTGAAATCTAAAAATACTGACAGGGTGAAGATTTAGGCCGTGTTCCTATGAATAGAGATAATGGAGGAAGCACTAGACTCCCAAGAAGCAGCACAGGACATTGGCCTTCCTTGCCAACCTCTTATTCAGTCCAATCCTAAACATGTTTATTCAGAAGTAGCACTGAACTCAGTGATTGGAAGCTGCAATGCCTAGCTTAAGAGAGACCACAGACACTCACATGAATTGGCGGGGGGGGGGGGGGGCTGAATACAGACTTTAGCAGGGATAGTCAATGTGTTGCTGCCCTCTAGCTCCTATAGTCCCTGATGACTGGCCATGCTGGCTGGGGGTGATGGGAGCTCAGCAACTTCTGGAGGGCACCATATTGGCTACCACTGCTTTAAGGTATTAGATGGGGGGTTATTTTCATTGTATTATTGACAGGGGTGTAAGGGGAGGGGTAGTACTTCTGGTGAGAGATAAGTTGTGCTCCTTCTGGGGGAGTTAGTCCATCTTGGTCCCCACCCTGCACTCAGCTCTCACCTGTGGCTCCTAGAATAAGGTTACCAGACACCCCCGTTTCCCGGGGACAGTCCCCAGATCTAAACATCAGTCCCCATACAAAATCCATTGAAGTTGAAAAGTGTCCCTGGATTCATTGAAAAAAATCTAGTAACCTTATCCTAGAAGCTGTCAACATGCTACAGCAGCCACACTCTGGGAATGGCTTCGACTGGCCAGCTAAACTGAGTGAGGCTAGCTGATGGGTCTCAAACCCTTGGTGAGTTTAAGGACCCTCCAGGTGAAGACAGGCTGAAGCAGATTGAGTGGATGAAACCAAGAAATGGTCAAGAAGGTGGTTTCTGCATGTGCTGTAGAGGGAAGCGAGGGACAGATGGGGCTCATCAGCCTGGGAAAATAGTAGCCTATCTAGGAGAAGGAAAACTCTGGTCCTAACCTCTGCTGCCTTGCAGTTTATCATCAGGAGAAGAAAAGGCTAAGGAGTCAACCCTACACAAATCCAGCCCCTAATGTGGCTGGATGGCACCTTGTACGCCTCCTTCCAGCAACTCCTGCAGCCAAACTAGTGCCAAATGTATTGCTCTGCTTTCCTTTGGACCACATCAGCAAGGCTGAGAGGGGAACCATGTCATCTGGGCAGCCCAGGATCTCCATCCACACACTGCCCAGGCTTGTGCCCTGGGGAGGTCACTTCACCCTTGGAGGTGCACTCCATTGTCTCTCAAGATAGATGGATGCTAACCACCATTATTGACATATGTTGTATCCACAATGGCCAGTGGAGCTGGTTTAAATGAGGTGCAAATCTTTAAATAAGGGGCATGGGGCTGGTTAGAAAATAATTATTTACTACATTATTACATTACATGGCCTTCTTGTCAAAGTTGCCGTTTCTGCTTCTGTTGGCCTTTCCCCCTGCTCATTCCTTTTCAAATTCAGTTTCAATTCCATTTCCAGAACACTAATAATTTAAAGTGAATTAACACGTTAAATGAGTCTTTACCTTGGAGGCTGGTTGTGGGTGGGACTGATATTGGCAACCTTATTGTCAAGTCAGGATCCTAGAAATGGTTACGGTACTTGGAAGTTTCAGTGTTATAGTGAATAGGATACTATGCTCTTCATGGTAGGAAGTTGTCTTGCCTTGGGCATTGTATTCTGAACATACCAAAGTGTCTGTCAATGTTTGCTTGATCAAATCCATTCCAGAAGAATATTTGCCCTTCAGAATTATTTTTATCATGTGTCTAGCAGGAGCAATTTAACAGCATCAGAGGGACAACATCTGATACTAACTCTCCTTTTGTTTTCACTCTGGAATTTTAACACATTTCTCTCTCCAGGAAGTGCTCTTATAATGGCTGACCTGTGCAACAAATAGATTAAAAGGTCTCAAGGAGATCCTGCGCTGCTCATCCAGGAGGGTAGAGCAACTCCTGCAAGACCTGCATGAATCCCTGCAATTCCCTCCAAGTGTATGCAGAGAAGAGCTGCCAGTAGTCCAGCAAGCAATTCAAAGCACGGTGTGACAAAGGGCTGTGTTCCCACCCTAACTCCATTTGGCATAAACTTCTATGTGTTGCTCTCATATGCCTTCAGCTTGACTGAAGACTGGGTGTACATCCATTCAAGGAGTCTGTTCAACCTTGCAGTCTCCACATCAAGACAAAAATGCAGTGGTTCTTTATGATGATTCAGTCTTCATAGCGCACTGTGAGGAAGCTGAACAGAGATCCACCAACCGTTTTACCCAAGTCTGCTGGGAGTTTGACTTTTGTCTACCTGGGCTCCACCATAACCAGCAATCTCTCATCGATGCTGAGCCGGACAAGCATATTGGTAAGACAGCTACGGCAATGGCTCCCCTCTCCAAGAGTACAGGAGAATGTGGTGCTAATGACCGAGAGCAATATGAAGGTCTACCAGGCTTGTGTGTTGAGCACGCTGCTTTACGGAAGTGAGTCACGGGCAGTGGCGGAGGAAGGGGGCGGGGGTGGTGTGCCCGGGTGCCAGCCTGTGGGGTGGCATTGCTGCGGGCGGGCGCCTACCCAATTGGGATGACGGCTCGCACGGGCGGGCACCTCCCCCTTGGGACACTTGCTCGGGCGGGTGCCGCCCCATTGGGATGCTTGCTCGGGTGGGTGCCACCCCATTGGGACGATGCTCGTATGGGCAGGCACCTCCCCCTTGGGACGCCCCCATGTGCAACGTGCCACGCCCCTGCCGCCCTGGGTACCAAAGCCCCTTCCTCCGCGACTGGTCACAGGCAACTTACAGAAACGATGCCTCAACGCCTTCCACATGTGCTGCATCAGGAAGATTTTGGGCATCACATGGCAGGACAGAGTCTCAAACAGAGATGTGCTCTCCCAAGGCCACATTCCAAACAAGTTCACAATGATGTCTCAGCAACCTTTACAATGGCTTGGTCATGTCCACAGAATGGAAGATGGCAGCATCGTCTATGGGGAGCTGTCTTCAGGCACCAGGCTTGTTGGCAGACCAACTCTGCATTACAAAGATGTCTGCAAACGTGCCGTGGAGCCAGGCTGCATTAACTGTGCCACGTGGAATCCCTTGCAGATGACCGCAGCACCTTGAGACAGGCAGGTTGTGTATCCACAGCAGTGATCGGAGAAGGAATGACCCCTAGGAGCACAGAAACGCATAGCACATCTGCATCAGTACAACTGGATGCCTTCATCTGCCTCAGCTGCAACGAAACATGTCAGTCTCTGCAGCCGCAGCAGGTGCTGTAACTCTCCTATGCTTTGACTTCACCCCAAAGGTGCACGCTTCTTGCCTCCTGAGAAAGGATGCCATCAACAAATAGCTTACACCTAGACTGTGAAGAAACGCTAATGTTAAGCTTCGTGAAAATGCCCAATATGCCTCCCCTTAAAGACAGATTGCCTCGCACGCCCTTAGTGTCTCTTGTAAGCAAATCCCTTTAATCATACTTTTAAGTATAAACTGAAAGAAGCCTCTTTTTTTTGTTCTTCTCAAAATAAACAAGGTGAGAGAAAGATGTTGATGTTGCATCCAATGTGAAAGAATTGAAAAAATCTGGATGTTCAAGTCCTTACCTGGTTCAGGGAGAAAAGTTCCATTAGCTAACACACTCTTTCTGTGCCCATCATAGTTCTAAAGCAGGCTTCCTCAACCTCAGCCCTCCAGATGCTTTGAGACTACAATTCCCATCATCCCCGACCACTGGTCCTGCTAGCTAGGGATCATGGGGGTTGTAGGCAAAAAACATCTGGAGGGCCGAGGTTGAGGAAGCCTGTTCTAAAGAGTATGAAGCATTACACGACTGCATTGACTCTGAAATGCATCACTGAACTTTGGAAGCACATCGTCATACTGCTAGAATGTGTACGTTAAGTGAGCCCTTCCAGTGAAGGGCAAAAGGAAGCAGGCCACAGCACCCGTATTAGCTGATTTTTTAAACAGTGACCAGAAAATAGGAGCCAACTCCTAGGGGCTGAGGTCCCTTCGGTCCCCCCAATAAAATATTTGAGGGGCTGCCCTCCCCCAGTTGATAGGCATTGCCATTCAAAAGGTGTGCATGCACTTCAACTTGTGATTATGTGGGGCAGGGCTTACCTCAGCCCGCCCCCCCATATTTTATTCACCCCGGACCAGAAACACTGTAAGTTGCAGGGAAATGGCCTACAGCTGTACCCAATTAAGGTGGGGGAAGATGATGGCACAGTAAAATCAAAAGGCCCAGGTGGCTTCAGTGGCTATGAATGTCAGCTGGTTTGCCAACTGATGGCCCTTCCAGAATGCAGAAGCAGCTAAGATGCTGGTGGGTACCACAGGCTAGGCACATGTTGCACCAGTTCTTAAGACCTGCACTGGTTGCCTGTGTTTGTATAAGCACAATTCCAGGTGCTTCAGGTATTTGGGGCCCCATACAACTTGGCCACTAAATACCTGGAGGATCCTCCTCCTTTATAGGCCTGCCCATGTGTTGAGATCTGCAGGGGAGGCCCTGCTGACAGTTGTGTCTCCCTGTGATGTTCACAGGTTGGTCGTGCATGAACAGGACCTTTTCTGTGGTGACCCCCCCAAATTGAGGTATGTCTGGCCTTACCGTTGTAAACATTTCAGCATTAGTTCAAGATGTACCTTTTTGAATAGCTTTGAAGAGAGAAGATGAGATCAAAATACTCCTCCCATTGGAGTGGCGTTACTATTTCTGCTCATTAATTTGGTTGAATTTATGGTCTCGTCATGTCTACTTGTACTGAGATGCATGTATCCCACCCTGGGACATGGTGAAGGGCTATAAATGCATACAAACAGAATTAGCAAAATACTGGGAGTAGGGATAGATGGGGTGCATTTTCTTTCAGTCCTTCCTTCCCAGCAAGGAGAAATGTGTGGAGAACATAGAAGCAACAAAGGAAAACAAGAACAATAACCAACAGTCATCCTACCTTGAAAGAGCAAGCGGCCAGCAGCAAGTGGAGCTCAAGAAATAAATAAAAGTTTTATTGATTGATTGAGGTTTATCCTCACACTACTGGATAGGCGATGTGAGCTTATCTGTCTATATTAGTGAATGCCCACTGAGAAATAGCTTTACTGCCCACATATTAAGACTATCACCCTGGTCAGCACAACTATTCTTGGGGCAACACTTTTCAGTTGTGGAATTAAAAGGTAGAAAACGGCAGGTGGTGATTACAACTGCCATTAAAAGCAAAAGTTTATATAATTCTTACTTTCAGTGATGATGTGAGTCAGTTCCCTGCTGCTGATTGTATAGCAGTATGTGTCATGCACAAGGAGTTTCATTTATTCGCTCCATTTCCAGTTTCTTTTTTGTTAAACTGCTCAGGGCACCCGGCCATTTGCAGCAACAACTGTATTGTTAATGTTCTGTTAAAGTTCCCAGAAGCTTATAATTATGAACGCCAAGCAATTGCAATTACTGTTATAATCCAAGCTCTGCTCCAAGGCATGTGCTACAGCTAATAAAGAGGCAGAGTTCGCTCCAGCTTTTCTAATGAGCTCGTCAGTTTGCCATCACGCTGGACCCAAATAATTGAGCAGGGACCATCCCCGATTCAAGACAGGAAAAGAAAGAGAGAGTTTTGGAGCAGATGTTCTAGTACAGTGGCAAGTAAAGCAAAATGGCTTAAGGAAACCTTCCATGTTCTTTGACTGTGGAGACCAATTGTTATTAGAAGCATTTTTCAAACAAGACTAATAACTTCTCTACTTAGCAAGCTATCATGGTAGGATGCAGATTACCCGGTAAGTTATAATATAGGGCTTTGCAGCCTGAGGGATTCCAGGTTGAGACCAAGACAATGTTCCAGTCTGGTCTTACACATCTTTATTTAGAAGGAAGTCCCACTGAGTTCAGTGGGGCTTATTTCCAAGTAAGTGTACATAGGGCTTCAGCTTTAGTGACATGAACAGTATTTACTGAGAGATAGGACTGTTGACAACAATACCAGTGGAAAAGACATAAAATGGTGCATTTGTGAGCAGGGATTTAACCAGTCAAAAGCAAAGGAATGGGACAGCAAGAGGCAGCATTGCTCAACATTACAAAAACAAATGACAGAGTCAATAGGATAACATTAGGCTATGGTGACCGGCCTATTTTTGTCCCTTATTACGGACTTCATGTTAACTTCTGTGGATTTTTTCTCTTTCCTGAGAGTTAGGCAATGGACCGTTCCATCCCACTTGACTTTCTTTCCCAGCAGTATTATATGGTAGAGGCAGTGGAAGCAGCAGGAGGCTCAGGAAACTGAATGGAGAGGGTAGCACTTGGCCGCAGGGTGCTTATTTCCCTTGCTCCCACTGCCTTTGCTGGGCAAGAAAGCAACCAACCCACAGCCAGGTGCCTGAGATGGAAGCAGCCTGTCTCAGGGAACTGGATCAAGGGCATATTGTTCTCTAACATTGTGGAATGGCCAGTCAGTGGCATGAGAATATCCACATTCTTTTTGTAATAGGCCACAGCCACTCAAAGTGCATCCATGGTGTCATGGACAGTAGTGGAAAACCTTTAAAAATAGCTGGAGGGGAAGGTCAGCTGTGTGACAACCTATAAATTCAAAATAAACCTTTGTTTGGGAATCAAGACAGTACTAAAGGCACCAGGGAGATCCCAAAAGTTCATAAAACAGAATGTTTGAGAACTTTGAGATTAACAAAATTTATAAAAGGTTCTGCTATGGAATCTATAAAGTGAGTTTCCAGATTCTGTTAAAGAATAATCCAATGTTACTTATTCTAATCTCTGCTTTTTAAAAAACAAAAATCCTCCATACTACTTATTCCTGACAAGTAGTCAATATAGTAGTACATCCAGTGATTTTACAGTGAGCTCCAAACTAGCAGCAGAACCAAGAACCAAGTGAAAAACAGGTACATCCAGATGGCTCAAAAAGGTGAGCTGTCACTACCATTTGCTAAATAGGAAAGACTGCCAAATACTATGTAGAACTCACATATGCAGTAACTGGGATATAGTGAAAATATTACTGAATTGCTTCATGGGAGTCCTACAAACTGGAACTTCTACATTATCAACAACTGGCAAAATGAGACAACCACAAACTTTAAAACGTTGGTTTAGTCATAGCACCATCTAGTGGAATACAAAGTTATCACTGGCAGTATCTCATAATATACTGTAATACTGTATAAAAACAATTCTGCTCTTACAGAAATGAAATTACCATAGCAATAAACCTAAAACCAGCATGTAAATAAGTTACAGATAACATGAGTGATGCTCATGTTCTCCATGATTTAAATACTGGTTTTGAGTTAATTTTGTTTCTCAGATAGAGTTACAAGACAGCCTGACATGCATCTAAACAGAAATAAGTTCCATTGACTTCCATTGGGTTTACGCCCAGGTAAATGGGTATAGGATGTATAGAATGTAACCTATGTCTCATTTAACTGTATAAATGACTTATTTCCCCCCTTGCTTTCCCTCTCTCTCCAAGGTTTAACAACTGGAATATTTAACAAATTCAAAGTGTGAACCCCCTGTGCTGACTTAATAGGTAAAGGTACCCCTGACCATTAGGTCCAGTTGCAGACGACTCTGGGGTTGCACGCTCATCTCGCTCTATAGGCTGAGGGAGCCAACGTTTGTCCGCAGACAGCTTCCGGGTCATGTGGCCAGCATGACTAAGCTGCTTCTGGCGAACCAGAGCAGCACACAGAAACGCCGTTTACCTTCCCGCCAGAGCGGGAAGTATTTATCTACTTGCACTTTGACATGCTTTCGAACTGCTAGGTGGGCAGGAGATGGGACCGAACAACAGGAGCTCACCCTGTCGCGAGGATTTGAACTGCCAACCTTCTGATCGGCAAGCTCTAGGCTCTGTGGTTTAGACCACAGCACCACCCGCGTCCCTGACTTAATAAATCAAGTCAAAAATTGAAGTGCTGTAAGATGTGGCACTGAGTGACTCTTTCCTTAGTTTAACTCAAACCCTATGTACATGTTTGTGCTAAACATGACTAAGAAAAAGTATTATCTTTTATAAACATCAACAGTGAAACACATTTTGGTTTTTCTAGGTGCAGTAAAGAAAGATGCTTTATTTCCAGGGGGGAAATGCATTTGTCAGATAACTGGCGAAAACATTATCTTCATAAATTAAAGACTCCTAACAGGTAAGAATTAACTTGAGACATGAATGCCTGTGTCCACAATGAAAGTAATGACTAAACCTGAAAATTAATTTCACATCTGTCTAAAGAATTCAGTCACTTTACTCTATTACACAAAGTTCCCTGTGTGTTATTCCAGGAATACTGATACCAACATCTTTGTCATGTCTATCAACATTGAGTAAGAATTCCACCCTGAAACACATTCAGGATATTACAATTGAAAGGGTATGCAAGATTCAGAATAAGCAAGATGTGCCACTGTTCTCATTGTTACAGTCCCCCAAACTACTTGCTTTTTGTTCTGGTGCACATGGTATGCCTTTTGATGACATCAGTGGATTTCCTTTTGAGAATTCTTGCTCTAAAGACAACTGGCTATAGTTGCTGAAGGAAGTATATCTAACATTGGGGGCAGGACAGAAAGCACAGCCCTACTCCCCAATATTGCCCCATATGTAAGCAGTACATGTATAGGGCCTCAAGGTTGACGACAGCATGTCCACAAAAAGATGATTTAGATCAGGTGTGGAGAACCTTTCGTCCTCCAGATGTTATTTATCTACAACTCCCATTACCCCTGTCCATTGGACATGCTTACTAGGGCTGAAGGGAGCTGTAGTTCAGCAACCTCTTGGGGGGGGGGCAAAGGTTCCCTGTTCATGATTTAGATAAAACCCTTCCTTCTAGAGAAGAATCCTCATAGTATAATGTCATCATTGCCTGTTGATAAAGGAACTGTTTCCAAAATCAGTTTGCAGCTGCCCTTTAATGAAGAATTATTTATTTTGTTACAATTCCCAGAGGGACAGCTGTGTTAGGCTGGCGCACCAAAACCAATAAAGAGTCTTGTGGCAGCACAAGGACTAACAAATTCATTATAGGATCAGCTTTCATGGACCAGAATCCACTTAAGCAGATACATGAAGTGCAAGAGCGGGGAATCTGCTGCTGATCTGCAATTCCCATCTTGCCCGATCACAGGGCATGTTGGTTGGGGCTGATGGGAGTTGCAGCCCACTGGTTCCCCACCCCTGCTGAAGTGCAATCCCCAATTGGTGTGGATGTGTACATACATTGGGGGGGGGGGGGTTTTGACAGGAGTTAGTCCAAGAGAAATGCAAAAGGACAGTGGTAATAACGTAAAAGCAAAATAAGTATTGTAACAAGCATAAACCTTGTTGTGCCACCAGACTCTTTGTTATTTTCATTATCGTGCAATTTAAACACTGTGGTGATGTATGACAGAAACAGGCTGAGAATCTTAACAAGATTAAGCAACAGTGCTGTGGATAGCAACTCAATATAATGTACAAGAACAGATTTAGTTCCAAAGCAAGGCAACTGCTTTAACATAACATGAAGAAACACAACAGTAGCAGGTCTACAGGACACAACCTTTGCCTGCATACAATTTTTTACATTCGTATGTTACGAAGTAATATACAGTCAAGACATGTTTGCATTTCCATCACAGTATAATTTTGATTCTTCAAATGTCTTCACAAGTTGCAATTCTCTCTAGGCATCTTGGTTTAGAGATCCTTTTGCTTGCTCCTGTGGCCTTTGCTTCTGGCATATACTATCACATTTTGCAAAGATCCAATTTTGTAGATAGTTTAGGCAAAGCCTCATCCTACTCAAAGCAAAACAAAATACAGACTAAGTGTGTAACTCAAGTGTATATATAAAAAATTCACAAAAACAACAGTTCCTTGGTTTTGCAGGCGTCTCCATTTTTCTCTGTTTCTGCTCACCTTTTATTCACAGATGTCCATGTCCACTTAAGTTCCTGCAGTGATGTGGCTATCGAACAGCACGAGCCATAGGAAACATTTGCCTCCATCTTCATTCCAGATGGAGCAGTTTTTCTAGCAACTTACCTCTAACTCTGTTGCATCAGAGTAACTATTTTGTTGTACCAAAAGCACTGCAAGGCACTACTACACAAAGTCAAAGTTATGGTTCTATTGCAATATTTACACTGAGATTCATGTTGCAAAAATAGATAATAAAAATTCAGGTAGCCAAACATAAACCCATTTCTCCTTCTGTCTTGGATGATTCCATGACTGCCAAAGAATTATTTGGAAGAGTATTGGCCTCTGCTGCTAATTCCATTTGATTATTTGCACAATACGGTTTCTTAAGTTTTTATTAAAAACCACATATGGAACTTCTTACTTCTGCACCTATATCTGACCTGCATAGATAAGCTCATCCTCAAGCTTAGACGAAACCCCAACAAACTGATGAATACGTTCTTTGGTCATAATACAATTTACAACATTATCCTGACCTCCCTATACTAAATGATAGCTTGTGAATTCAATACAAAATAGTGAGGGGGCGGGGAGAGAACATAACCGCCGCCACCCTGGGCAAATCATTTATCATCATTCTGACAAAAAAAGCACAGAAAATTGTAATAGCAATTTCTATTAATTATGGAAACGGCAGCCACTTTACAATACTTAATTAGGAGTTTTAACTAGATGTCACAAAATAAGTGGCTAGTTTTTCAAATTTCACAATCCTCTTTGTCAGACAGGTTGTTAAACAAAACAAGGTGTCATGGAGAGAAGAGATCTGTTGCTGGTAGAGGGCATGGTAGAAGCCCTATCACCAGTAAAGGACAAGCCCCTTGCAGATTGATTAGGTTAGTTTATGCCCAGTACAGATGGTTCAGGTTGAACCAAAGAGCATTGGGACAAAGAATCAATGGCCATCCCCCCTTTGAAAATACCTGAGTAGCGATTCAAAACCAAATCAGAGACAGGTTCAAGTGCTGGCTTTGCAAATTCCAAAGTGAGCGTGGTCACCGATTCTTTGTTCAAATCATTTGCACATGGCATAAACAGACCTAATCATTTGGCAAACGTTTTCCTGAATCACTGTGCTAAGGCAATCATATACGGCACATGCGACTTCCACTGCGCTCTTACTAGCAACACCTTTTCTTCTTCTCTCCCTGTCTTCTTCCTTTTTGTGTGTGCATTCCATATTCATCCCGATAAAGAGTGAAACAAGAAGGTTAGTTCACTACTCTGAGGTCCTAATAACAGTATTATGATGCTGGGGTTGTCTGGATTTTCTCTCATGGTCCAATAGGGTTGACTGTAATTATAATTAATTATGGATACTGAAGAGGTAATATGGAGTTTCCCTATACTTGTATTAAGCAAGTCTTTCCAGATGTAATTCCATGCCCTTAAGGTAGTCAAAGTGGGAAAACATATATCAGAATTACAAATAGTAAGATGGGGGGGGGGGAGAGATATAAACTGGTACAAATGGCAATAGACAATGAATACTTCCTAAGTGCTACCACACTAGGGAATGATGGTTGGGAATCACAGCCAATTATTGCTCCAAATGACCTCTTCTAGACAATGGAACTAGTCTGCAGCAGAAACTCAGCCCTCAAATGACTCACAATCCTCAAATGGCTTACTCTGGAATAGCACATACCATTCAATGACCAGCTGAAGTAAGCAATTTGTTGACTGCAAGAGAGAATCAATGCAAATGCAAATATCCAATGCTGAAAAACATGTATATGCATACTTTGTGTGGTCTCATTTCCCGTCTACCCAATACACTTGCACACACAATTTGTTAACATCTGAAAAACTGTTTCACTTGTTTTTGCTTGGGTTCCTTATAATGACTAGTTACATACATGTGCCTCTCTGAATAATGCCTTGAAGACAGAGCAGTAAGCAGATACCTGGTCCACAGCATTTTTCATTATACCATCTTACAAGTTTCCCTCAAAGAAATCAAAACGTACAGTTTCATTAACAATGAGTGTATACATTGAAAATCTGCATGACGTTAAAAGGGAACAGTTTCTTTCATCTGTTATTAGACAGTCCTATCGTTGCAGAGATTAGTCAGAGGAACATATCTATCAACCTGTGTCATCTATATATGTAAACTGAAGTTCAAAGCTACCTAGGAACAGGAAGCCCATATCCACTCGTATTCATCCAAGTGTACAATTTGTAAGACACTATATGATGGTCAAGCAGCAACGAACCCATTCTTTCTGACAAAACCAACACATATTACTAGCATCTTCCCAACTATCCCAAAACCTGATAGAACCGCAGGACTTTCTTCAGGTCTGCCAAGAATAAATCAGCTCCTGCATCAGATAGATCATTGACATCAGGCAAGAACAGGTTTGCTTTATCAGACGTAATCAAGTTATGCGACAGAAAGTGTACACCAATTTCATTACAAAAGTCTACCATTTTCTTGTTAACATGCTTTTGAGCTTTTGCCATCTGTTCAGGATTTTGGTCCATCTTGCAAGCACGTCTTGGCAACAGTGAAGACCAAACTATAGTAGCATTTGGGAATGCTCTTTTAAGAATGCCCAAGTCATTTTTCATGGATATAATGAGAGACAAGTTATCATTGGGAAGTAGATCATCTTCTCCAATATGAATTATTATAAGGGATGGAGAAGAACGGAGATGATAAATTTCATGCAGAAGAGGCATGAGCTGTTCCCACTTCATTGCCTGTATCCCATGCCAATACACATATGCCCTTGAAACAGAGATGCCCAACTGCAATCCATGTGGTAGACTTTTAGCTCTCTTCTTTGATGCCAAGATCACAGAATTGCCACATATCCAGATTTCCTTTGGGGGAGGTTGCTGTCTTCCAGCACCTAAAAGTAAAATGCCACATTAGTTCAACTCCTTCAAACTGACCCCTGCACTAGCTTACTGTTCCTCCATCCTGAAAGTTCTAGTACTAAAAGGTTAAAGGCTGAAATTTAAAATCTATAAAAATGTTAATATGCTAGAAAATTTGATCAGCATTCTCTCAAGACCAAAATCAAGAGACCAAGCTAGCTGCACTTTTCAGAAGACAGAAGTCCACTAATATGCAGCAGAATTAAAACATTCGCAGAAACCTGTTAAGACAACTGACTGAGGAAAACCCACTAAGAGGATCAAGGATGGGGTAGGGTGAACAGTGCAGCTGAGCTCAGCACACAAGGAAACACACAAAAAAGGATATCCCCTCCTTCAGCTGTAAGCACTGGTTTTCAGGAACAAGTGACAGGACTATCACTGCCACGGGTCATGAAAAGAGCTGGCTGCAGAACCAGTCTCAGCACCACTATTCCTTCCACTATGAGCAGCAGCCCAGATGATACGCAGGCAGGGAAGACAACAGGAGCCGAGTGATCCTGACATCTGAACTCACCCACTTATCAACCTGAGGCTATAGTGTACCTAGCTGTAGCAAATGCAGCTCAATTTGACCTGAATTGAAGAAGGTGCAATAAATTGTTTTTTCTCCAATTTCTCTCCTTTCCAAGAAAGGCCATTAAGCTGCTTTCACAGGAATAAGTATTCTGGGGCAATTTCCCCCATGAGGAAAGGCCACAGCAGAAACCAGCAAGTAGAGGCAATTTGGCATGCCTCATCTTCTTGCCACCCCAGAATTTTAGCATGGCCAAAACATGGTAATCTTATGCTGCAATCCTTAGCATACATGGTAAGGAGTAATGGCGACTGGGCATATGGAACTGACTTTGGAGTTAATATGCTTACTTTTGTGTTGTTAAACATTTTACATATATAAATGGCAGAGAAAGGAGAAAGAGATAGTGCATCTGTACAGTATTCTGTTTGCCCAGTTCAGTGAACTCTGTGCAGTTTTAACAGATCTTGCCACTGCTGTTTTCACAAACATATCTGTATGAACCAAAATTCAGGCAAACAGAAAAGATGCACCTCTCTCTTTATTTTTTTAAAGAGTCAAACCCTGCACTCAAACCTGCCTCTCCTCCATCAGCAAACAAATACTGCAGATATTGACAACTACAGGTGACCTACTGCATTTTTCCGTACGATTAATACAAAGAGTTTTATTAGGTAAGAGGGGAACCAGCAAGATTAGTCTACTTACCTCTGTGATGAGACTAGTGTCATTTAGAATGAAGGAGAAGGATATACCGTATTTTTCCCTCTATAACACGCAGATTTTTTCTCCTAAAAAGTAAGGGGAAATGTCTATGCGTGTTATTGAGCGAATGTGTGGTCCCTGGAGCCGACTGGCCCGAGTGCATCACACATTTTCTTCGAGGGTCGTCTTCGTTGCGGTCAGCAGAAGCCAGGGAAGTGCTTGCTAGGAGGTTTGGCCACTCTGCAGCGCGACTGTGTGTTTGCTAATGTGTGTGCTTTGTGAGTGTGTGGTTGCCTGTGTGTTTGTTCGCTAGCGTGGGTGCTTGGAGGGAGTGAGAGAGTGACTGACTGCTGCATCTTCTCCTGCAATTTGCCTTTTAAAAAATTGGAAGCAGCGGGGCAGTAAAAACCACCTCCGAAAGCCCCATTTTTCCCTTCTAAGGCTGCAGCTTGGCTTTGGGAGCCCTGAACCCCTGCCTCGTTCTTGAGGGATCTTTGAAGTTTTCCCTTTAGCTTTAACCCAGCCCCCTTATTTTACCAGTTTATCTTCATTCTCGGTGTGGGAAACTGATTGCAGGCAGCCACACGTGCGGTCGAGCCTCCCGAGAGAGAAAGCTGTTGCTTTCCTGCATTCTGCCTCAGGGTCTTACTGCCCACCCTATTCTGTTTCGTTACTGTGTTTCCTCAAACAGAACAAAGAGCAGAGAAAACCCCTCCCCTCCAGGCAAGCAGAGGGGAAAGCAGAGCATCCTTCCTTCTAATTCCTCTCCGTGCTCCGGTGCTGCTGCTGCTGCATCTAGGGACTCACAGGCAACATGCAGGTGGGGGAGAGAGGGAGAGAGAGAGAGAGAGCTGGCTGGCTGGCTTGGGTGGGTGGGGGAACTTTTGCCTTCCTTTCCTCCCTCCGGTAAAGCCCCTCTCCTGCATTCTTAGCCAGCTGCTTCTCCGCACACCCCTCTCGGTGCTCCTTGTCCCTTCTATGTTTTTCCTTCCCTCCCCACTTAAAATGTGGTTACAAAGCACGGATCCACATGGATCCTCAGGATCTTTGCATTGGGTCACCCCAAATTCACCATCAGATCACATAGCAATGATCTGATGCAAAAACAGGGCTGCAATGGTGCAAAAACGTGGTTACAAAGCATGGATCCACATGGATCCTCAGGATCTTTGCATTGGGTCACCCCAAATTCACCTTCAGATCACATAGCATGTCCATGGCTACAGCCTGCACCAAAAAAATCACGCACCCACTGTTGCCTGGGGCTGCAATGGTACAAAAACGTGGTTACAAAGCACAGATCCACATGGATTCTCAGGATTTTTGCATTGGGCTACCCCAAACTCACCGTCAAATCACATGTCTGTGGCCACAGCATGAAGCACAAAAATGATACATCCACTGTTTCATTCAGAATTTTTTTTCTTGTTTTCCTCCTCTAAAAACTATGTGCGTGTTATGGTCAGGTGCGTGTTATCGAGCGAAAAATACGGTAATCAACCAGAGCAGTAAGAGTAGGAAGATAGCAAAATTCAGTGAGTGGTGAAAATAGTCAAGAGCACGGAGAAGGCCATTTGAATGGCAGGTGGTGCTAAGAACCTGGCTTGAGAGTTTTTTTAAAGTATCAAAACTGCAGTGACATAATGCAGTAGATTCTTTTTGGCTCCATTAGCTTCAAAATCCGCACACAGAGAAAAATAAGGGGCACAAGTCGCAATCATTACGCTTTGACATCTGTGGAATGTGAATTATACCTACCACCTGTAACTCAGTTCCATAGAAGTTTTGAACAAAAGCACCAGAGAGGAAAAAGAACACTTCCAAAAAGAACATCTGACTGTAATTAGCTGGTTTCTTTTTATTAGATGGATTAATACTTAAGATAAATATAAACAATATATGGAAACAAACAAGGTTTTAAAAACCCACAAAACAAAACTACATCTTAACAAAGTCACACATAACTTGAAAAACTAGGGTAGAAAAAATTATCTGAACCTTGTTTTGTGTCAAGAACACAGAATCATACCGCTGGAAGAGAAGATGAACAAGTATAATACTCTACTATGAAGCTGGTCACCCACCCCCCAGCTTCCCACAGATTATTAGCCCGTGCAATCCAGAGCAGAGTGCCCTACCAGTAACTAAGTGGAACTCAGAAATGTGCATGATGTACAAATAGATCCAGGTGTTTAAGCAAAGGAGATGAGACATATATTGGGCTTAAAAGTAAAGTGGATTTGATAACTAAAAGTCACTGCTTCCAGTCTAATGTTGCCACAGTCACACCTTCACCAATTGTGGCATTAATAAGGGAGACCAAATCTAGCTCTCTGCTCCCAGTGCTATCATTGATTATTTGACCTGGGGTAGCTGAGGGAAGGAATTATGTGCATAGCACCTATGCATGCACACAGAACATTTCTGGAAACATATGTCTGCAGCAGGCTGTCCAGTTTTTTGCTGGATAAGCTATAGCAACGCACATGAACCACATATGGAGATCCAAAATAAAAATATATACTTCAGAAATTTCTTGGAGCCAATGCGATTCTTTGGTGCCACAGAAATTCTGGGCACCCAAATGCAGCATTCGAAATTTCTGTAGTTGAAAAACCTTTAATTTCCAGCTGAATTTATTAATGGCCAACTAGGAAAGGTGGCGGTCTTATGAGTGATGAGCCTCTCTTATGCTGGTCACAGTGACTGTTCCCATCTTTAAGGCATGCCCACAGTGTTATGAGCACTGCTCACAGTACAAAACTTTAGGCTACCGTTTTTGCAAGACTTATCCAGCAACATGGTGGGCATGTCTGCAGGGTGCTCCCTGTCCCTAGCAGAGCTGGTTTCAGGGTGAAAGGACTACTATCTTCTTGCTGTTGATATGCCCCCAGGCAGGTAGGCAATCTCCCCACTTTCTTTGGTCCAGCAACTTGATATCCGAGGGCACCTGCCTCTGCTACATGCTTACCCTCAGTCCTGGAGAAGTCTCTGGTGATGCATACCTGGATTTTGATGCTGTATGAATCCTGCTCCTGGTGCACTGCTGGATCCTTCCCAGCGATCAGTGCGACCTTGAGAGCATACTGTCCCAGTTGTTCCCAGGCAATATTTTATGTGAGCTACAATGTATTTTTCACTTGATAGTATTTGGACCACTACCCCTGGAAACATGTATACATTCACTCAAGTATTTCCACAAGTGTACTTGATCAAGGAACAATGGCTGGTATGGATTTGAGTCAGCAACCTCCTGAGTTTGTTCACGCTTGCTTGGAGACAGCACTATTGCATTTTCTTGTTTGTTGCTACCACGTGATTCTATGCTTTTCTTCCTTTGGGGTTTGCTAGAGGGGTAAAATGTTTTGCCTTCGAGCCAGTAATCACCTAAGTATGTTTGCTATCACTTTAGCAGACAGCACCAGAAGGGCCCCTTGAATGTGACTGCTGCCCAGTTGTCTGCACTTCGTACATGTTAGGGGCACAATGGCATGGCCAAAATGCCGCCAGCGTGGCTTACTCGCTCCCTTCATGTCTGCATTATACGCAGCATGTTCAGCATAGCACCAGATTGATGGACAGTGGCATTGTTTCCCTTTTTGTGTATTTTCCAAGTAGTGTGTTTCCCCATTCCCAGTCTGAGTATGCACTGGATATGGCAGCCTTTTTTTCTGGCAAAGCAGCAACATATTGTTGGTCTCAGTGTAAGGCAAACATATGATTGCTTTGTTCATACAGTATCTTTGGATCAGCTATAGGCAGAACCAAATGCTAGACAAAGAGAGGCCAGAAGCACAAGACAATAAAGATCGTCTTCTTCTACAGTACTTACATCTATTGTTCGGAAGTATAAGGACCTTCTGATCATGCATTGTCTGACTTGCTGTATGACACAATAACGTTAAAGCTTATCACATATAGCATGGTACCTATACTGATTCAGCAATTGCTTTTTCTAAATATTTCAGGATTTTATATACCATTGCATTTGTGCCCATATTCTTTTTCAACTCTTTATTTACTACTTTCTGGTTTCATAATGGGTATTCCATTGCCTTACATTGTTCCACTTGCCCACTTTAACGCAGTCACTAAAAATCTGCATTATTAATTCAGAAGTTTATGGTGTGGGGTGCACAATCAATTTATACCACAACATGTGTTTTCTGCATTTTCTAATATTCCACAATTAATTCTATCCTTTCTGGCCTTGTCAAAGGCCATGGGACACAGAGACAAAACTTTCTGTTTCCTGCTAAATAAAGAAAAATCTACCCTTGATCTCAGTAAGTTGCAGCTAGATATATAGTTGGCACAATTACCATAGTCATGCCACACTAGGCAGCTGTGGTTTGGAAGCTTTTCCATCCTCACTCACTTGCTGCCATTTTTTCCAAACAGGTGTGGGACAAGATACAGTGGCATGGAAATGGCAATCCCTGCAGGTTTGTGTTTCGGAGCATCTCGCTTGGAGTTGCGGCCCTACCATATTGGAGGGCGCCTTGTTTGACTTACCCATCACCTGTTGCACGGCAGTTATCACAGACGTACGCATCTCATTGACAGCCTTCTTCTTCTTCCCCCCTCCTGCCAAGCGGGGAATAGGATTCAGGCCTCCCGGAGGGTCTACTGCCGGAGGGGCCACTCCGTTGCTGCCTCCCGGATTCAATTCCGGGGTGCCTCCCGCTGCCGCCATGGCTTCTGGTCCAAGCAAGCCACGCCGGCCAGCAATTAAAACCGCCTCCAAGGCTTTCATGAGGGACGGGTTCGGGGGACTGTCCTTAGGGTTGGGTCCCCTGGGAAGCTTGTTTTCTGGCGTCCCGGGGACGACGAGGCTGTCGTCACTGGACCTCTTGACTGGCTCCATGGCAGAAACAACGGGGAGATGGCAGGGAAGCTATGGGGTGCTCCAAAGGACCAAATTTTATTGCAGGTATAAGGGAAACCCCAGGCCCCAAAATAACCTATAAATATAGGGCGCTGCCTGTTTCTTGGGGCAGATGCTTTGCAGGCTCAGCACTGAGGTGCTTCAGGTCCAGCACTGACGTGGCGGCAGCGGCGGGAGCCGCACCTAGCAGCACAAGTGAGCGACCTTTTAAGGCGGGAGGCGAAATGTAGGGCCCTTCGAGGTGGAAGGCAGAGGCGGCGGTTACTCTGCAGCCGGAAGAAGCGCGAGAGCGGAGGGGTCCAGCCCAGGCACCCTTCTCTACCCCCTCGCCACCCCCCACGGGTCTCAGCTCCCGAGAGAGGCGCGGGAGTTTCTGAGGCGCCCCCCTCCCGCGAACTCCGCTAGGCCCCGGGCGCTTCCTCGCCGTAGAGGAGCGAAGAGGCAACGGGCCGTTGCCCTGGAAACGCTCGTCGTCGTCGTCCCCCTCTCTCCGTCACCGCGAGCGCCGGACAAACGACGACAGCGGCGTGTGACCGCGAGCAGGGAGCAGCTTCCCATTTAACATCGAGCGGGAAAAGGACCCACGCAGCCGCCGTAGCCAATGACCCTTCTTCCGGACCGAGGAGGGAAGCGCGCGTGCGCACCTGGCGCGGCGCGGCTCGCTACTGTATCCTAGACTCGCAATGAGTAGAGAGTCGCCTGGAGGCCTCAGTTCGTGGTTCAGTTTAGCCCTCGCTCCGCTCTCCGCCTGGCGGAGGTGAGAGCAGCGCAGGACGCCAGATCACGCATGCGCAGTGCGGAGGGAGGAACAAAGATGGCCAAGCTATACCTAAAATCTGCATGTGTTTTTATATGCAACAAATGTGCCTGGGCTGATTTATATGTGTAGGTGCACATTTAAAAATAGTTACTGCGCCATAAACACAGTGGGCTGCCCACGTGTGCTTAACCCTAACCCTACTTCCCTGCATTCAATAGAACTTACATCTGAGTACAGTAGTAGACATGGTTAGGATTGTGCTGCTTAGCAGCATATAATTTACATAATTGCAAACATGACAAAAGTCATCAGCAATAAATAAAACTCATCAGAAAGTGCCCAATCAAATGGAACGATTTCCACATAAATCATAATGGGATCTAAAAAATACAAGATACAGAAAGTTAATAGCTGTAACAGTTATTAAACAAGACCCTGGGGCCAAGAGTCTGTTCTGCAGCCTCAGCTTTTGTGGAGTGCAATCCAGTTACCGTAATTCATGAACGATGCAATTGTAGCACCTTCCTGACTTGTCTTAAATGTTCAAGTTGACTTGAGGCTGGCAAATTATAAGCAAAAGTTGTTTTGTGGGGAATAGGGACAATGCTGCCTAATGGTGCAAGTAGCCACCACTGAAACTCTTGTCTTCTAAAGGATTTCTTTTCTATTGATGAAAGTGAGTTGGAACGAAATGGCATAGAATACCGAGGAAAAAACATTTTGCCTATGCTCTTCACCAAACTACAGGTGGCAGTCTTATGCTCACTTGATTAGGAGGAAGTCTTATGAAATCAATGAAACTCTCAGTGAGCAACTCTCAGTAAGATCACACTGTTATAATACATGAATTGTCTATTATTTAATGAAGATATCCCAGCCTGTGTTCTTACACCCACCAAGTCCTTTTGGACAAGATGCATTTCTCTCCCACTGCTTAACAAGCTATGGATTCATTTCCATGTTATGTGTTAATTTTATCTCTGCCTTAAATTCTAAGCAGGTATTATTACTCATTTAATGATCCAGGGGCTCAGATTTTTTTTATTTTTATTAATTTGTTGATAGCTTGTGATACTGCTCCTTCTGAACAGCCATACTGGACTGAAGGGTGGAGAATTGCAATGTGGACATTTAAAATAAATAAAAGTCTCCATCTTACTGGAGAATACAGGGTCAATACATAACTATATTCTGAGAGTTCTTATATGTGTCGTGGAGTATTTAGTTCAAAGGCTGCATGGCTTATTCCTACCAGGGGAAAGCATGTGAAATTTGAACTGAAAACTGGAATAAAGTGTTATTTTAATCCTAGCCTGAGATTTTGGGACTATCTCCCCCGCCCCACTTCCTTTCTGCTAGCCTTATATTGAATAGCAGAAGAACAAATGCAAAGCCCAGATTGTCCTTCTAATCAACAGCACATGCACACGCAGTGTCCCCCCCCCTTTTGTATGTTAAACAAGAATACATTTATTTAAGATATCAAGAATACATTTATTTAAGAAAACATAACATGAAAACAAACTTTTCATAAAATTTCCTAATGTGCTTTTAGCAGTAAGGTAAAAGGTAAAGGCAAAGGCAGTATATTCATTAATCCCATCTTAAACATGAATGAGCATAGATCTTTATTTGTGAAAGTTTTAAGTTAATGTTTATCATCAGCTTTAAAAAAATTTTTTAGGGTTTTAGCCTTCCACAGCATCCATGAGAAAGTTTTGTCAACAAGTGTGTGAAATCTGGTAAATGCAATGCCAATTAAGAAATCAATTTATTTGGAAATAAATGGGAGATAATATGTTGAGAAAGTAGCTGGCATTATTTACTTTGCTGCCAGCAACAATATGTTTCTAACAACCATTTATTACTCTACCTAATTGGTTACATTATCTCAAAACAGATCATTTCAAACAATTATCTTGTTTCAGCTGGGTTCGGAAACATTGAATCTTCATGCAACACTAAGGTTATCTTCCCTCAATGAGAGTGTAACATTAATGTTTGGTGCGTTGAATGGAATAGCAGTTGGTATATTCAAACAAAAAACCAGAGGACATTTTTCTTCTAGGAAAAATCAGTTCCTAAAATCAGAATAAAAGCTAGTACTAAATATTTTAAATAGGCCAAAATGCAAACATTATCTTGTTCTACGCATTTTTGCTGAAAGTTTTGCAGCCTCCAGTGTGCTAAAGAATTCAAAACCAACGGTGGTGAGGCAGTCTACATGTCATAAAGCTTAAGCTGTTCTTTGATGTCAGTTTCAGACATCTCCCCAAATGTTTCTGTTTTTTCCTTTAAGAGGGTGAAGATGGCAGTCAGTTGTTCTCTTTGGACCCTGCCAAGAAGAGAAGAACAATAACAGAAAGAGAAAATGGAAAAACCATTGCTTCATAAACTTATAATGCCTCTGAGCAGGATTAATGGAGTCTGTCATGATGCTTTCCAGTACGTCTTCTGCAGTTATATCTGGGGTCTCTGTGGTATGAGTACGATAGCCCTGGGATATTCCCCATCCAGAATTAAAAGCAGGAATGGAGAACCTGTGGCCCTCCAGGTGTTGGACTCATCAGCTCTAGCCTGCTAACAAAATATGGATGGTACCATATTTCCCATGCCAGACCTAAAGTCTGCTTTATGGTAGGACATTTGAATGAAACCCTTCCCTAACATTCAGAATGGAAAATAGCATGCACCTCTGGTTGTGGGGGACCTTGGTTTCTAATCCCCACTTTGAGTGTGTTCATTTATTAAAAGGAAATGGTCTTTTCAGATACAAGAGCCTATTTTCCTGAATCCCACCAGTTCCAAAAACATGTTGTTTATCTTTTAGTCTCAGAAATCATGGAAGCTAAGACCAGTAAGGTGCTATGTTATGTATGAAGGTGTTTACGTAAATAGATAGCTTCTTCAAGCAGGCACAACAGAGCAGTTGCTTACAGCAGGATTTCAGTTTAATGTAATTTAGAGGGAAATGATGGGATGTCTAAAAACATCTGTAAAGGTAAAGGGACCCCTGACCATTAGGTCCAGTTGTGACCGACTCTGGGGTTGCGGCACTCATCTCGCTTTATTGGCCGAGGGAGCTGGCGTACGGCTTCCGGGTCATGTGGCCAGCAGGACTAAGGCGCTTCGGGCGAACCAGAGCAGCGCACGGAAACACCGTTTACCTTCCCACCGGAGCGGTACCTATTTATCTACTTGCACTTTGACGTGCTATCAAACTGCTAGGTTGGCAGGAGCAGGGACCGAGCAACGGGAGCTCACCCCGTCGCGGGGATTCAAACCGCCAACCTTCTGATTGGCAAGTCCTAGGCTCTGTGGTTTAACCCACAGCGCCACCCACATCCCATCTGTCCCAAAAACATCTGTAACTTCAGGTTATTTCTCCCATCCCTTAGACCTTAGATGATGGACATGCTCTGTGACTTGTGACATTTTTATATGTTCAACTTAAACTTTACTTTGTAGAAACAAGCATCTCTGAAGTGTGTCACCCTTAAAAATAACTATGGTTCCAAAACATACTTTTCTGATGGTCTCCATCACTCTGATACCTTGATGAACGGATCTAGCACTTATTCTTCATTGAAATTAGGGACAACTGGGGATTAATCATTTGCTATTCAGGAGTCAGTGAGCTTGCCATGAGGAGTTGAGCAGGGGTCCCAAAGGAATGTTTGTGGTACAGAAGCAAGTTCAGTTTAAATGAACCTTCAGGGGTAAGGGGACATCATGTCTGCACAAACTAATGCTTAAGCGCCGATTACATATTTTATTTCAGAAAATCATAGATGTCTAACAGCAGGGGTGAGATCTTTAATGTGGAACTCTCATTCTAAACATATTTTAGCAAAGGGGAGGGAATACTAACAATAGGTCCTGCCCGTTTGAAATCCCAGTTGTCATCTTTCCCACCCTCCCATATAAAGAGAGAAACTAGTTGTGTTTTCCCCTCCATTATGGAACAAGTCAATCTTAAGGCACATCTGAATGGATAAAGCAACAGACTTCTTTGGAATGTTTTAAAGTCTATTGTGATATGAACTTCTATGGGCAAGAACCTTGAAAAATTCATGGGTTACACATGGCAACTGTAGTGGTGTAAGAACATGCACATTCTTGAATCTGCAGTTCAGTTGAATGTCGGTTTCTTGATGTGGCAAAAGAAAAAATATTGGTAAATTCAGAAAGACTGGATTTGGAACTAAGAGGAACTTCTATAATTAATAGCAATGAATTAGATTATTATTATTTTTAAAAGACCTCTGGCTTAAAAATGGATTTTCCATGGTTATGATTCAAAAGAAATGTAAGTTTTCTTGTTATTTTTCTTCTTCACCAAAAAGAGGAGGTAGAACAGGACTGTATGTGCTGTATCCAATGCTGCGAGTGCAGAGTTATACTTGTGCAATGGGACTTAACCTTCCTCTCCTTGCATTCCTTCTGCAATCCTCTGGAGCAAATTTTCCAGCTGTATGGGGGGGGGGGGGCGGTTGAGGAGAGGAAGTATCGATTGGAGGCCAAAGTATTCTGTGCTAGTGGAAGAGCAGCCTGGGCTACAAGCAGAAGCCTATGGACCAGCCTATACAAAATGCTCAACCATGTGGTTTTCCCCTTGACATTTTCTTCTACAGAATGAGCGGCAGAAGTTGCAAAAGCAGAGAGGAAGATGTGTGCAGGTGGATTGCAGTGTGCCATGAGACAAAAGTAGCTTTGGGGCGGGGAGGGGTTTTAGTGTGGGAAAACAGAAAAGCATATCTCCTGTCATGCTCAGCTTCAACAGCAGACATATTGGTGTGTTTGTGTGTGTGTGGTTTTTTTTAAAAAAATATCACATGGAAACATAATGTGACTGAGTAGCACGTAGCTTGGCCCATAGCCATTACTGTCTGAGAGAAATGGTTACCATTTTTTAAATCAGTTTAGTAACTGTCCCTGCTGAGAAGAACACACGGTGGTGGAACACTCTGTTCACAGCAACCCATTGCATAGATTTCATTATACTTGTGACTTGGGTTTAAAAGTTCATTGCCCTGATCATTCAGAAGACTTCTCTATTATAACCAAGGCTCCAGTGCTGATTTATGGTGACAGACACTATTATACATTCCTGATTAGCTACTATGGGTGTAGTCAGGACTTTTGTTTGGGGAGGGGCAGCAAAAGTTGTTGGGCTTTTTTTTTTTTAATAAGAAATAAAAATTGTTGAACTTTTCTTGGGAAATCATGGGTAAAAATACCCTGTACTGTAAATAGGACATTGCAGGAGGCAGGCTTCTGCTGGGATGGCAGAACCTCAGATAACTGAGCACTTTCAATGCTTTTCAATAATATTTGTGTACGCCCATGGGTACAGGAGATGGAGAGGAAAGGGGGAGGAAATGAAGCGACAGGCAGCCTTTCATGTGAACAACTCCAAATCCTTACCTACTTTGGAATGAGGCATCGCTTATTTCCACTTTTGGGCTGCTGTTTTGTGCAAGCATGATAGATCACAAAAGGTGTATGTGCACATATAAACAAATATCCATGGATCTCAGGTTTCCTGGCTTGGAGCAACACACACACACACACACACACACACACACACACACACACACACGGCTGCTGTTTTGTGAAAATCTGGTAGACTGAGGAAAAATAATAAGAAAGCTATGTGCTTACAGGTAAACAAATACCAGTGTGCATGCCCATAGGGACCTCAGGGAAGGCCAGCCCACCCATGAAGTGGCGTGAAGTAGCTGCCTCAGGCAGCAGAAGCCCCCAAGGCACCACCCTCATGGATGCCTCCTGCCCCTCCCCCACCTCTACCAGAGGAGTGGTGCCAGTATAGCTGCTGATCTCCTGCTGGTTTCCTGCAAGATCTTGTGATACCTCACCAAAGTCTTGCAAGATGTCAAGGAGAGCAAAAGTCCTCATGAGATCTGGGTGAGATCTTGCAAGCTCTTTCAGGGAATCAGCACCATTGTCAGCACTGCTTCTCCACAAGAGGCGGAGGTGGCACAGCTGGTGGTGCAGCTGCAGTGCCACCGGTAGGTGGCACAGTGGTGGTGTGCGTCCCACTGGTGGTGGTGTGGCAGAGCAGGGTGGCACTTCCTGTTTCGCATCAAGTGGAAAAATGGGACGTACTACTCCTGACCTCAGGATTCCAGAACTTACAGCTGTCAGTTTTGAGGGAAGGCAGGCAAGAACTCACAGTCCAGGTGGGGCTCACTAGCTCGGGGAGGAGGTGTGTGATTCCTCAGCTGGAGTAGGTTTAGGACAGGTGAGGGTCACATGCGTCGTCAAGACCAGAAGGTTACATATGCTTCAGGTTACATACACTTCAGGTTACAGACTCCGCTAACCCAGAAATAATGCTTCAGGTTAAGAACTTTGCTTCAGGATGAGAACAGAAATCGTGCTCTGGCGGCGCTGCAGCAGCAGGAGGCCCCATTAGCTAAAGTGGTGCTTCAGGTTAAGAACAGTTTCAGGTTAAGAACAGACCTCTGGAACGAATTAAGTACTTAACCCAAGGTACCATTGTAATAGGAAAGCCGTCCTGGCCAGGCCGGAGTCCTTGCTGGGAATAGCACTCCTGACAGATGATTTGGACTCAGGTAATTGAATGCTACTAACAGTGGAAGACAGGAGTGCCTGGCGTGCTCTGGTCCATGGGGTCACGAAGAGTCAGACACGACTAAACAACTAAACAACAATTGAATACTTTCAATGCTTTTCCATAATATTTGTGGATTGGGGGGGGGGCAGTTGCCACCTCCTGGTTATGCCCCACTAGAATGCCCGCTTGGTGTCTAGGTTTTTGGAATACAAATAACATTCTATAACTAAGTGATCCTTCCTCCTTTCCTCAGCTCCAAATATTGGGGGTGGAGAGATAATTTTTATTGGGACCTTGGAGTGGAGGAAAAGGACTTACACTCTCCCTGCCTCTTGCTGCACTCCCAGTCATGATTGCCCCTACCCTTGCTGCAGCTGTGTGATGGTGGTGGAAGAAAAGAAGCAGATAAAAAGGTAGTACTCTTTGGAAAGAGAAGGGCTAAAACGGTAGTCATGAGTAGGAACAAGGAAGCTGCCTTATACGAAGTGAAGCCATTGGTCTATTCAGTAGCTGATGCCATCAGGTGGGTCCCTGCAGCTTACCCAGAAGAAGAGGCAATGGGGAGGTCAGCACTGTGCAAACACACTGGCGTGAGCACTGTATTGCCTCCACTGGTGCATTTGTGCAGAATCAACTTCCCAACAGCCTTGCCCTCCCTGCTCTCTCTTGGTAAGCAGCAACAACAACTCACCTGCACAGAGATCAGGCAAGTACGTCTGCCTACCACTGAAGCCATCTAACTCAATATTGTCCACACTGACTAGCAGCTCTTTCCTGGATTTCCAGTTGACGTTTTCCCAGCCTTATCTGAAGATGCCAGAGGATGAACCTAGAACCTCTTGCATGCAAAACATGTGCTCTTCCACTGAGCTACCATTCTTCCCACAAGAACCTAGGGAGATTCCTAAAGGGAGAAATCATAGCGAAAGAAATGACCAAAGCACCACTTAATCAGACCACACCCAGCCTATATAGGCCAGAGTGTGCAATGGGAACAGATGTTCCAGAAACATTTGGCCTTGCATGCCACTATTTCTCCTTTCAGACTTTATTTGTGTTTATTTTTAAGATGTTGTGTTAGTTAATCTAAATTGCTTTATGCGAAGTTGTATGGATTGATCTTTTTATTGATGTATTGATCATTGACACTAGGGTTATCTGTAACTGAGGGAAGGTCTTGTTCCCCTCCTTCTTTCTGGTTCAACCCTATGTTCATTGAGCAGAGATGCCATTCAGATGCAGCCTTATTCTCTATTTCCAACTTTGTTTGGCTCAGTGCTGTCTCAACTTCCCCTCAACCACTTTTGAGCTGCCCAGAGGATGACCCATCCACATGTGCCCATATTCAGCCCACTGTTACACTGCTTACCTATGTGAAATGTGAATGGACCCAGACAGCACATGTCATGCAAAAGCATGAAAGGAAGTTTTTGAGGGCAGAAGGGGGGTGGTGGGGAGAGATGCCTGTAACTTTGTGTCCTGCCTACTTTTAGCCCAACATAAACTGATAGTTTGAATTTGCTCTTTTAGAATACCTGCTTCTCATACCATTCCTTCCAAGATGATACTGTCTTCTAGTTGTTAATCTTGGGCAGTAATTATAGTATTGTTTCCCAAGGAGGATATAACTAATGGTCTTTGAAGTATTCCTCCCACCCCACCCCCCACTCCCAGGGTAATATTTGAACCAAACCAAGTAGTTCGAGGGTGGAAGGGCATGGACACCATGCACATTAACAAACACAATGACCATTCATATAAACTATTTAAAGGTTTATTGGACTGAATAATGGCATTATACATTTTAAGCCACTAGAAATTACAGTCCTATGTATATAAGATCCACCTTCACATTTAGAAAAAAAAAATGTAAAAAATACCCAGACAGCCAGTTTTGTCACTATTGAGGAGATAGCTTTGCTCGCTGCCACTAGTAATATTCCTTGTACAATAGACGTATTGCTGTATACTGAGACGTTATATTGTATATAAGGCATTCTTTGCATAGTTAATGCTGTTTGGAACACTGCATCTGTCAATGTGAGTTGGAGGCAGAATGGTTGCTAACAGTTTTTTCAAAGCCGAGTGTCCTTATACATATTTGTATATATAAATAGGATTCAATTGCAAACTGTATTGCTAGTGAAAACATACAGAAGCAGAAGCTTAGACTTAAAAAAAAGAAAGAAAAGCCAAACTTCCCACTGTTTCCTAAATAAGCCCTTGAAAAAGTTATGCTAGGGGGGGAAAACATCTGCCCCAAACCTAGGTGCCCCAAAGAATGATTGACTAAACAATTTCAAGTATTGTCTGCATAAGTTATCATTTTTAAAAGCAGCTTGGGTTTGATATATTATTAAGCATCGAATCAGTCTGCCCTCAAAACATGAAGAAAAAGCAGGAGTATTGGGAGGAAATTCCAGCCTAAAATGGTAATTCTGCAAAACAGGAAGTGACATCAGTATTGTCCTGAAATACTACCTTTGTGGAGGAAAAGACTTATAAAACCGGTGTGGGCTTATAGTAATTGATGGTTTCTAGCCACTAAGGCCCATCAGATGTTATTTTCTGTATGGGTTAATGATCGGATAAATCTTTCAGGGAAGTAAAGAACAGAGAAGTTCAAAAAAGATGTAACAGTGTGGTGTCAGGGAGAAAAGAAAACAAGGATCTTTGAGGTTAAGTCTATAATTAATATTTCAAGAGTTGCCTTACATTTCATGGATTACGTTTTCTAACTCTGTTATTGGGGACAGGAAGCAACCGCTAACTAAACAGAAGCATTGGCTATCGAGCATTAATGGTGCTCAGACCTCAGGATGAAAATCAGTCATGAACTATTACACTAAGGCGGCAATCCTGTATATCCATTTTGCTGGGAGTAAGCCCCATTGAACTCAGTGGGACTTACTTCTGAGTACACAGGCCTAGGAGTGCATTCTTATCTCTCAGGATTCATTCTACCTAAGATGGAGGACTGCTTCGTCTTCAAAAGGCTATGAAGCAAGACAGGCTACACTAAAGTCTACATCCTTCCACCATCCACAAACCATCACAATGCTTTATATCTCAATGCATTGTCTTCAAGGATATAAAGGAAGTTTTTGGTCCCAGGTAGAGGGGTGGAAAGGGACCAAATAGTTTGATATTGTATCTCTGGACTGGCTGATGCAATGGGTAACCTTTGTCCATGCTATCTAAACGGAATATCTCGGGTTTTTCTTTTGGATACAGCAGATATGGAGTGGTTGTCACAACAAAGTGCATTCATGAGTTTTACTTTGACATCCAAGAACAGCACCCTCAAAATGTAACTTCTGTAACTTTCTCTATCCCACTTAATTCTTGGGATCAAGCCACACAGATCCTTTCCGGTCTCAATATTACAAAGATTTATTCTGAGGAACTCGGCTTCGTTCAGCCAAAGAGAAAGTCCCGTATTTTGAGGGGTTATTTATTTTTCGGTTATGTATGCGTATCAGGTTGGTTTGGGGTTGGTTTGTTTCTCAAGCCTTTAAAGATGCCAAAGGGAAAGCCTTAGGAAGAGTTTAGGGATAACTTCATATAGTCTTCAGTTCTGCAAGGGAAACAAGAAGAAAAATAAAGAGGATACATTTCAGTCAGGTCGCTTTCTGTGGGTTGCTTTCCTACTACTACTTTCTGAGATAAGTGGAGGAAAAGAACCGAGTTTAGGGAGGGAGTTTGAAGGAAAGTTTCTGAACCACCCAGGCACACACACACAGTGATTAGCAGAAGGGGTGCCTCAAGGCTTAAGGCATTTGCTTCATCATTTGCAGCAGGGTAGTCTATGCCCAAGAAAGTGAGCACTGTATCTAGAAACCTCTTATTTTGTGCCAGGCATATTCCAGGTTCTAGCCCTGCAAACTGAAAACATGCAAGGATCCATGTAAAACCAAATTAGTATGTCTCAGTGTCCCACCTCAAACATTTCCCCCTTTGGATATCCCAAGAAAAGTGGGTCACTTGGCCAAATAACATGTTTCATAATATAGGTCTACAAACAGATTCAGGCAGACCATACATTGCTTCTCACACATTACAGATTTGCGTTAGCCTTTCCACGGTTGACAGAAGCAGTTTTTACTGACCCAGGAAACTGGAGCTTGCAACGGAGGGAATTACTGCAGTGCATAGCTTTAACCAATCTCATTTCTGCTGGCAACCCTTTCCTAAAAATATGCACATCCCAGCATCATTTCCTTATCCCCCCCACCCAACTGCATACATTTTTCATAAAAATCAAAGACTGACTCGGTTCATAAATATTTTGAGAGCATGTGCTTGCTAAGGTTTGCTGTTGAGGCACTATGGGTACTGGTAACCATTTATCATAGACAGCAGTGGACAAGAGGTATACTCACCCATGTCTTATATATCAGACAAAATGAGTTTACACCCAATTGTCCAGTATAAAAAGATACAGGCTATAATCTTCTTTATGCTGGAAATAATATCTTAATAATCTACAAAGGGCAGCATAGTTCAGTCACACTCAGTTGTTTATTGTTCCCCTTTTATAGATTGAATAAAAGAAAAAGAAGCAAAGTGTATGAATCCAATATCATTTATACTGATGTTGACTTACTGAAGTTAATGAGGCTAAAGCAATGGACAGTGGCGTAGCGTGGGGGGTGCAGGGGGGGTGACCGCACTGGGCGCAACATCTGGGGGGGTGCGCTCGCACTCGCAGCTCTCTGCCCCTGCTAAAATCCATGGGTTAGGGGGCGCAAATTACTTGCCTTGCCCCGGGTGCTGACAACCCACGCTACGCCACTGGCAATGGAAATGATTGTGAAATAGCTCCACTAGGTTGCAGTCAACATGATTAAAGAACTGGTGTGCCTGCCCTTAAACCACTTTTACCTCATTTGGGTCAAAGGAGCTTAATGGCTTAGGAAACAGGCAGACAGCATTTGAATGCCATTACACTCTTCAGAAATGGTCTTTTTCCCAAAGTAGCTTTGGGATCAACAGACTTAATGGCCTCGGTGTGTTATGTCAAGTATTTTTGAGCTGTTGGACCACACAACAGTCCTCTTGATGCCATATACATTTATATAAGGCATTTTATTTTGTTTATTTTGTTTTGTTGGAAGCCGCCCAGAGTGGCTGGGGAAACCCAGCCAGATGGGCGGGGTATAAATAATAAATTATTATTATTATTATTATTATTATTATTATTATTATTATTATTATATCAACTGAAACAGTTCATCCCAATCTTAAGAGAAACATTAATGTCAGCATCAGTTGGCTTGGCAATATAAGCAGCATCATGCAAAAGAGAGTTCCACATGCTTTCCGATTCCAGCTTTGTGGACAGTCACTGACTTTAGTGTTTTAGGGAAACAAAATGGCATTCAGTTGTTCTATGAAATTCTTGATGCATCTTCTCCATGCATAGGGAAAGGAGGGTACCTACATACCACACTTTTAGGGAATGCAGAAAACAATCTTATTTTGACCATGATCACCCCAAAATGCTCATTTCTGGACAATTCACTAACAGCCCAATCTACCCATTCAAGCCAATATACCCGTATTTTTCGCACCATAGGGCGCACCAGACCATAGAGCGCACCCAGTTTTTAGGGGGGGAAATCAAGAAAAAAAATATTTCCCCCCCAGCCCCAAAGAGCAGCGTACAGGCTGTGCACAACCTCTCCCTGCCGGAGGGGTTGAGCGCAGCTATGGAGCAAGCCAAGGCAGGGGGCGGGATGGATCTTGCTCGCTGTTTTGGCTTCCCCTTTAGCCCCGTGCATCCTCTCCCTCCCGGCTAAAGAATCCATAGCCCCGCGCAGCCTCTCCTTGCCGGGAGACACTGCGCAGGGCTTTCCTGGCTTTTCTGGGAGGTGGGGGGATTCCCTCACCTTTCGCAAAACCGGCAGAAGCCACGCATACTTTAAAAGGGCTGCACGGCTTCTTCTGGCTTTCCTGGGAGGTGGAGGGATTCCCTCGCCTCTCGCAAAAGCCTGCAGAAGCCGCACAACCCCTTTAAAGAGATTGCGGCTTCTCCTGGCTTTTCTGGGAGGTGGGAGAAGCAACTGATGTGGCCAGTCAGTCCCTTCTCCCTCCTGGGGAAAAGCCCGCAAGAGCGCACAGAGCTTGTGTGCGGCTCTTGGGGGCTTTTCCCGACTGCCTCCCCCCTGCATTCGCTCCATAGGACGCACACACATTTTCCCTTGCTTTTTAGGAGAGAAAAAGTGCGACCTATGGTGCGAAAAATACGGTACTTAGATTTTATTACAAACATCAGGAACTGCATTAGCTAATGTGTCGCTATGCAAGCAATTCATCTGATGTAATGTTAGCTAACTTTGCATGGCATAGATCCAAAATATTGTACAAGTAGGGAGAGGAATATGAGATCATAGTCCCTTGATGGCTCCCAGTTCTCCCATTCAGTATTTTTCTGCAGCTTCCTAATCCATTCATCTCCTTCCCTATCGCTTGTTGACACAGCAAAACACTCATAAGTTAGCAGATGGGGAATGACATCAACTGCCTGGAAAAGGATCAGTACAACACAGAAGATATGAGAAGGAAATTTTGTGAACGATTGCCAGGTGGGGCACAGATAAAGAACAAAAAGACCTGGGGAGAACTAGAAGCTGAGCAAAAATGGAAAATTTCAAAAGCTCAAAGCAGCATTCCCACTGCCCCTCTGTTTTCTCTATGCCTTCCTAACACGTTCAGAAAGAAGAGAAATTTTGGCCCACTAGCTAATAAATACCATGAGTTTTATTCCAATTAAATTATACTCAGAGGAGATCCGTTGAAATTGAAGCACCTACATTAATTTCAGTGTGTGTACTCTCATGATTTCCCCTTATATGAATGGTTATAGTTTCTAGAGAAATAGCTATGCTGACTGCAGTAAGCCCCCACTGCCTTGGGTCTCAAGATTCCTGCTTCTTCTTCCCCACCGGTGAGTGCTCTTACCGTGCTGCAAAAGATGAAAAGCAAAAAAAGGAACAGAAACTTACCAGCCTCTCTTATCCCAAAGAAGCACCATGCTGGACAGGAAAGCAAAGCTGCTGATCAAGGAGTGGGAGGAGAAGGACAAGGCAAGCAGCGAAAGGGCAAATGACAACAGGAAGAGAAGGTATTTACCATCCCAAGGCTACACACACAAGGAATCAGCAAGCAGATATCACAGGAGGAGCAAGCAGAGGGGGGAAAGCATGCACTGGCGAGCAGGATTGGCAGAGGCCAAAAGGGCACCTGCTCCAATGTATTCCCTACCCCTCGGAAGGCCTAGCTGTGTTTGTGGAAGGGGGAGTTGGCAAAAGCGCCTTAGCTGCTATGATTGATTCTCTGCAATCGCTTCTTTCTTTTGGCATATTCGGAGGAGCTGTCTTATGATGACGTGTTTGTGCAGTCTGAAGTGATGCAACAGTGATGCTCTGTGACTAGAAAGACAAACTTGTATGTTGTCCTTAAAAACAGGACACAAGCAGACCCCAAATGGGAAATTCTTGCCCTACCCTGTGGGATTTCACCAAGAAGTTGTGGTGCACTAACATTTAGATCCAAAGTTGAGAGTTCTTCCTGTTGTATGAATTGTGAGTTTCGGAGTGTTGTGCACAAATCTGCTGCAAGCTTTGGCCACTGTATCTTAAATGAAGGGCAGGTCAAGCAGGAGGGCTGCATCCCCTCCATTCTCCTCTTCTTCACTTGGAGTTAAACTAGGGCAAGCACACAGCTGTTGGTGATAGTAAACACAGCCACCATGCATCTAGCTCCCCACTGCCCACTGCCACAATGTCTAGTAGAACGTATACTGGCTGCAATCTGCAATGCCAAAATCATATTCATTCTCCAAGCTGCATAATTGGGAGGTAGGAAAACATGAGATCATGATGTCACAACACAAGATACGTTCTACTACACATTAGAGAAAGAGAAGTGGAGCTAGATGCAGAGCTGCTGATTTCATTGGCAGCTGCACGTTTCCCATGATGTCTAAGTCTGGCCGTCAGAAACTGCTTTGGGGTTGTCTGTACCTGGAAACAACAGCACCTGATGCTATCAAATGGTGGTTACATCAGAATGGCACTTTGTTGATATTTCCCAGGAGGGGTGACATTCAGAAAGCATCCTGACCTTTATTGCTCTTTCAAAACTCACGGGACACTTGAATGTTGTCCTTTGCCTCTGGCTGACCCTAAAACTGTGTCAAGAATGTGCACACAGACATTCACCTCAAAATGGAAATTTCACAGGGGCCATCCGCAGACCTTCTTGTTCTTAGGCTTAGGCTCATACCCCCATTCTCTGTTTCTCTCATCTATGGAATGACAAGAAGATATTGTGGGTTGTATCAGCCCAGATCCCGCCCAGAGCAGACCTGCTGAAATTAGTGGAACTTAGTAAGTCATGGTCATTAATTTCAACAAGTCTGCTCTGGTGACCAAGAAAACCTGTGTTTCTAGACCCTTGCTTAACTACACTGAACAAGTTATGTTGGTTTATACCTTGTTAACTGCCTAGGCTTCCTCAAAGAATGCTTGGAATTGTAGTATGGAGACATGGTGAGGAGAATTCTATGAAAGGTCCCCACCACATCTACTATCACCACCACCCTCAAGCTACAATGCCAAGGTTTCCCTGGGAAGAGGGACTGGTTGAGAAACCAGTTCTAATCTGGTGTGGATATGCCACTATAATACAAAACAGGAGAAGGGGTTTTGCAGAGAGGCTTCCCAAGATCTACAGAGGGCGCCCCAACACCAGGAATCTCACACTGTCTTCCCGGGGAAACAGTAAAAATGAAGCGTCATAACTAGAAGACTGTAAAGGACCGAATCCAGAATCATATCCTGCTTTGAATTGTTCCACCCTTCAGGATTAAATCCTAATATGACCAGAGATCCATAAAGTATAATTCACAAATCACTTGCTGAGGCTGTTTCTAAAATGCATCCTTTAGACTTCCTGATAGGCAGGTGGGTGGAAGTGCATAAGAGGAGGAAAGGTAATGCTTTATATGTAAATATAGAATGTGGAACCCATTTGAAATCATGAGCATTTCCAGGCTGGTTTGTTCCCTTGATGCCAAAGGGGCTACTAACTAAGTGGAAGTGCAAGTTTGCCACTTGAAGCAGCTTCTGGACTGTAGGTTTTGGCCACAACCCAGACCCTAGTCACTTACTGCAGGGCATCTTCATAGATTTTCACTGGGGTATCTGCAACACTGAGAAGGCTGGCATCAAGGGCGCTTGCTGAAGCCCATGCCCCAGCAGGAGGCTTGCTTCCAATCCCCGGCTGCTGCCTCTTCTTGCTGCCTGTTCACCTGCCTTCTTGGAGTAAGCAAGAAGAAGGGGCAGCAATGCCTTGCACTCATTCTCTTGGGCAGGGTTGCCTGTTGGGCCTCAAAGGAAAGGCACATTGTGGCAACAATGGCGAGGGAGAAAGGGATGGGTGTGCTTAGGGAAGGGAGCCCAAGGAGAGCATCTTGCCCCCAAGGGGCCCTTGGATTGGCACTGGACACCGATGCGGATCCTCAGCTACCAAGACAAGTTATGAAACGGAGCTAATCCAAGAGGACAAAAAGTATTGAGGAGCCAGGCAGGCAGAGCCTATGCAGTGCAGCTGGATTCCTTGCAGACCTCTATTTTTTGCTTCTTCTGTAATCCTACTATTTGGCTTGTCACTGCTCTTGACTCCTGCTGGATCCTATGTCATAGCTTGCCCTTCATCTTCGGTTCTTACTCTCTGCTCCTGGGGCTGTATCTTTCCCTGTTTGCGCTGCAATCTTGGAAGCTTTAACCTTGCCTTGATGTCCTGGCTGACTAAACCTTGGCATGATCATAATCCATAGTCTTCAAGCTTTGCTGTTCCTGCCTATTTCCTTGGCCTCTGACTTGAACGAGTTCCAAACGCATCCCTTACATGTGAAGTGTTGAATTTTCCAGTTGTGCTTTAATGATTAAAGTTGTTTGCAATCAGAAAGCTGACATGACCAGGACACCCCTTGAATTTTCTCCCTGTTGCCAGATTTTGAATTGGCCCAGATAGTTGCCCCTTGAACAGCAGTTTTATGTGGAGCAATTAGCAGTGGATAATGATTAGCTCCATGACATGAAAAGCTTCACTTGCTGATGTCAAACCTATGTTAAAGGCAGAGAAGCAAGCCAGAGCTGCTGTAGCTGAGTGGCTAGGTTCACGTCTCATTTCTACCATAGACTCAAAAGGCAAACCATTCTCTCATCTCCACTCTGCATCTCAAGAATACTATTGATCTTCCTTACTGGGCTGTTTCAAGGATTGTTGAGATAATGCATGTTTCTGAACACTTGGGAAGTACTATATGAATGCTAAACAATAATGATTTTCAGAAAAGCTTGTTCTTCAGTATGAGAATTTCTGGAGCTGTTGGGCAAATGGTCCCTTTAATAACTACCCTCTTATTTTCATGACTGCACAGCAAGCTAAGCCCTATATGTAGTTGTTGCGTTGTGTCATACATAAGGCAGCTGTCCCCAACATGGTGCCCTCCAGAGGTTCTGGACTACACTTCCTATGATCCCTGACCACTGGCTTTGCTGATTCAGGCTGATGGGAGTTGTAGTCCAAAACACCTAGAGGGCACCAAGTTGGGAAAGGCTGGTTTAAGCCAAAATTGCAAGCATTAGATTGTAAACAACACAGCAAAACTGTGGCAAAGGATATTAGTGGACTGGGGTCAGTGTGTCCTATAATGCAAACACCTTCCAATATTGAAAACCCAGGGCCCAATCCAGTAAGCACCATAAAACCCCACTGATGTCACTGAGAGAGATTTCAGCATGTGCATAGCTTTGGGGGTGCTATGGTAGTTAAAGACCACAAGTTCTGGACTAGAAAATGGCCTTAGGCAAACGACTGTATCTCAGCCCCTGATACAGCTGCACCTCAGAAGTCAAACGGAATCCATTCTGGAAGTCTGTTTGACTTCCAAAATGTTGGGAAACCAAGGCCAATCGGAAGCCAATCGGAAGCCGCGCAAACCGCATCAGATGTTCGGGTTCCAAAGAATGTTCACAAACCGGAACACTGACTTCCGGGTTTGCGGTGTTCGGGAGCCAAAACGTTTGCCTTGCAAGACATTTGACTTCCGAGGTACGGCTGTAATATCATTCTGCTGCATGCCTTTCATTTTGGGTGGACAGTTCCTTTGGGCAGAAAAGACGGCAATATTACTACAAACAGAAACTCAACCTGAATGGAAAGAAGTTCTGTCCAGCCTATAGCAATTTGACGTAAATGTTCATTTTAAAATTTGGGAGGCAACTTTGCTGGACTCGGGTGAAGTCAGAATGTGGATTCGGAGATCTGACAGAAGAATCCTACATGGAACCCCTGCAGCCCACTCTTGTTATTTTTAATTCTGGCTGCTGCCTAGGAGGGACAACTCGCAGAATGGAAAATAAAGGCCAGTGAATGTCCCATTAGGGAAAAGCCGGTGTATCCTGTTCCACCATATTGATTTGTGGTGCTCATGGTAAATGAAATGGGGCACAGAGGGGAAGGAGACTAATTCATTAGTTATGAGGAGGGAGGGGGGAAGTGGGAGGTGCGGGGACGGGGGGGGGGGAACATGGTCAACTTTAGTTTCAGATCACATTAGCAGAGGTTATAGGTGGTACCACTAATTCTAAGAAGCATCGTCTCCTTACCAAAAAGATTTGTAAGAATGTTTGTGGCCGAGGACCTAAGGTACTTGCTACAGGGATGTGAGGTCAGAGGTCAGCTCAATCCTGTAATATAAACGCAGCAAACCTGGGTCACATCAACATGGCAGCACTGTCAGGCAGTCCCTGACTGGGGTGGGGCTGAGGGGTAAGGCAGTTGTGTTTGCACGCAAGGGATTTGGGGGTGGGGGGAAGGACTGGGTGGCATGGCTTCCCTCATCTGATTCAGTGCATCTCCTTACCTGAGGGCAGCCCTGCCCCAACAAACCAGCTAGAAAGAAGGATTGTTTGAAGAAGCCTGAAATGAGAAATTGCTGATGCCACAGCCAGCACTCAGAGGTGGGGCAAGGACGGGGGAAGAAGAAAAGAAACAAAACCAGAGCTTGGGGAAAACAAAAAACACAGACACACAAAAATATGGCACATTGACAAGAAACAGAGAATCCGTTAGAAGAAATGCGACAATCTGCCAACGCCAATTAGTGCAGGAGGCTGGAGAGGGGTTTGCGAAGGGCTCTGCACAGAGGCAGCAAGCATCAAGGATCCCAGCCCAGGTGAATTCTGGAACGGAAATGCATGGCACAGGAGAAAATGCTGTCAGCCAGGAAGCAAACCACCGCTTGTAACACCGACATTGCAATCCAGGACAGGGAGAGGTGTCAGAGCACATGCTCAGCCCTTATGAAAAAGTTGTCCCGTAGAACTGCTTGCCTTCCTGTTAAATGGAAGGTCGGAGGAACAGTCACTGAACCACCTCCGTGACGGAGGCAAGAGAATCTCACCTGGTTGTTCTTACATCAGTCCTCGTGCATTTTTGGTTAAATTAGCACCTGCAGGGATGGGGAGATTATGGCCCTCCAGAGGTTGTCGGACTCACCAGCCCCCGACAGCAGGACCAGTGATGACTGGGGTTGGGAATCCAACAGGACTGGAAGGGCCATAGGGTTCTCTATCCTTGATCTACCCAATGAATGACTGTGGTCTTTAAAGCAGACCTGCACATCATACAGGCTCTGGATCATATGTGGTATATGGGGTGGCCATGTGTCCCACTTCACAGAGGATGGTCCTCTGTTTGAAGGTGGCTGTCTGGTCCAAATCTGGTTTAAAGGTAAAGAACCAAAACAAGGGAGTGCAGTAACTTTGAAGTTGCCCATCAAGGGCCATCCCAGACTCTGGTGAGAAGTATTGTATTTCTATTTAAATTATTTCTCTATCTATCTCTCCCCAGCAAAATGTCAGTCAGCAATGCAAGGTCAATAGAGCAATGGGATTACAAAGTCAGTAGAGCAATACATTAGCCACCTGGAGCCTCTTTTACCTGCTGATGCATCATTGAAAAGCTAGCTAAACAGCTGGATCTTTCATTTTGGTATTAATGGAAGAGGTAGAGAAAGCCTGGTACGAATGAGAGCCTAACAGGTACTTGAATTATTACCAACAGAGGAAGGAAAGGACATTATGTTCCTACATGTAAGCACAGCAAGTTTGATTCCCTGGAAATGTGCAAGTTTACATTTTGTCTGTTAAAGATATGCATGAGGACAGAGGTGCCTCTGACTTGCACTTTCTGTATTTCTGCATGTCATGAATGCAAAAATGCAAGCAGCTCTGAGCGCTGAGACTTACAGTGGAAGGGCAGGATATAAATAGTTCTAATAAATAAATAAACGAAAGACTGCTCCAAAACGGCTTAAATAATTTCTTCCCCAAAAAAATATGTTTAGGACTGAGGCAGAAGATAACCTTACAGCAAAGCTTGCATCAAAATGAGTTGGGACTTCTCAAGGATGGATCGCAGCTATTGGAGACCACAAGTTTGATTCTTTTGTGGCTTGATTTTAACTTAACTGCCCAGATTACATAAAGATCTTCTTTCTAAAGAAACTCATTTCTAACTACATCCAGTTAAAAGCATCAAACCACACCAATGAATAGAGGCTTCTCTGAAGGACATTTGATATAGTAGACCATTTCTAAGAGTAGGAGAACTCCAGGGCCTTTCTGTACCCACAGTAGTATGTATGAATGTAACAGGTAGCACTCCTATAGCACCCTACCCAGCTAATGGGTACATTCAATGCTACTTCACTGAGGGCTGTAAAGAATTGTCTTCTTCCAGCGATATGCCTGATGAGCATGGAATGTTGCTGTTAGGTGAACACCATCTCTTACCAAAAGAAGCTAGATATTTGCGCCTGGTGCACACATTTTGAAAGCTTTAAATTCATATTCAGTTCCCTTGAGCATTTGGCTTCCTGACCTGATTACTCACCTGGCAAACAATGCCGCAAGGCATCCTATGACCCCCTCAACAGTTCACATCTGTGTACTGGCCTGGTAGTTCATTTGTTTTGCTTGCTCATTTACACCACTCAGATCAGCTTTTGGGGACAGGATAGGTGCATGAACTACTAGACGATAAAGCTCTCGTCTGTTATGAATTGATTAATAAAGGTAAAGGTAAAGGACCCCTGACAGTTAAGTCCAGTCACAGACGACTCTGGGGTTGTGGCGCTCATCTCGCTTTACAGGCGTTTGTCCACAGACAGTTTTTCTGGGTCATGTGGCCAGCATGACTGAGCCACTTCTGGCGAAACCAGAGCAGCGCACAGAAATGCCGTTTACCTTCCCGTCGGAGCAGTACCTATTAATCTACTTGCATTTTTGGCAAGCTTTCAAACTGCTAGGTTGGCAGGAGCTGGGACCGAGCAAAGGGAGCTCACCCCGTTGCGGGGATTCGAACCGCCGACCTTCTGATCGGCAAGCCCAAGAGGCTCAGTGGTTTAGACCACAGCGCCACCCGCGTCCCTCTATGAATTGAACTGATACATAGGCCAAATATAGGCACCTTGCTGTGCTAACTACCATTGCATGAAAAGCTGTGCATGCTGAAATTCCTTCTGCTACACAGCTATTCTACATAAAGGACTCCTGTCCTGTTGCATTTGGTCACACTATGTGGTGGTCGCAATCTACAACTGAAGCAAGCAGAAGCACTTCTACTGGACTGACTTGTGTTCAGCTGGAATCAGCAGCTCCAATTAGCCTATATGCAGTGATTTCCTCACAAGTGGATTTCCACTGGAGAAAGCAGATCTGGATTGTTTAAACTGCAACCCTATACACACTTACCCGGGATTAAGCTCAGCTGAAAACAATGAGATCTGCTTCTGAGTAAACATGTCTAGGATTGCAGGTTAACATCTTTACAAACATAAATTTCAGTTCCAGAACTGGCTTCCTTTCTCCATCACGATGTTCTTTGCAGAGCCTTGTGGAACCATAAGAGAATTATATGAACTGAGTTCCAACTGAAGAAGCAGGGTGTCATTCTGCTATTTTAAATAATAGCAGTCTGTAGTCCCTGCCTTTATTGGAACTAAGTGTGACTGCAGAGCAAAGTAAGTGCTCAAAAATAATGAATTATTATCTGTATGTGTGTTTGAGTATGTATATAAAGACAGGTCCAGGATTTATGGAAATGCCAATTAAATATTTAGGCTTGCGAGCTTGCGACCCATTCCTAGTCAGACTTCAGGTCTCCATTAGTAAGCTCGTTTTTACACAGCTCTGACCAAACAGACACAAAAAAGGGAGGAAAAGGCAAAGCAAACTTTGCTGACCACGTCATAAAGCAACAACACGAGAGGGAATCGCTAAGCCATTAGCACAAGAAGGAAAGCTTTGTAATTTTTTTTTGCTATATTCCATTATTTTCTTACTTATTTTATTTAGGTTTAAACTGCCTTTAAATTTTTATTTTAACAAGAAAGGCAGTGTCACAAGAACTCTTTGGCACAGGTGGGAGGAACCCTTGCCCCCACCAATGTTGTTGAACCACAATTCCCATCAGCCCCAGCAAGCATGGCCAATGGCCAGGGATGATGGGAGATGTAGTTCAGCAGCATCTGGAGGGCTAAAGGTTCTTCTCCACCACCTGCTTTGGCATGTAAAACATAATAACGATGCTGGTGATGCCATCTCCCAACTGGACCTAGGCAGCTGTTCCTGTATAGCTGCAATCCTAAATGCACATACAAGAGAGTAAGCTCCGCTATAGTCAGTGGAGCACACTTCTGAGTAAACGTGCTTAGGCTCATGCTGGACATCTTCCAGTGCTAGGGTTGGATGAAGTATTCAGCCAAGACCCTTTTTGGGACTTGATTTTATAATCTTCAGTACTGGGGGGAACTTATATTTTTTGTGGGGGTGGCGGTAGCTTATCATGCTAGATATGAGATGGCAGAAGGTATCAAGTGGTGGCAGACATGTAATGAGCAGTGGCAGCTCAGCCTTCCTGAATGGGAACTGCTATGTATTGAAATTCTCACCCTGGCCACCAGGGGTATTGTGTATATAGTTTTCACTCAGGTCCACGTCAGTTAATTTAGGTGGGAAACCCTGGGCTGTTGTTGTTACAATGTTGACAGCTGGCTGCCTATAAAAGCAGGCCGGCTGAGCTGTTCAGTTCAGTTCAGTTCAGTTCCAGCTTACTATAAAGAACCACTTGGAGAAATCTCTCTGTCGTCTGCTTTGTCAACCCACTACTTAATAGGAACGATGCTACATTTTGATGCAGTACAGCCTTTGGGCTACAAATTCTATCAACCCCACTGATGCAGCTGCTGGTGGGAGTTGCCCAAACATCTGGAGGGCACCAGGTTGTGGAAGTCTGGTAAAGCACCATTCCCAGGGGTATTAGTGGAAATATGTATAGTTAATCCCACTGGCCATCTGCTCCCTGGTTGACAAGAGGTCTTAATGCACAGAATGAGAAAGTAATGGAAGGCCAGAAATGGCGTCTATTTACATGATCCCTACCATACTGGGTGGCTAAACTCAAAGAACTAAAAAGAAAAGAAAACCTCTTTGGAAAGTGATTTAAACTGAACTTGTCTGAGCCTGAGGGCAACCACAACAGGATGCCCACAGTATATCTTGTTCCTCTGAGAAATGCTGGCTATTCATTGCTTGGAGAACCTCGAGATCTCTCCTTGAAATAGGAGGCTAGAGCCATTCCTTGCCAGCAGAGCTGTTTCCAAGGAAGTGGGCAGCATCTTTCAAAATGGGAATACCACATTACCGTTAGTCGGACTTTAATTCCCAGGGAAGCAGCAGGTGCAAATAGACCTGAATGCCTTAGTCTTTTGAGAATGGATAAAATGCAGTAGCCAAATAATTCCGAGTTACAACTTGTAACCAGAAGAAGATGGGTTCCAATCCCCGGCTGATCTGCTGAATTTAAAAGGATGCTCAGCTTACCTTTGTTCTTCTTCAAGTTCTTCTTTGGTCATCATGGTTTTATACTGGTTTCCTCTCAGTTTTCCAGGACTATATTTAAAGGAGAACTGTTCATCTGCTACAGAAGAAAGAGAGAGAGAAAGTCAGAACAAAGAAAGAGCTAGGTCCACAATTTTATGCTGACATAGGAGGAAAGACTACATAACAGTGAGGCTTATTCCCAAGCAAAACGCAAAAGATCAAGCTATTGTTTTCTGAAGAATATTCCTTTCTCCTTGAATTAAGGGTTCACTTCCATATTAGGAAGAAGCAAATGCTATTTTGATTACCCTACGTTATTCTGATTTTGCCTTCCTTCCAGCCAGAGATTTATCTGTTTCCCTTGTGAGCTGTTTAATGCTTTAGTTTTGCATGCAATCTATAATCACACAGAAAGAAAACTGAGCTGGGCCAAAAATGCTCATCACACAGAAATCTAGTTGCATCTTGAAAATAATTCCACTTCAGATTTTTCAATTCTGAAATGTGAAGATCAGAAGAAACATTTTTTTTAAAAATTAAAGGTGCGAGCTGGTCATATCTAGCCATCTCTTATAGGTGCAAGAAACGTTTCCTATGCATATTTCAGAGAACGGCAGATAAGTTGTCCTGAGTAGATCACAAGGCAATCACTTTATTTTCACTTTTATCACCATTCCCTAACCTCCCCCTACGGTCACATCTCTGTGTGTTGTTCTGCCCGGTGTCTCCTCACACAGCGGGGCTCTAGCATGTCAAATTCTGTGTTGAATTGTGTACCCATTAAGCATGTTGCATATATGACTCAAACGTGTGCGCACAGCCCAAGATTTTATGGGGCAGCGGTTTTCTTTGTTACCACCTGATGGTGATGATGATTTTATTTATTTGCCACCCATCTGACTGGGTTGCCCCAGCCATTCTGGGCGGCTCCCAACAAAATACTGAAAACACAAGAGGATTCCTAAGTTGTAGTTTGGGTTTGCTGCCTTTCTTTACAGCAATGAATGATGCTTTATTTCTTTGGAATCCTGTAGACATAATTAAAGCTATAACTACAGTGGTACCTCGGGTTACATACGCTTCAGGTTACATACACTTCAGGTTATAGACTCTGCTAACCCAGAAATAGTACCTCGGGTTAAGAACTTTGCTTCAGGATGAGAACAGAAATCGTGCTCTGGCGGCGCGGCGGCAGCAGGAGGCCTCATTAGCTAAAGTGGTGCTTCAGGTTAAGAACAGTTTCAGGTTAAGTACAAACCTCTGGAACGAATTAAGTACTTAACCTGAGGTACCACTGTAGTAGGCAAAGACCCGAGGTTTATCTATTCAAAGCAGGTTTTTGCTAGAGCTCTTTGTTTATGTTTTAAACTGCAGTTCCGGGTTATCTTCCAACAAGAGCCTCAGTAAACAATAGGCCTGGAAGTCAATTAAAGGCCCCAAGGCAAGGGGGAGGCACCTGTGCCTGTCAGTTTCTCTTCTTTTAAGCGTGCATACATAAAAGGTTGCATTTAAATAAACTCTGCACCAGGCAGACGATGGAGCAATGCTGTCTCATTGTTGGGACTCTCCAGTGGGGCACAGGTTGTTCTCCATGTGCGAGGAGCAGGGGGACACTGTCTATTCTTAGAGCTTTATTTCTAACTGCAGGGAGGAGGGTATTGTTGTAAAGCTGGCTATGCAGCTTCCTCACCATTGCAAGAGGCAACTCATCAGGAGCTGAAGGACCGCTGCTTCATTTGTATATGCTAATGTCATGCCATCAGCATAATGACATGCTGTCGGCAATTTGCATCTCATTTGGAAAGAGCCAAACAGCGCTTTGCGCATCTCCAGCGATACATCTTCATGAGGAATTGTCATGCTGTTTGTATTACTGCTCCGAGCGGTGCTTGTCTTTGGCGAGGGGTCGGGAACAGATGGGGAGGAAGCGCCCCAGGGTTTCCCTCAGAGCCACCTAGGCTGCCTTGCGCCACCCCCAGTGGCTTCAGGTGATAGTATGAGCCCAACTGCCAAAGAGAAAGGCCCCGTGCTGAGCCAACCGTATGGAATTCTGATGGTGTCAGGTAAAAGGGCAGGAATTAAATTTCTGCTTCAACCAATTAATCAATTCATTAACCAATTGTGGCACCAGTTAAGAGTCATAGAGGTGGTTGCTCACCCCCACCTCCCAAAAGTGGTAGTGCTCAAAGCGCTGCCTCAGATATAGCCAATGCAGGTGCTCTTCAGATGTTGCTGGATCACAGCTCCCATCATCCTTGACTACTGATCATGTTGGTTGGGGCTGATGGACGTTGGAGTCCAACATATCGAGGGCATCCCTTTAGCTACCACTTCTCTGGCTCAACCCCTATATTTAATACCCTCCATATTGCTCTATCCCCCAGTTCAAACCACCTGAGAAAACTACTTACCTCAAGGTAGGGGGGAATCCATCTGCCAGACCTATATATGCAGAAGTAAAAATTCCTGGACCCTTCTGTCATACCCATGCTTCAGTCTCCCTCCTCTATTTTGGATCGGTCATCCTCAGAAACTATACTTTCTGAAGCAATCTGTGGATAACTAAAGTATGTACTGGGACACAAGGAGGGAAAACTGGGTATAATGCCAACCAGCTCCATAGCATATATTTTCTGGGACTGAGAAGAAAGAGCAGCCCACAAAAGGTAGAGGTAAACTATGAAGTTTGCTTGCAGCATTGGAGTAAAAATACTGGAAAACAGCACTATGCAAATTCACTCCCTTCCCATACGCCACACACTTTCAGCAACAGCAACCACCCTGAACAGCAAAGCCTTGGCTCAGCAGCCTTGAGGAAAGTGAAGCTTCATGAAATCTCATTTCCCCTCATGGAAAAACCAACAGTCTCCCCTGACAATGGCAGCCACACAAGTCTGATCGACTGGAAGTGTGCAGAACTTCAGCTCATTTAATTATCACACACTACCAGAGAGCTTGAAAAGGCGCTTTAATGGGTCACTGATCCTGGAGTTCCTGGATAAATGCTACCGAGACCATCCATTGAGAGAAATCAGCAGTAACGCCACGATTTATGAAAGGAATTGAATAAGGAACGGAGAAAGGATTTGTTGTTTCTGTACTTAGAGTTAGCCTGGCCACCGGCATATTCAGAAAGCTCCGAAGTACAGAGTTTTGTTTGTTTTCATTCCCAGTGGAATGTCCAGGGAGGCCATGATATTTTCAGTTGCCTCTTGTGGAAGGAGTAACAGAAACCTAAGGTCACTTTGCAATCATTCCCTCTGTTGCTGATGTTCAGGTGAGAGTGCCGGTGTACCAAAAGGGAAGTGTAATGAATTAGAATATGCTTGGACAAGAGAGAGTATATGCTCGGAGGAAGGACTGCAATAAATACAAAAAGGCCAGCTTTAAAAGCAGCCAGGTCGTCCCCACCTCGTTGCATTTCAAATCACATTTGCATGTCACTGTATATAGCTGTGTGTGTGTGTGTTTCCAAGTTGCCCACCGTGTGAGTTCACAACAGTGGACAGAGAGCGTGTGTGGAAGCCTTCATACGGTTACGTTTTCAAATAGGATCAAAGCTGGTTTGAGAGGAAAAGCATCAAAACTCAGTATTTCTCAAGAAACTACAGGAGAGCTGTTGATCGAGGCTGATGTTGTTGTGTGTACACATATCCACAAACCAGCAGTGGAAAAGTGCACGGAATACAGGCCAATTTTTAAAAAAAGAAATAGCACCGAGCGTGCTCATCGACCACAAAATGCTGACAGTCTGTTGGGGATGGAAGAACAAAACAGCAACGATATAAAACTGGATTTGGGGGGACTGGAATGGAGTTGGGGCATCCTGGAGGAAAGCCTGGCTGACTGAAAAAAAGGTGAACAGGCACGCTATAATAGCTGGTGAATCTACCAAGGACCTCTTTCTTCCACTTCTTTCCATAGTCAGGGCCGGCCTGAGACATGTTGCCACTGCAGGCAAAATACGACAACGCTGTCCCCATCTGCACAATGGCGCCCCCCACCCACAGATCCTGGTCCCCTCCCTGCCTCGGCCATGGCCCCCACACTGCTGCCAGCTGCATTACTGCAACTGTACCCTCATCTGCAGCTGTACCTGTGCTGCCACCGCAATACAGGGGCAGTGGGCGCAGCGGCACAGTCGTTGGGTTGGTGGCACAGCTGAAGCCCCAGCAGGACTGACAGTGGCACAATGGCAGGTGCGGAGGCAGAGAGGGGGAGGGATCTGCCACCTGAGGCAAATGGCTTCCCCTCAACTGCATGCATGGAAGGCTCCTGTCTGTAGTGCAGGGATGGGGAACTTTTGCTTCTCCCGACGACGTTGGACTTCCGTCAGCCGCAGCCGCAGATTCCTCCACCCCTGCTCTAATGCTGTTGGGAGGGTAGGATGAAGCTGGATAGGATGCAGCTAGATCTAGCTGCCCAGACACAAATGGAAGAGGATAGGGCTGGGGGGCGAGTCCTGATGCTCTGGCATTCAGATGGTAGATGATGAGTGACCATCAACATACCATGTCATTTCAGAACAAAAATGAAAAATAAAACACTTTCAGAGTGATCAATCTGCGCTAAAGCTGCTGCAGTTGCTTCAAACAATAATGAAAGTTTACTGAACAAAGTCGATGGTCAACTATCCATGCTTGCAACTTAATTCTTATTTCTCTAGTTTTTACTTCTTCTGTGAGAGCTTCTTCATTTAATCTCTGTGGGTCCTTCCACATGACCTGTTTATTGAGCGTTCATCCTGATTTATTGAGCATTTATTCTGATTAGACAATGTTCGCTATTTAATATGCATTCGTTCTGATTTGTCTGCAGGGAGGTTAGATGACATTGCCTCGAAGCACGTGTTATCCCTCACTTTCCTTATTGCAAAAAGTCCAAACTTTTAGGGAAGCGGGTTTGTTGCATGAGACCTCCCATTCAAATATTTGTGGCAACCTGAATTTGTGGCAGAGTCTCCCTCAAAAATAACAATATTCTGGAAGCACCTGCAACCCCTACATAACCTAAGTTTAAATTATCCATAGATGCAGTAAAGAATTCTAAATATGGCAAAGCAAGCTTTCCAAGTGTTCATAGGAATTGGGCTGAAATGAAAAGGCCTACCAATATTTATATCTTCCCTGCCTCCAGGAAACTACAGGAAACACTTTTCAAGTTCTGGGCATGAGACTTGTTGCAAAATATGTAAGAGGAGTGGAATGACCTACTTTAAACAAAGCAGCTGGAAATACAATTTTAAAAGGCATTTAGCTAAACTCACTCCTTTGCCCTCACCCACCCCATCATGAGCCTGCCAGATGCCATGGGACTCTGCCTCAAAAGGTCATCTTCTTCCATGAAGTCATTTTTTTATTATTTTAACAAAATAGAGAACTTTAAATGCTTTTCCATCCTATCTTCCTCACAATCTGATCCTATGCAGGGCATTTTCTCAGAAAGTCATCCCAATTACAGTCATACCTCGGGTTACAGATGCTTCAGGTTGCGTTTTTTTGGGTTACGGACCGCTGAAAGCCGGAAGTACTGGAATGGGTTACTTCCGGGATTCGGCGCGCACGCATGTGCAAAAGCACTAAATCGCACTTTGCGCATGTGCAGAAGCGCCGAATCGCATGGATCACGTTCGCAACCCAAGCGTCCACTGTAGTTTGATAGGACTCATTTCCAAGTTTTAAACCTGTGAATCCTATAGCCTACTAGAGATTCTTGTGTGGCAATGGCACACCTTTAAGGAAGATAGAGAGGGATGCTTGGGGTGGGGGCAGTCTCAGCTTGCTGAAAGCTTCATTTCTGGCTGCACCCTGATAGATAAGAGGATGTGAAACATGAAGCTTTGGTTTCTAACATTCAGCATGCAAAGTCAGTGGCAGATTTGCCAAGTCATTCATCTCCTGCTATATGCAGTCTACAAAACACTTAAAGTATATGAGCTCCTAAATCTACATGGACCTGGTACTTTTGAAATGAAGTGATACTGAGTCCATATCCATCATATCCATAGAGTTCAGGAATCAAATATGATAAAATAATATTGATATTTGATACTGCAGCACTACGTATTTGATCAGCAACACTGAAGTGGGCAGCCTTGCTGCCCAAATCTGATGAAGCACAAGACTGCAGTGCTAAAATGAGGCGGAAATCTCCTGCTGAATCTGTCTGGAAGCAGACTTAAGTTCACGTTGCTGAAAAGAAGTAGAAGAAGAAGCGAACCCTGAGTCAGATTGCAAAAGAAAAAGGAAAGAGGAAAGAGAAAGTAGTTGAACTATAATAATGGGCACTCTTCCACAAAGATGGGAACTGGGGAGAGAGGCATCCATTTACGTCAGAGAAACACTCAGAAGGCTGGATGCTGCAGGCAGGGGCGAAAAATGCATTAGCGAAGTACAAAATTTGCTGGCTAACAATTCAATTCCCACATGGTTGCCAGGGGCCTCACCTTCTTGGCCTTCCCAATTCTATTAATACGCCTGAATTATATAATACCTTTCTTCGTGGTTGGGAGGGGACGAGTGTATGAACCGAGACAGCCGCAGCACCAGAGTCCCATATGGCAAAGATTTTGTATGACCTCAAGTTCCCCAAGCCTTGGAATCCTGTCTGCCTCCACTAACTGCTATTGACAATTTACATGGATATTTTAAGCTATTCCAGTAAATGGTATCGCAGGTTCGTGAAATGAATAAATTCCAACACACCCAGGGATCATGTCGCCTCCTCTTAGGACAGTAATAGTTTTCCTTCTAGCTTCTTTCTTTAATTTGGAAGTCCCTTAATCAATGTTGGATGCAGAGCTGGAGATCGATGATGCACCTTTCTTATTTTCACTCAGTGATGCCTATTCAGGTGTGTCTGCATACATATGTAGTATCAGGGAATTGGACAAGCCAGATGGGAAGGAAGACTGGGCTCCTGAACCTTTTGTGCAAGTGTGGAAATTTCAGGAGGTGCAGCTTTTCTTACCTTCGCAAGACAGACTGCACCTGCTGGGGGGAAATGCTTCCCACTTTTACAAATGGTTAAAGGTCCCTGTCCTCCTTTGCATCTGATCACCCTAAAAATCACCTCTGAGCCTTACTAGATGAATAAAATAGCTCTGTAGCCTCAAGTCAGAGCTCTGGTTGGCTACTAGTCTCTAGTATTGCTCTTAGAAACCTCGCCCTCACAGGGCCAGACTGGTGGTGTTTTGCTGGTGTATTCTGCGACATGCCACTGGTGCAATGAAAGTGGTGGTGGACTGAACCACCCACCCTTCTGCTTTCTCGGCCGTTCTGTGATAATCCCCCAGTGTTATTGCATGACTGCTTTCTGGAGGAGCATATAGTGCTGCGACGAAAGTGAGGGCAAAGAACAAATGAAGCTGGAACGTTTGTGGTACAAAGAGTTACAGGATGTTGGCAGGAAGCTAAGGGGCACGCACCAATTGGAAACGAAGCACCACAATATTTTTGCAGGCACAAACACTACTGGGTATAACCACCCCGATGCCATCATGAACGCACAGTAAAAAGGACGCCAGGAGAGGTCCACTGTCTGCATTGGCTCTGTGCTTTGTTTATCTAGAGCTTCCACCTTTTGGCAGGACTTTAAAAGCTATGGAGCAGGCAGAAATTCAGCAGCTGGTACTGTTAAATGCTTTGGCATGCAACTTTACAGTCCATCTGGAAACCTAGTGCCAACCTCCTCCTGGGCTTTGTTTCGTAGGTGCTACAAGATGAGGACAAGCTACACCGGACACAACTATTATTCAGGACTACACATTACATTTGTATGCATACAGGAAGATATAAAGGTTGGGAAGATACAATACAGTAGGCAATACTTTTGTGTGTGAAAGGATCATAGCTCTACAGCAAAGGACATGCTTTGCAGAAAATCTCTAGTTCCAATTTTGTTTCCCTTAAAGGATCAGATAGTGATCTCAAAAGACCTCAAAAACTGCTGCCAGTCAGAATACACAATATTGGTCTAGATAATTGGTTTCACCCAGTTTAAGGCATTTTCTTATGTTTCCCCCCCCTCTTTAAACTGGCCTTCCTCCTGTGCCTTTAACCAGCAAAACCTTTCCTGGTGCAGAGATAAAATGAAAGGAAAGGATTCACCTGCTTAGCGTCTTGTGTGCCAGACTGCTGTTAAAGGCACAGGAGCAGTGCCTATAAAGAAATGTGGCAGCTCCACTTCTTATTTCTTAAAAAAACACACGTCTTGCTGTGTGAGCGCCAGCAAATGGCACTATAAAACAGGGATGATAATCACTCCCCCTGCCTTGCGGACATGGTTTGTGAGGATTAAAGATTGTTTATAAGGGTGATAAGTGTAATCCTCCTGAGCCAATAGGATTGTTGCTGTGACATGGGGCCTCGAGGGACAGCAAGAAAGTGGGACAAGGATGTGTCCCACTTGCTGTAACCACCAGACAAGTTGCAAACAGCACTGTGACAACTTTCTGTAAACTTCCTCAAATGATCCTCCAACCCTGAAAAGTAATACAGCACTTTTTAAAGTAAGCCAAGCCCAGTGCCCCAGTTACATTTCAGTAAGATTATCAGGCTTGCCAACTGCAAAAGCAACCCCCAGCAAATCTGGCGTGTTCCTATTGCTTGAACTGCAGGAACCACCTGCCAATTAGCGCAGATCGCAGCACTGCTGAAAGCACAGCTACAAGGGCCAGTTGAAAAGTTGGCAACCCTAACTGGACACTGGAATTTGAGCCGCTGGTGCTGGATCATGGCATAAAATACAGAGGGTTTTTTTTTCTTTCAAATTTAGCTGGAAAGGCCTCAAGGCACACATGTTTCTGTCTGCCTTGCTTTACGCTGTGTTCCCCAATTAGTCAATTAATCATTTCCAAATCAACTGATGGACTAATCACTTAAACAGGGCTCCATCTGAACCTCTTCAGAGATGCCCTCCAGATCTGGCAAGGAGCTCTAGGCCCGGCTTCCAAAGTCGTTGTAAAGCAAGGGTAGGTGGAGGCAGAAATAGAAAGCAGATCTGTGCTGAATGGCAAAGGTCGTGTGTTGGTGAGCTACGCTGCCACGCTAGCGTTCTGCTTTATTTTTAAATGTATTATTGTTTCAGATGTGCAATTTGTTCCATGCTGAGGTCTGCTCTTGTGGTTGGGGGTGGGGGGACACCATTTGCAGGAGGTCCGCATCTAAAACGCCTGCAATTAATATAAATTGCTTAGTATTTTCATGAACGTGAAGGATGCCAGCTGATACAACTGGTGGACACACTGTGCTAATTTGACAATCTTCTTCTTACAAGGTTTCATTGACAAATCCCCGGCTTGTCTTTTGTTCTTCCCCCTGCTTTGCATCTCCTCTGAAAAGAATTAACAGCCTGATAATCAGGAGGAGGAAGCAGCTGCTTGGGGGGCAGGCAGCTAATCCTCTGCCCTCCCCCAGAAGGGATGGGAGAGTGAATGCAATGCCCAGGACTTCTTCACCGGAGGCCTTATTTATAGGATGTGACAGCCTTGCCTTAGCCCGTCATCAGACCGCCTTATAACTGGGCTCAGACTCTCCAATTCACATCCTTCAAGAAGCAGGGTTCTTGCCAGGCTGCTTTAGTCCTCCCTCTCTGGCTTTCCCCCCACCTCTGCTAATATAGGAGAGAACTGGAAATGAAAAGTGAAAGCCACCTGGATTTTCATCTTTGCTGGCTCAGAGGGGAGAGGACGAAAGTGTAGAACTTGCCGGGTTCCGATTGTCAGCGCCAGAGTTCTTTGTCAGCCCCTTCCATTGTATCGCAAGGGGTGAGTTCGCATCCAATAATAAGCCATCAAATCCCACCCAGGTGTGTATGTCATCCCTGATTTAGTAGGGATGCAGATATTGTTTGCTTTTAATCTAAGGGTACTATGGCTGAGGTGTGCCACTATGGAGCTTTCTGTTCACATTTAAATATGATGGAGAGATATTCCCACAATGCACTGCACAATATTCTTGTGCAACAAAGCCAGATAGAGGTGGAAGGCAAGCCTCATATTTTCAGAAATGCGCCTATTTCCCCAAGGTTGCTTAGAGGGCCAGAAATAAGGAAGCAGTTCAGGTAAGGCTGTGGGGTAGGTAGGTGTGACTACAGAAGTTGGAATCAACAGACAGGAGAATTCCTAAAGTAAGAAACAATGGGAAGTTGCCGTCTCTCTCTCTAGTGCTAATTTACATGTAGGTGTATACACATATAAAATGTACTTTGTTTACGTTATGATTGGAACTGAATCGACTAACATTTAGAAACTGGATTACAAAAGAGAGTCAGGAAAATCAGCAGGAAAACCAACCAAGTGGCAACGCATTGTGGCATTTGTCTAGTTTTCCCTAGAACTGCAGTCTACTGAAATATAAGGCATCTTACTCTAATGTTCACATTTTCAGTTTGGCTCTGATTTTCACAAGTGAAAATCCACATACAAAACCTTGCACTAACTGGAATGTGCATTCCATTTTAAAATTGCCCTTTTTGCTCTGTCACAGCCTCTAATGGTTAAGAATTTCAAACAAAATAAATTTTAAAAATGGCTTTCTTCCAGTCTTACATTAAGAACATTAAAAAATGATGGTCTCCAGACTAAATGATGCTCTTTGCAGTCTTTTATCGCCAACGTTTCTCCCTCCAGCCATCACGCATCCCCAGACTTACCATCTTCAGTCTCAGGTTCCCTCACCACTAGTTTCTCATTTTCTGATTCCTGATCTTCTTCCTGGAACAGAGGAATTAAACATAAATCTGTTGTAAAGATGCTGGCGGCAAGACCTCCCTATAAAACAAACAGAGCAGCACACTGCAGAATCACAAGGGAATCATAGGCATAATAGCTCAAAGATAGAATTTTAGTTGGATCTCACTGAAAGGCATCTTCCATTAAATAAATCTTAAATTCATTTACACTTTCTTCCCCATTGCTCTTCAGAGGAACAAGCGCCGGAAGATGGAATTTAAAGGCTTATAAATGCATGATAGAAATTCATGCAACTTATACTCACAGCACACGTAAAAATGGTTTGCACAAGATGGTTAAGAGAGAAAAATAAATTTAAAAATGAATGACACCTTTTTTTGGCACAGGGAATTCATTAAGCGCTTTTTCCCCTTAAAATTGCCCTCTTTAAAACTTGAATTGGCTGGCATGTACATTCTATTTTAAAATGTTATTTATCCACTTCCTGTCCTGTGTTAATAAGGCATGCATACATATTCCAGGAGAAGGTGGGAGCCTGATTCTTTTCTGGTGGCATCTTATGTGTGTGACAAAAGAAAAGACCTCTATTATAAAAGGGAAAAAATAATGCTTGCAGGAAACTTTGGTCTTTGATTTATAGACCCACCCCTTCTAGTTTAAGCATGTTCATTTTGATCCACCTCATTCCATCTTTGGTCATGCCTACACACACACACACACACACACAGCACAGAACCTCTGAGCATCTGCAGAGTGCCTGCACATGTTCAGAGGCAGGGGGCTTGGCAAACACCAAGGGGAGGGGGATGCCTTATGGTGCTCCAGCTACAAAAGCTGAGGCTGCTGAGGAGCCAGAGACCATCTTGGCTGTGAGTCCTGGAAGACCTGCTCTCTGCCTTGCAGGATTTTCCCACCGGCCAGGGAGTGTGGGGTCCTGACTGACTCCAACTACAAAAGCTGAGGCTGCTAAACAGACTCTTGGGCTGGGGTGTTGTTGGGAGGGACGGTTCAGTTATCACTGTTGGTTTTTTGTAACTTTATTTTAGATCTTGTTGTGATGTATGTGGAAGTGGTTGAGTTTGGTTGTGTATTTTCAATGCTTTACTTATTGTTTATAACTACTTTTGTTACGTAGTAATGTAATTTTTTTCACATGGTAAGCTTCCTCGTGTATGCTTTGAACTGTGGAAAGGAGGCATACAAATAAAATTATTATTTGTACCCAGCTAGATGGGGGGTATACATAATGTATTATTATTATTATTATTATTATTATTATTACCACAGTGAGGACCTCAGTATTAGCAAATTCCCAGAACAAGACCTGCTATTCTATACATAGGTTGAAAAGTAATTCTCTTCCCTGATGCAGTTCCGTGAAAGGGAGAATCACAAATTCTCAGCATCCTCAGTAAACTACAATCCTTAGGATTCTTCAGGAAATTGTTATTGCACTGATTTTCTGTTTGAGTTTGGATTTCGAGTTCTTGCCACTGGAGAAGCTGGTGGCTCAATCTGCTAGTCCCCCTTCCACAGACACAAATGACCACACGCCCACACTTACTTTTCCATTAACACTTAGGTGCTGGAATGCATAACAGGGCAGCCAGCAGCAGCAGCACATATTCCCTCTCCGTATCTCTGCATCCCTGGAGAGGAGTGGAATAGCCAGTCAGACTCCAGATGGTGTGTGGGCCTGTCGCCCATCTCCTCCCTACCTCATCTAATCTCCCATGCTTGATTCAATGGGACAGGGCCTTTACAGTTGCTACCATTTGCTCTATTTGTAAATGATGGTGTGTGTGTGTGTTTGTGTTAGAGGAAGAGCCATGGGAGGCTGCCAGCCTCGATTACGAAGATGGAGTCAAGTTGGAGAAGAGACAAAGGGAGCTATTGCAGACATCTCAGGGTCAAGAGCTTGGAGAGAGGAGAGATAAAACAGGAGCGCTCTCCCGGCAGGAAAGGTCTTGGGAATTCAGAAAGCAGCTTCATAGAAACCAGAAATTTGCTGTTGTTACCCAGAGGTCAGATCTGGATGGAAAGTGTCACCGCTGAGGAATGTGTGCGATTCACCATCCTTTTTGGGTGCATCTCGCATTCTCTGGTCTCTGACTCACCAACCGGCTGGACACACACACACACACACACACACACACACACAGAGCCAGCATCTCCTACACACACGTCTATTTTAGTCCATGCTTCCAAAAATGGAAACTCCTTTCGCCTCTTCATTCATTTATTTCTCAGCAGCCCTTATTTGGGGTGGGGAGAGGAAGCGTGACCCAGCAAGCTGGGGTTTTCTTATGCATAGAGGGAATGCCAGAAAGGTGGCTTGGTCTGGTTGTCTTGCATAGATGGGGCAGACCAGACCAGAGAAATTCTGTCTCCTTGAATGGGGGGTTGTTATCTGATCTTCTGGATGCAATAGAGCACTATGCCATGGGTAGGCAAACCAAGGCCTGGGGGCTAGATCCAGCCCAATCGCCTTCTTAATCCAGCCCATGGACAGTCCGGGAATCAGCGTGTTTTTACATGAGTAGAATGTGTCCTTTTATTTAAAATGCATCTCTGGGTTATTTGTGGGGCATAGGAATTGGTTCATTTTTTCCCCTTCAGAATATAGTCTGGGCCCACCCCACAAGGTTTGAGGAACAGTGGATGAGCCCCCTGCTGAAAAAGTTTGCTGACCCCTGCAATATGTCATCCACTATTCTCCCATCCACACTATACATCTAAAGCACTATTACACCACTTTTAACAGTCATGACTTCCCTCAAAGAATTATTGGAACTGTAGTTTGAGGGCGCTGACTGCACAGACCTACAATTCCTAGGACCCTTAGCAGACTACAATTCCCAGGATTCCCCATGACTTAAAGTGATACAATGGTGCTTGAAATATATGCTGTGGTCATGATCAGTGTTTGGGTCCTTGAACCCAGCCTGTAAGATCGTTTAAATCTGCACTACTGCTGTGTTTTCTCTATTACCCATCTCTCTTGGTGGGTGGGTGTGCACGAGGGAGAGGTTTAGACCAATAGACAGAGCTAAGATAGATGGAAGCTAAGTAAGTCTGGGTCTGGTCAGTGCCTGGGCAGGAGTGGAGACCTTCTCAGAAACCAATGTATGCTGCCTTCAATCCAATGATGCAAGAACGGTGGAATATCAATATAGTAAAATAAGTATTATAGAACTCTGGAAGAGCAAATGAGAACTTTAGATATCTAGACAGACATCTGCCTGCCTGGGCCTATGTGTGGGATTAACACACACGGAAAAGAGTCCAATGGGACTCTTCTGCTAAGTATAAAATACCAGTTTAAAAATAAACATATGCTTCCATTAATGCTTTAGCCTGGATAGCTCAGTTGGTAAGAGCATGGTACTGATAATGCCAAGGTTGCAGGTTTGATCCCCGTATGGGACAACTGCATATTCCTGCATTGCAGGGGGTTGAACTAGATGATCCTCAGGGTCCCTTCCAACTCTACAATTCTGTGATTCCAGGAAATCTCTCCTTTTTTGTTATGTTCACCATTATGATAAAGTTAAACCATTTTCTGACCCTCTTGCCTTTTCAGGTTTCTGTTCTGACTTCTAATCAGCAGGTGTTCCTTGGCCATTATTTTTAACAGATCAAGATGTATGTTTCAGCTGTCCAAAAGCTGTGTACAGGACTGTTCGTGCTGAACATCTTTTCATGAGGCCATATAATATGGCCGGGGCGGTGGCGGCGGGGGGGTGTTCACAACATATTTCCATCTCATCTCTCTATTCCTTTGCCAATGGTAAGAGCGCCTCTCTCCGAAGCATGTCCCAACAAAACCAAAACTGGGCAGTGCAGATGGCCTTTCTCAGGAGGAATCCAGCAGTTTTCAGGGCCTGGTAGAACTTGCTTTACATGTTTGCCTGACAGAGTAACACAGCAAGGTTGGAGGCACAGGTGAGCAGGAGGTTCACAGGATATCACAGTGAGTTTAATTAATCATGGTGGGAGGGGGTGGGGAATCATTTCTCCAAGTCATAACAAAAGCAAAATGGTCATATTTGCAATGGGGTTAATATAAGAAAGCCCTGGATCCACAGGAATGTTCTAATTTTTGCTCGTTATCATCACTTCTGGAGACGATCATTTGGGCCACATGCACTAAACTGCAGTTGTTGCTTGGTTACTGCAGAGAATTCAAATGACTTTCCACAAGGTAGTGTTTTCACTGCAAAATAAAATAATAATAATAATAATTTTAAAAAAATTGCATCATTTAGTGCTGGGAGGGAAAATTCCTCTACTCCCAGCGTTTTCATTGCAGTTATGTGCGGTGTGTGATGCCGCAATGCAAGAGAATGGCTGTGGCAGTGCCAATAAACTATTGATTCCTTCCTCCTCCAGCAAAAGTCAACATGAAGTCAGGGAAAGATCATCCCATACTGCAGAATAGGGCGAAATGAAAGTATGTGTGGTGATGGGAGAGCCTGCTGCTGCAATACCACCCCTTCTGCCTTACAGTCATTCATTAAACATGTGGAGCACAGCAAGAACATCTGAATAGGGTGCTCCTTTGAATTATAGAGCACCATGGAATCCTCACTTCTGCTTTCTGCTGTGTTGGAACAGCGGGGCCGGAGGTTTAAGACATTTCCTAATGGCACATCTGTCTGGGAGACCTTCTTGCACTTCAGCACACAACCAGAAATATGGAAAGCAGTCTCAAAAACAGGAAGCACAGTTTGGTGCTGAACTATCTCATGTGAACGTTGCACCTTCCTCTGTGATGCCTGGATTGTATTGGATTGGGCGAGAAGTCCGTTTGGGTTCCTTCCAAGTCCAGTGATGTACGTCTAAGCTAAACAATCTATAGCTTAGGGCCCCACTGCCTGGGATGCCCCAAAAAAAATTGAAGGGGAAAAAACTTGATGTACTTTGATAAAATACATATTTTGTTATGTGCAAATGGCTTTAGATACCTATTAGGTCCATAAATTACCATATATTCAACACAAACAACAGCAACAATTTGTTGTTGACGAAGGACAGCTGGACATATAAAGGGCCTCATTACCTTCAGTAGCTTAGGACCTCATCAAACCTAAATCCGGCTCTGCTTCCAACTGTACAATTCTATGATTCTTTGTGTAGACTGTGGCAGTCATGCCCACGGCTTGCTGCGCTGCAATCAAGGCGTGTGCTGTTCAGCACTAGCTTTGAGGCCTGCACAGGAAGAACACCACTTTTATGATAACGCCAAGGTTGCAGGTTCGATCCCCGTATGGTGCAGCTGCCTGGCTGAGGGTTGGACCAGATGATCCTCAGGGTCCCTTCCAGCTCCACTGTGCTGTGCCACACAGAGGGTCCCTAAGAGTTATCAAGTCAAGCCGCTCTTCTGTAAGATGGAACAGCTGTTTCAATGATGGGCAAAACAAGAGGACAGAAAGGCCCATCGGCAGAAAAGCCTCGACCCAGTTGGCAAGCAGCAGGCAAAGGAGCATCAGCGCAGATTTTTTGGGGTCATGAAGGCCACGGTACCCTGGGAGGCTTATGTTCTCCCAGTGTTCACTGACTGTGGCTTGGAGAGTGACATCAGCAGGGGTGGCAAGGAGGTTTCCCTTTAGGAAAGAGGGCAGTGGAAAGCTTCTTGCTTGAGGGCAAACAGAGGCACAGATCTGCGAGCATCTGGGGGAACTGCTGCATACACAGGCAGTTTGGGCAGCTGCTGTAATTGTGAAAGATCCATTCATTGGAGGATTATATTATTTTTGTTTCCTGAGTATTGCAACCTTGTTTACCCCCTCCTTTCCTCTGTGCATTCACTCTGTGAATGCGATGGGGACATTAATGTCAGAAGGAATTGTGAATTTTGGGGTGAGAGAAGCCAGGCTCTGACTCTTCTGGTCACTTTCAAAGATGGGCAGTTATGGGAACATGACAGAGAGGGGCATGGTGGGCTAAAGCCCCCCCACAGTTTCCGTGCTAAATCCATCTATTACTGGACTCTATAGATCAGACTGCCACCTGTTTTTAAGCACAGCTCTGGCAAGAGGAAAAGGGAAAGAGGCTCATGATATCACCTTGTTTATTTCCTACAAGTTCATTTCCCTTGTCCCCCAAACACAGGCTGACATCTAACAGGTAAAGTTGCCAGATGATCCTTGCAAAAGAAAAACAAAGAGAAAAAGCACGTAAGGTCTGCAGATGCTTGATTTTTGTTTTTATTAAAAGTGAAAGAGCAATCCCAAGCCCATAGAGGCTGGAGGAGGAATCTGTGTGATCTGTACTCTGAGGGAGAAGAAGGGTGTGAAGGGAATGTAAACACCGAGCTCTGAAGAGGAAAACCACAGCTTGGAAAATAACTCTTGGCTTACAGTGCTGAAGCCAGTAACACGTTGCCATTTATGGCTCTGCTTTCTGACCCAAACCTGATGCAAGACGCTGCAAGAGGAAAAGGGAAGGAACAAAGTCTGGAAGAAAGGCACACTCCATGAACATGGCCAGAGAGACAATGACATCATGCCCTGTTCCTTTTCACCCTTATTCCACATCTAGAACTCTGCCTCCCTGTATTGAAGGAAACAGCTGCGAAGGCAAACACCTCTCCAGACCGTTGGAATAACCACAGCTGAAGTCTCTTTTTGTCCAGCATGGAAAAAAGTGGATAGCCAATATGTAGAGTCAATGGGGGAGAGCACGTTCAGCTGAGACGTCTTGGATATCCTGTATGTGCACGCATGTGTACATTATGTCCCATGTGCATCAATGCGCCTACTGAAGGAGGAATGCCGTGGCAAACAGGGGAAGAGATACACTCTGCCGATTTGCTTTGGCGGACAAAATTATGAATGGTTATTAACCCAAATGGCCAAGTTCTGCTTCCATTGTAGGCTTCTCCTAATGCCATGACTGGGGAGCACAAGCGTGAAAAGAGTTTTTGTTCTTTCCAGAGGCATTTGGTTGGCCACTGTGAGAACAGAATGCTGGACTAGATGGGCCTTTGGTCTGATCCTGCATTCAGGTGTTCAGCTTCTTGTGGTTCCAGCTTCTGAGGGCTCCCTACACTACCAGGTCCTAAACTGTGCAGGGAACCTATGTAAGACAGAGGTGCCAACTTGAATAAAATATTGGGAGGACCCAGGTAAGCCCTGCCCCACATATTATATCACAAGACGTGGTGCACACACATCATTTGAATGGCAATGCCCATCAACTTTGTGGGGGCCTGGCCCCCTCAAATATTTTATTGGGGAGCCGAAGGGAGCTCAGCCCTTAGTAGTTGACGCCTATGGCTTTAGAGGTTCACCTTCCAGCATGCTGAGAGTGGCGACAAGGATATGGCAGAGGAGGCAAGGACGGCAACTGGGGTCCCCCTCTCCCCACGTCATATGATGAACAGCTTTCTGTTTCCCAGTTGCCCGTGAACACAGGCAACCAGATAACTGTGTACAGGGCTCCAGTGCCTTTAATTGTGGTTTCAAAGAAGTGACTTGAGAGATGGTTTTAACATCCTGTACTGTTCAGTTGTTACGCTGTTTAAACTGGGTGGTTATTTTAAATGGTTGGTTTGCATTGCTAGCTGCTGTGGCAACCCTTTTAGGCTTGAAGAGCAGGGTAGAAATTGCCTGTAACGAACCAGCAAATGTATGTAAAATATCAGCTGGTATGAGGTCAATGCTTGGTTGCTTAGCTCCTGGCTATCTCAGTCTTGCCTGCAACCTGCTTGGTTGCTCTGGTTCTTAGCTTCTCATACTTAAACCTTTAACTGCATGACAAGCTCTGGCCTGGGATTTCTTCCTGGAGCTTGAAGCCCTTCTATGAACATCTGTTCTTGAGTCCTGATAGAGCAAGAAAGGTTGAGGCATACCTTGCCTCCTCTTCCTCCTCGTCCCCACTGGCATTTGAGCCCAAATGCCTCATGCCACTGATCAGCAGCAGGGCAAGAAGGAAGTCTTTCATTATCTTCTAAACTTATTGGCAGAAGTTGGCCTGATAGGCAAGGCGAGATGTTCTACTTGCTATCTCTCATGCTGTGATTTTGACTCTCTAATTTTAAAGGGAAGGTGGCGTATTCTCTGTCAATAACTCATATCCTGAAATGGGTCTCAAGGGCTTTCATACAGACATGATACATTGACCAGTTCACTGATGATCACCAACTCTTGCTCCACACACACTGCCTTCACAGTGACTTAGACTTCACACATTGCACCAGGGCAGACTTTGGTAACAAAGCGAGGACAAAATTTGGTGCCCTCTTTCCTGCAAATATTTATTATTTTCACAATAATTGCTTTTGGTACAGTTTACCCATATTGCTACCCATATAAATATTTGTTGTTGTTGCTGCTGCTGCTGCTATTTTTCACCCCCTTGGCTTGGCACCATATGCAGGGGAACCAGCCGCACTGCCTTAAATCCAGCACTGATTACACTGGTGACAGACACAAGCTGTCTCTATACATGTACAGGCAGGGTGCACACTTGTCGATCTGTACGGCCCCACTACTGTGTACACAGACTGAACACTCCTTGAATGTTGCATGCAAATAAATGTACAGCTAAACTATTTGTGTACACAGATGGTGCAATTATTCAATGTAATATATGTGACACCCCCCAGCGTGATCTGAGGAGGACAGTGGGGGATGGAGGGTTGGACTTCACATCTCTGCCTGCCTTTGAAATTATGGGGTTGTTGAAAAAGTTCTCCCTCTCCCAGCCTCAAACCCATCATCTGTAAAATGGGCGTAATGTTTACTTGTTTTTCACAGTGATGTTGTGTGGATGAATGAGATTACTTTTAAAATGAGTTATATAAAAAGATAATCATTTGACCATTCTCCACAGTGAACAAGGTTGAGGCTGCAGGGATAATTTATAATTATGCAATGGAAAAAAAGTTGTGGCTAGCACAGGATTATTCCTCTCTTTTTTTATCTAGCTCACAAAACTATACCTATGAAGATCTTTAAAAGGCAAGAAAGTGACCTGGAGACCACAGTTCTCAGGAGCTAGTCATCCACAATTGCACCAAGGTGTCGACATCCCTAGACAGACAATTAAAACCGCTCCCAGACAAATTGTAGGCCTACCCAGCATATAGCTGCCCAGATCTGCTATTTATTTCCCTTCTACATTTATCCTTGCTCTGAATGTAGTAATAATAAGGGAAGGAGCCAACAAAGGGCTCCCAGGTGCACCCAGCCCATCCTCTTGGGATGCTTTGCAAGGTTGTTTGAGTCTGCTGTTTTTAACAACATTTCTAATCTGGCTCATTAATACCAGACCTCCAACTGCATCGGCCTGATAATATATGATGTAATTTTGCCTAGACATTATTATGAATAGATTTCAACTAATCTTAGAAACAGCAGGAATTGCTGGCTACAGTGTTAACAGCACAGGACTTGAAGTCCAAACGCGAAGTTATATTCCATTATTGCTTTGGACTTAAAGTCCAAGCCTTGGGCACATCATGTCAAATTTCTTTCTCTCTGTTTCCTTACTAAGAATAAAAACGACGCTTTCCCCAATAAGCACAATTGGAATATCATATTTCTTTTTCCTGCAAAGAGAGAGTTCTGTTTCCACTTGCTTGTCCCACACACATCATGCATGTCATCCCCTATATATTTTAATCCCTTTGCTTATTAGACTCTTATTCTTACAGCTCAACAAAGCACTGCACAGTAATTGTTCTAAGCAATTTCAGAGCCACAAGCAATGTTCCCAACCAGTAAAAGTATCTTCTGCTTACAACGGAGAAGATTGTGTGCACAAATGCTATTTCAGATGGGAAAGCAAGACTACAGTTATTTGTTCTTTGGAGAGCATGTCCATCTTAACATGCTCTGTTCTGTACCTTACCCAACGATGGGGCTGGATCCACATTACAGCCCCTTGTGTTTGCAATGCAATGCAATGCTACACTGATTTTTTTTTTTAAGAGGTATGGGGCACATTGCATGGGGTACCATCTTATAAGCCCCTTGTTAATAACACAAGCCCATGGCACGTAGCACGGACTCACATTATAAACAAGGGACTTACGGCGTGGTACTCCATACAATGGCCCCTCCAACCAGCAAATGTGTTTGCAAAAAGGTATGTTGCGAGTCCATGCTACACGCCCCTGGGAAATGCAGTAAGAGAACATACACCATGTTTGACAAGAACACGTCCACTTGCACAGACAGTGAGCATCTCCCTCTCCTGAGCCATTTTTTCCTCATCTACGGTTTCAAAAATCTATTTGAGGTTCTTTTCATGAAATGTAGGCTTGTGTGCCGGCTCTGTAACAACAGTCACCAGAGCTGCCTTTACGTTACGCAAGAGATTTTTGCCATCGGTCAGTGAGCAGCACCTGGTCTTCATCTGGCTCCAGCCCCAACAGTCCCCGAGGGGGTCCCTCAACCCCAGGCAAGGTGTGCAATATGTTCCCTGCCATTGCCAATTCTGCACCTTCCTCGGTGTGTTAAGGTGCTTGTTATGCTTCTCTCCCAGGGCCAGATTTAGGTTAGATGAGGCCCTAAGCTACTGAAGGTAATGGGGCCCTTTATATGTCCAGCTGTCCTTTGCCAACAACAAATGGTCGCTGTTTTCTGTGTTGAATGTACGCTATATGGTAATTTATGGACCTAATAGATATCTAAAGCCATTTGCAACCAGTCCATGCAGAATGTAGGCACCCTATATATAGAAATGAGCAAACAAGTGATATTTTAGGGAGCAGGCTAGCAAGCCATTACAGTGCTACCTCAGGTTACATATGCTTCAGGTTACAGACTCTGCTAACCCAGAAATAGTACTTCAGGTTAAGAACTTTGCTTCAGGTTGAGAACAGAAGCGGCAGCAGCAGGAGGCCCCATTAGCTAACGTGGTGCTTCAGGTTAAGAACAGTTTCAGGTTAAGTACAGACCTCTGGAACGAATTAAGTACTTAACCCGAGGTACCACTGTACTTACATCCTAGGAACCTACACAACACAAAACACTGTTGCTGCATGTAGTTTTATTTTATTTGTTTTTTATCTTATATTTTGGAAATGCACAACCAGTTTTTCCCCCTCTAATTTTTTTGGGGCCCCCCAAGAGAGTGGGACCCTAAGCTATAGCTTGTTTAGCTTATACATAAATCTGGCACCGTTCTCTCCCCACGTGCTTTTTCCTCATTCCCCCTTCCATCCCTGGCAGAGTGAGCAGTTCACCCTGCGCCCAGGATTCACTCAAGGAAGCAGCACAGGTAGCAGTATTATTGACAGAACACTTAGCGTTGGACCTCTGCAGATATGCAGGTGCACATGGAGAGGCAGCATCTCCATGCAACCACAGCACCCCTGACAGATGGTTGTCCGAATCTCTGGTTAAATACACCCAGCGAAGGAGATCTGAGCCTACCAGAACCTCCCAAGGCAGTTGGCTACACAGTCAAGTTAAGAGGGTTCTCCCACGGCGTTGCCAAAATCTCCTCCCTTGCCATTTCCACCTATTCATTCTGGACCTGTCAGCTGGAGAAGCAGAAGATAAGTATGCTCCATCTTCTATGTGGTAGCCCCTTAAGCCTTTGAAGACAACTGCTGTCTATAAAAACTGAAGGATTCCAGGAAGAATCAGAACCAGACAATTCATGCTGTCTAGGGGCACAGCTGTGCTGTCATTCCACACTTTGATGGAGGCTTTAGTGCAGGGATCAGGAACCTTTTTCAGCCATGGGCCAGTTCACTGTCCCTCAGACCATGTGGTGGGCCAGACTATATTTTTTTGGGGGGGGGATGAACTAATTCCTATACCCCACAAATAACCCAGAGATGCATTTTAAATAAAAGGACACATTCTACTCATGTAAAAACACGCTGATCCTTGGGCTGGATTTTGAAGGCAATTGGGCTGCAGCCAGCCCATGGACCTTAGGTTGCCTACCTCTGCTTTAGTGCAAGGATGATGCTACCATCCACCCCAAATGACAGGAAGTACCAGAGGCAGAAAAGAATATTGAAATGTGAAGTATTGGAGTTAGGTTTCTTTAAAAAAATATTTTAAAATGTTATATGTTAATTTGGATTTTTGTATATGGATTTGTGGGCTGCAGTATTGCTTAGGGGCTTTTGTTGGGGAATAGATTGTTTACTATTAGTGTGTATACCTTTGTATCAATAATGGTTTTGATCATTTTTAATTATGTATTTTGAACTTTGTATAACATAACTTTGGGTTGTAAACTGCCCTAAGACCTACGGGTATAGGTATACAAATTTAATAAATAAAATAAAAACAAATATAGTCAAAAAAGGGGGAGGGGATGAGGAGACACATGTGACCAAAGAAAGAAAGAAAATGTGTGCATAATCGGAAGCAGGGATAGCCAACATGGTGCCTTCCAGATGTTGTAGACTCCAACTCCCATCAGCCCCAGTCAGCATGGTCCATGGTCAGGAATGATGTAGTCCACTAAAGGAATAACACAGTCAGGTTTAGCTCGTTCTACTAAATGGCTACTTGCTACTTTGGGAAATGCTGTTTGTTTTTCTCATTATTAATATCACATACCAAACTGGCAGAGGCTGAAGCAATGAGCTATAGTACACATGCAGGACAGGTTTGTTGAGCTCTGGGCCCCTAAAATAGAACTGACAGGAGCCTATTAAGGCCCCTCTAATTGGACTGGCTGTAAATATGTCATCTGATCCAGCAGCTCCAGTAAACAAAAGGTGTCACAAGAGCCTGAGCATGTGGACTGAGTTCCTAACTTTATAGTTGGGGAGGGTGGGCTGTTGGCTTGTACGCAGTAGGAGGTTTAAAAATATTATTCCATTGCTTTTGGAGGAATTCAAGAACCTAGTGCACAAAGGAAAAGGAAAATGCAAAACAGAATGCTGTAGATTGGGGTGTTGTTGTGGTTTTGCCTACAGATGACAATAATGAAGTATGAGCCGCACCTGATATTGCCAAATCTCCACCCACCCCCTTTTGGTTGGGATTTTTTGGGGGAGGCTCCCACAAATTTATAGGACTGAATGAGAAGTATTAAGGTTAAATTCCTGACCACTTTAGAAAGCCTGCATTGGGATTCTATAAACCTAAAATGCAGCCTAAATATAATTAGCTAGACTGTGTATGTGGTTTTTATTATTATTAGAAAAAACAGCATATGCACACGACAATGACAGCTCTTAATTGAGCTTCTACTCTCAGTCCAATTACTACCCCTTCATTCCTCTCCCCTCTCATCCTTTCTTGGTTTTCCACAGGAGCTGATCTGTGCACAGCTTAATGCCGAGAGAATAATCCCCATATCTCCTCCCCCACTAGAATCCAAGAGCAGAAAGAGCTCCCATGGAAACCTTTCCTTTTTAAACTCCAGTTCATCTATTGTGTTTTAATTTCTTTAAAAGGTGGTGAGGAACAAGGACTAACCCCCTGCCCCCCCCCACTTCTAAGGATGCTTTTCTTAAAATTAAGGAACATCTGGCAGCTCTGCTCCTTGCAGCTACCCCACCCGAAACTCCTACAGGGCAGCTGGGATAACATCCATCCACTGCCCATTAATCAGGATCTTGTCTGCTTGAAAAGCAAAACATGAGTTAGGAGGCAGCTGACTCTGCAGGGGGAAGTGTCAGCTTACTGGGCGAATAGGACCGCTGTTGTCTAGCACAATTCATTTCCCACATGGTTGTGCCTGTCGGAGGCGGCCCCTGCTCTGAGGAACTAAGACTGCTGCACTGTGATCTTGACATCTTTGCTTGCTTGGCGACAGGCACCGTCCAGATCTTCTCTCCCCACAAAAGGAACCCTCAACAAAGCAGGAAGAGTTATCTGAGAACTGGTCTACATGCACACGGGCGCAGCACTCCATCAATCTGTTCTGATGACTCAGATGACATGGGGAACTGCCTCCCTCCCGTGAAATACGTTGTCAAAATGATGTCAGATGATAAGAATGCTCTGCCTGCGGTTCGGAACAACTAACTGGGCTTAGAAGAGTTGCAAATGGGGTTGTAAAGGAAAATACCTTTGATGTGAAACCCAGTCTCCCTTTTCTTTCATATGTAAGGGGAAAAGAAAATAAAGGTTTTCCACCAGCCTCACAAACCTGCCTGTGGAGAAGCTATATAGACTGCCAGTGTTTTAAGATCATGTAAAATGACACCATGGGCTCGGTGCTATGTTCTTTTCTTTGCTGTGACTGTATTGTGTGTGTGTGTGTACACACAAACACACACAAAAGATGTCAGGTGATAATAATGCTCTGCATTATTTTAATATGGGATGGCTACTTCAAGTGTACAAATCATTGCTTGATGTTGCAATCCCATGTCTGAATGAATACTAAACTCCACCAACCTCAGCAGCAGCAGCAACAACAAAATAATAATCCAGATTTCAGCTAGCTCAGGTTTGCAAGGACCCCAAGCAATCCACAATGCTTGGACACAGAGGACTGACAATGGCAGTAGGTTGTATATTATACTGCCAAATAGGCCCACAGGGAGACGAGAAAGACTTGAATCTTTTAAGCGTGTACCTAATTGGGAAGAAGAAGTGATAAATTAAGTCAGAGAAGAAGTCCCATGGAAGCGACTGCACTGTACCACTGGTTTTCGTCTGTATATTTTCTGAATTGGATGCCTCTTCCACTCCTGTTTCTTGAATTGGCTTGTAGGATGGTGTGCAGGAGTGAGAGGAGGGAGCTGCAATTTTTAAATTTGCTCATATGTGCCCTCTGTCTTGCCCTGCCATTTCCTGCCCTGAGCCATTTCAAGGCACATATGACAATAGAGGGACGGAGGAAAGGCAAGGAATGGCCTCACTCTTTCATACATCTAGAGATGCAAGAGAAGCTTTTGCCTTAGTGAATTCTTCAGGAATCTCAAGTAGGGATTTGCCAGAATCTGGCAGCATTTCTATACCTTGACATGCATATGCAGAAATTTCCTGTATTGGTTGACAATAGCATCAACCCATATCAGGGACATTGTAAATTCACAATGAAGTCTAGCCCATTCTGGGTTCCAGACTCCCGGAGAGTTCTGGAAACAGTTCCAGAAGTTTAAGAGAAATCCAGATGGAAAATTTAAAGTCATCAGATGCCAAGCAAGTTTCTCATACACAAGCCAAAGCCTAGGGGCTAAGCAACTGGATTGGGACTCAGAGAGCTGCACGCTCCATTCTTGCTCAAAGCATGTAATACTTTAAATTTAAACCCCCACCCCCACCCACCCCATAACCACTACAGGTTCATCATCTGCAAATGGGAATAACACAATAAACCTACTGTGTGATATTATTTTCAGCCTACTGATTTCAGAACATGGTGTCCTATGTTATGGGCAAAATAAGTAGGTAGGATTTATACATAGCAGGGCTATTTTGTGTGTGAATACTCATAGAGACAACCGAATGTCTGATGGGTGATCAGGACCCCATCTATGGTAACTGAATATATTAAGAAGAAGGCAAGGGTAGCCAAAAGCATTTTGGGGTCTGCGGTAATATGGCACTTCCTCTCCCCACCCTGATTCCACATTCAGAAGTTGACAAGAATGTCAGATGAATCTTCTTTCAACACTGGTGATGGGGCACTCTCCTCATCTTCTACTTCTAAGACCATCAGGTTTGGTTAGGGGTTGAGGGGAGGCCCCATGATCCTCTAATGTGTCAGCTGTTGATACTATCTCTTTAAGAGGCAAGCTGAGAAGGCCTCATGCTAGCAGTCCATGCAAGAGGAATAGAACAGGACAGGGAGGGAGGGAGAGAGAGAGAGAGAGAGAGATGAGATTTAGTTTTCTAAGCTTCAAAAAAAGGCCTGGGATATTTTTGCCAAGACAATCAGAATCTGGATATTATTTGGCAAAGTTGTTTATGTTGCTCTTTAATGTCAAAAATTGTTGCTCTGTAGGTTTTAATAAATATTTGTTGAGTTTGATGATGTGGTGTGACTTACTGTTTCCCATATACAAGATCACCACTCACAACTCTGCTTCCTCATTATCGGCCACCTGAAGCAGCCGCCTCATTCTGTCTAAAGGTAGGGCCGGCCCTGGGAAACTTGAAAAGAGCCTATTTTACAAGCATCTTGTTTCCTTCCCATAACTTCAGCTGAAAGAAAGGCAGCTGTATCCACAGCTGTATCCAATCCCATCTAGTCTCTGCTTCTGGTCAGGCTCCCTTCTTATCTGAACTGCAAAACCTTTTTAGCTGGATGTCAGGTCCTTTTTAAAATGGCTCCTGCATCAAAGCTTTGCAGCTTGATGAGCAGATGGGATGCACAAACCTACATCTGATCCAGCTCACAGGGCAGGAAAGGATTTAAGGATTTTATCCACAAAACACTGCTGGCTACAGCTCTATCAGCTGCAAAGAACTTCTGCAATGCATGCCACTATTATTACATGCATCCCAAAGCAAGGACCTACTTCACCAACAGAAATAGACTGTTTACTGTTCTTGGCGGAAAGGTCCCACCACCACCAAAGAACCACTCTCCCAAGCAACTGGGAGCCTCAGCCAGTCATGGTGGACTTGGCGGCAATTTAAAATTTGCCACCCTGAGCTCCCTTAAGAGGAAGGGTGGGACAGACATTTAATATCTACAGAATATGGTGCTCGAACTGTTGGGTTATCAAGTGATGAGGAATCCAGTGTTTGGTATCAAGGGGTTGAGAGCGGAGAGAGACAAATGTGGTCAACTAGCCAGTAGGTTGGAATTTGCTGCAAAAACTTGGTTTGACTGCCAAGCCCAGGCTTTTCAGTACATTGCTTAGCATCTGGGGATGCTGCTGATTCTCATTCTCAGAAGTGGTTTTCACAGGCACATGGACATCAGCTTGATTTCCTTGCAGCTTGTGATGACTTTTGAAGCGTAGGTGGGTTCCCACGAGGCAAGACACAGTGATAACAGCAAGAAATTTATTGAATACGTAACTGGAAAACAGGGGCAAAGCAACTGCTTATATACATTCCTGAAAGCCTGGGCCACTTCCACTACCAACATGATTGGCTGTCTAAACTTCCAAGCTGCGAATCACAATTCAGAGTTCAAGGGCCAATGGCAGAGGCCCAAATCCTGCAATGTTCTGTGATGTCTCGAATCAGAACACAGGAGCTCAGAATCCTTAGTCCAGACTCAAGCTTGAACACATAACAACTTTGAGCTAAGCTAAACAAGTGAAGTGATTTGATTCAAAACTTTTGCTTTTATGTGAAGTCAGGCAGTGAAAGTCTGTATGTAGTGTTAAGATATGTGACCACTCAGTCACATCATCACATGATGCTACATGTTACCATTCGATACTGCAATGTGCAGACAGAACCTGTTTGTGTGTCTGTGTGTCTGTTTGCTTGTGTTACTCTGTAAAGGGTGCAAAATAACAACATAATGACGTTACCAAGTGACAAACAGTCATGGATGGGCCAACCCTTGGTTTCCTTGGTTTGTGAACAAACCTTGGTTTTATCAACAAACAGCCTATCAGCACACTGAGAGCACCTTTTATCAATGAACATTTTAGTTGGCTGATTAATATTTGCACGGAATCCAACCACATCCTGATGCATGATGCATCCAGGCAGTTGAAGGGGAAAGAGGCAATCATCCTTGCTTTTCTGCCATTCCTGATGTAGCGATTCAATTAAAAGGGCCTTCTGCCTGCTTAGGAAACCCCTGAGGTGGCTACAGAATGGACAGCTGAGCTCACAGTGTCTCGGAAACTCAGGTAGCAGACATTTCTAGAGCTTTCCTGATTAGATAAGATTATTTTAATAAATCATGCCTGCCACAGATTAAGAATTAGCCAGGAGGCAAGGAATGTCATTATTTTCAAGGTATCTACATCTTTCTCCAGATTCCTCTTGGCATTTAGGGGCAGCTGTGTAGTCAACAACCTCTTCCTAGGTGGCCTTCCAAACAGCAGTGGCTCAGCTCCCTGACCAAATCTCTAGTGTCAGGCAGACAGGAGAAGTTTTTCAAAACTCCAAGAATCAGCATATTTTTAAGGCAAATGCTTGCTTCATACTTCTTCCATTTTTTTTCTTTTCTTTTTTTGCAAGGCAGCCATCAGAGAAACAGCTCAACAACATTCCCTTTCTGGGAGTAAGGACAAATAAATCCAATCACTGACAGCTGAACCAGATATTTATTTGCATCCAAGTCCACCTCTCTCAAACACCGTTGACTCACAAAGCCCTGATCAGATTTCCTGTACAATCTGATGATACATGTTTACTCAGAAGCAAGTCCAGTTGAGTTCAACGGGGCTTGCTCCCTAGTAAGGGAGTATACCATAGCAGCCTAAATATCTTCTCTGGAGTTGCAAATTTCATAGCAACAACAATGACATTCTCAAATAGAAGAATTTTCCACGAGAAAATAGGCTGGATGAATCAGACAAACCAAAATGCAAGCCGATAAATGGTCTGCCCTGGCATAAAACTGAACCCTGAGTTCCAAACCCACGATCCAATAATCAAATAAGTTAGTATTTATTCAAAGGCTCCCTTATTTCTGCTCTAGCTAGAGTAAGGGAGATGAGAGACCTCACAGACCACATTTTCAAAGACTAAAGGGCAGTGCTAATGACTGCCACCCATGTTGAATTCTGTGGGCACCATTTACTTTAATGCCAACTTTTTTAAAAAAAGGGCTGCTCAGAGAGCAGCCCAGACACACGCCTAGTCTCCCTTGCGCTGTGCCAGTCCAGTCCTGTCAAGCACTTGCTCAGTACAGAAACATCTCTCTCCCTCTAGACACTGCTCAAGCACAGCCTCACCTCCCTCCGAGATCAGCCAAAAGAAGATATGCAAAACAAGTAAACTAAATGGGGCCATTCTTCCCACAAACAACATGTGGCAAGTGGCAGAGAAGTAATAATCAGAATATTCCGGCTCGCTTTAACAATCTAATATCGGGTGGGTGGGGTAAAATGAAATGGGGAGACCGTGACGTGAAGCCGGCCCATCATCCAACATTGTGCTGTTTAACAAACAAAAGAAAACTGGAGGTAGCTTGCTGGTAGGCAGAGGAGAATGTATCAGCTGCTCCTTGGAAGTTGTGTGTGCAAAAAAAGAAATGCTTGACTTTAGACGTAGGTGATTTGCAGAATTCTGGCTGAGAACTTAAAAAACAAGGGATGTTGGAATGGGTAGGTGCCATACTCTATAGGCTGAGGGGTTCTGAAACACGACATTTTCTTTACAACGCAAGGCATCTTCCTACCTAATATCCTTCCAATATACAGTGGTACCTCGGGTTACATACGCTTCAGGTTACATACGCTTCAGGTTACAGAGTCCGCTAACCCAGAAATAGTGCTTCAGGTTAAGAACTTTGCTTCAGGATGAGAACAGAAATCGTGCTCTGGTGGTGCAGCAGCAGCCGGAGGCCCCATTAGCTAAAGTGGTGCTTCAGGTTAAGAACAGTTTCAGGTTAATAACGGACCTCCAGAACGAATTAAGTACTTAACCTGAGGTACCACTGTACTGGTTTTCAGCCTTGCGAATGTGTGGTATGCAGTCTGCATAAATGAACATAATAAATAAATAAGAAAGACAATGTACACCACAAGGCAGTTAAGGCAGTGAGCTGCTGGGCGTGTTACTTCTGCATCAAAGCATTCTGGCTAGGATCCCAGCTAAGCCCACCCACTCATTAAACCCCTCTGGACCTGGTAGACTCACACTTAACCAGGCATTGGTTTCCTGTGGTTGTTCTAATCAAAAGGCCTGATAACTCTCCCTTAATTATATATAAAAAACACCAAATGGAGTTTGCTTATTGACATAGGGCAGGGGTAATCAATATGATGTCTTCCAGGTGTTTATTGGACTCCAGCTTCCACCAGTCCCTGCCAGCATGACCAACGAACAGCGGCGATAGAAGATGCAGTCCAGCAATAACTGGAGGGAGTCAACTTAGGGAACATAATTTGTTTCTGAGGCAATTTAGTGGGCACTGTTCAGGAAGTAACGTGGATTCAAATTTAGTCCCCCCCCCAAAAAAAAAATGCAGCACGTGAAATTTAACACAGTTAGAATGTGCGGATTCCTTTTGGTGCATTCTTCATTCACAGTTTGAGTTTGCACAGATTTTGTGATTACAGGTAACAAGAAAAAAATGGAGCGACAGGGTTATGATGGTGGTGGTGAGAGGTGATTATCATTCTGAGGGGAAGGGAGGCAGACATGATAGGAGACGCACTGACGGAGGAAAAAACAACACCTCAGGTAGCTTTACAGTGTACAAAAGGTCTTTCCCCCAAATGAGAGTTTTCCCTTTTCTAAAATTATCTCCAAAACCATGAGGGTTAGCAACATGGGAGCCACCAAACATATTCACACAACAGCTTTGTTTGTGAAGCTGTGTTCTATGGACATACAGCTAGGAGTCACAGGAAACTGCCCATTAATCTGCACTGATGGTTATCACACAATAAACACGGGAACACCCCATGGACATATTTGGGTACAAACAGCAAAAAGGCAGTAAAATGAGGTGACCTTATGTACAGAGCAGGCATAAACGTTGCTTTTGTAGATACTCTTAGAAAGCGTAGATAAGCTGTAGCTAATACAGAGACAGAAGAATAGGGGGAAAGGCAGAGAAGGGTGTACGCTAGCCAGAAAGGAGCCCAGCCCCACCTCAGAGAAATAAAAGTAATTCTTTCTGAACCAAGAGACGCCCATCATGCCACGACAATGGGGAGGCTCCCACCAAGCACACTGTGAGGCTGCTTGTCTGAGGCCAGCTATATATATATATATTTAGATGCTGTATATTTCCACCCAGAGAAGCCAGCACATGCTCTCTATGCTGGGAAACCCAGCTGGCTTAACAGAAGCTATCTCCTGATCAGCAGGCCTGCTTAGGGCAACTTCTCCCTCTTGCCAATGTTTCCCTGGGGAAATTACAAAACAAGGTAAAAGGGTGCCCAAAGGCATAAACAGGCACAGGAGCTAAGCGAGCGATGTGGAAGGTAATCACCGGGTCCAGGGATGAAAATAATAATCACAATAGCATCAACAAACACATCCTTCCTCCTGCAATCTGGCATCTGGGCTATAGGGGCCTGTTTCTAAGATGTGCTGACTCTGCACTGCTTCCATTTACTTCGCAAAAAAACCAACGAAGGTAGCATTTCTCCTACAGAGATGCCGCAGACGCAAGCAGCATATGAACCAGAAAACAAAATGAGCAGAGTAAATGCAGGACTCATTTGCCAGGCCCTTTACTAATCTTATTCACTACTCCGCACTGGCTTTTTGTACCAAGTGAGACCTCAGATGGAGACCTGAAGTGATTTTAACCAAGAACAGGCCCCCCAGTTGTTATTTCTGACTGGTTGGAGAAGGTAGTGGTTCGGCTCTCAGACTAAGACCAGGAGATCCAGGTTAAAATGTAGCCATGAAGCTCACTAGGTAACCTTTGGTCAGTCATCACATCTCAACCTAGCCTACCTCACAGGATTGTTGTGGGGATAAAATGGGGGGTATGATACTTTGAGCCCATTGTGGGAAAGGGGGGGATATAAATGTAATAAATAATACTTATATAGCACTTTTTGTGGGTTCAAATAACTTCAGCAATCCTTACCACAACTTCTAAGCAGGTTAGTATTATTCCCCCGTTAGAGATGGGAGAGTGGGATTGGAAGATATGTATGAGGCAGTCAACGGCACAAACTAGTTAAAGACAGTGACGTCAATGGAATTAAATAATCTTAAATCGAAGTCTTCTGGGTTGGATCCCAGTAAAGCACTCAGACAGGCTCACTGCTCATTAATCTCCTCTGGGCCTGCCACGCTCCTGCACACACTTAACCAGGCACCAGCCCTTTTAGTTGTTCTAACCATGAGCAGCGTTATTCAGTCAGGGGTGATGAGAATTATATTCCAACACCATTTGGAAGGAGACACAAGTTTGGTGTTCCCACTGCTATTCCAAAACAAATTGGCGGGGGGGGGCACTTATAAATTACTTTCATTTAGTAAATCCCCTCCAAAATCACCTTTTATTTGGGGAATTATTCAGCTTTGGTGTCTACAGTAATTCAGGAAGCGATGATGATGATGATGATATAGCAATGCCTAGTGAGATCCATCATGGAGAGTAGATTTGAATTGGAAGCGTTCTGGACTGCAGCTCATGTCGTCTGTCATCTAGCCACTACAACACAACAGCTCTTTTAATAGCGCTATTTCTATGGAGTTGCAAAGATTATACACCCAACATAATGGAGGAATCAATGTCCTCCCTCCCCAATGCTGAGTCATGCCACAGTGGTGATGAGACTAGACTTGGACTCTTCATGAGACTTTACACACACTTTCTATATGCAGTATTTTCCTCAACAACCAAGTCAATGTTAGGCAGCGCACATTCTGTGGTGCACTTAGGCGAAAGTGCTGGTGTGGGTGGGGTTGTGGACTGCTTCCCTCTTTTCAAGCCCTCATGGCAGCCTCTTTCTTCAGCAAAGGAATTGTTCTTGGCCTTGTACATGAGGGTGACAACAGTGACTCATCTATCTGGACAAAGTGTACTCCAACAGGAGTGGGGTGGTGGTGGATGACCAGTGCTACTTTTATGGAAGAAGAGGTGCTGGAACTCACCATAAACACCTCCCTTGTTCTCTTATAATGGCAATGGAGCCCACCTGAGAAGTGCCAGACCTCAGGGCAAAAAAAGCCCTGGAAATGACCTTAATGCAGGGTGCACTGTTAAGAATGAGGGGATCCCCTCAAATGAACATTCAGGCACCACCCTCCTTAGCCTTCCAGTGTCTTAAAAAAAGGTCTGCCTGGAGCCATCTGTTGTGATACTTCAATGTGCATCTGTAATCATCCTATATGCTAAGGGCAGATTCATTCCTTGAGTGTGGATCCCTGTATAGCCAAAATACCCCAGGAGGTGATGTGCAGAAGTACTTACAGACAGAGCAAAGTACAAAATAGTCTGTAGAAAAATCAAATCAAAGTAGCAGCCCCACATAGAACAACCCCACAGGGACCAAGCATGTTCAGTGGCCATGGGAATGCTGACTGTTGAGGAGGGGACAGGAAAAGCCGGTGGGAGTGGAAATGGAATGGAGTATCCTAGAAAAAGCATGGCCAAATGTTGCTGCAAGTCCCACTTGTCTGGACTATATTTGAGCTACTTCAAGGAATACGGTTCCAGTGCCAGTCTAGAAGAGAGTGAAGTAATGGGACATATTTTAGATATTAAGGATTTTAAGCACAACACATGGTTTATAGCCTAACTAGAACAATGGTAGGTTGACAAAGCAGGCAGTGTGTCACCTCTTTGTGTCTTGAAGATGGCTCATTTATTTTTAATCAGAAGCCATCCAGGGCTGAATGCAGAGGTGAGTATTTTTTACCTCTGCTGCATGCCAGTGCCTCCTGCCCTATGCATATCCAGGGCACATCTCTGGGAAAATAAGGGACATCACAATGTGTCTCACTCTCGAGACTATGGGAAAACATGAGACTGCAGGAGGAGATAGGAAGCCAGACCTGTCCTTCTTAACGGCTGGAGAAGGCACCACCCATGGGGATTTCACCTTCATGTATAGTTGCATTATGAGTAAGGAGAAGACTTTCCAAGACCTCCTCTAGCATTTAGGCTACCAACAGAAAAGACAAAACGCCAAAGGCAGATTCCCAAAGTGAGCACAAGCAACTAAAGGTAAAAGGTAATGCTTGCGTTTGCATTATTTCCATCAAGCTATTTCAGAAATAAATGAATCAGCACACCTTTTCTTTGGGAATCTTAAAAGTCTCTCTTCTGAATGACGCCTGCGACATTTACAGTATTAACAAGCAGTCATTGCTCACACTTCCTGAAGCAACAGGTGGGCTTCCTGAGCCAGTTACACAAATGGGAGAGAAGGGGATGGAAAGCTTTTCGGGGTCTCCCTTTTATAGATGCACTGGGATGTACAAAGAGTGAAACCAAGGCAGCTCGTTTGTTACAATCAAAGTTTGGGTTGATGCTGTCAAGAGATCGAGGGTCCTGGATGGCTCTCCCCCGTTTATTACCTCTTTGACTCGCGGTCTTTCCAGGATGCGGGCTAGGGCAAGTATTAGAAGTAATAGCACTGCATGGAACGTGGCATCGCCCTGGAGCTGCGCCCGCCAGTTGCCTGGAATGCTGAATGGGCACGAAACGCAGAGCAACAAAGGCGAGGTGCGGCGAGGGGAGTCCTCGGGAGGAGGCGATCCGCGCCTTGATTGGCTGCGGCGGGAGGCTTCGCTCGGCCTTTCGAAGGAAAGGAAGGAGAGCGCATTGACCTCCCCACCAAATACTCGCACAGTTCAAGTCACCGGCTTGGCTCACATGCACAAGTCGAGGCAAACGCGCACAAAATGCAAAAGCTCCGCGATCTACATATATATGCACACACAGGAATGCTTTAGTGGAGAGTCCTGCATTGCAGGGGGTTGGACTAGATGACTCTCGGGCTCCCTTCCACACACACACACACACACACACACACACACACCTGGATCTTACAAGACTCCAAGCACACACTTCTCCCTGGCTCCCCCAGTAGCATCTCCTTTACCTTGCTCTCCTCCTCTTCCTCCTCCTCTTCTTCCTCCTCTTCCTCCTGCTCTTCTTCTACCGCCACCGGAGCTGCAGCGACAGCCGCCGCCGCCTGGCTGAGGATCTTGACCTCCTGCGGGTGGCTCTGCTGTCCGGCTTGGGCAGTCCTAGAGGCGGCGGCGTCCTCGTCCTCCTCGGCGCCTCTCTCCTGGCTCGGCTCTTTCTCCTCCTCGTCCCCTTCTTCTTCGGCAGCCCCGATCTCCTCCTCCTCGCGGCGCCTTCTCCCCTCGCCCTTCACTTCCCCGCCTCCCTCCTCAGGAAGCCGGGGAGGCCCCGCTGCGCCCGGCTCCTCCGCTCCCTCTTCGCCGCCCTCTGCCCCGTCCGCCGGCTCTACCGCAGCGCTCTCCTCGGCGGCCTCTCGGGGCTCGCCTCCTCCCGGGGCCGCCGCCGCTTTGTCGCCCTCCGAGCCGGTCCTCAGCTTTACAAAGACCGAGGCGAGGATCACGGCCAAGACGGTGAAGAGCAGCGGGACGGCCAGGTAGTACAACTCCGACGCTACATCCATCCCTCCTTCGGCAGCAGCAGCGCCGCCGCCGCAGTCCCTGCGCTGGGGGCTCCGCAGCACCGCCTGCAACGCACCAGCAAGGAGCTGCCGCCGCTAGCAGAGAAGAACCGCGTTATTAAGAGTAAGAGCGGCAGGAAGCTCCTTCCAATATCTCGCCTCCCCTGGTTCTGCTGCCGCGCAGTGGAAAGAGCTCCGGCGAATTCCACGGTCCCCACGCGCGCCGCGCAACAGCCTGACAGCAGCAGCAGCACTGGGCGGAATCCCGCCTCTTCTCAAGCTGGGTCGGGTTTCACAACACGCGCGTCACGGCCCTGCGCCCCGCCCACCGCCGCGCGCTCCCGCCTCTCAGACCCCTGATGCGGTGGGCGCGCGTTCTCTTTGCTCCTTCTCCCCAGCTGGGATGGGTTGGGCCCAGTCCATTATTATTATTATTATTATTATTATTATTATTATTATTATTATTATTATGTTTCTATGCTACTTTATATTTTTAAGCAAACAACAACAACTCAAAATGGTTTACAACCTTAATTAAAACATCAAATAAAACAATCCAGAATAAAACATTGAAGAAAGTGAAATATTATATCATAAAACATCTTAAAATATAATCAGATCATAATAGATACATGGGCGTAACCAGGAAATATTAAGATTATTATTAAGATTGTAAAACACTTGGTCCATTAAGAGTGCTATATAACTGGCACACTCTCTCACATGCAGCCAGCCCTTCACCACTGTAGCAGAACTAAGCTCAAACCCATCTCCCACTTAAATACAGTGGTACCTCTGGTTAAGAACTTAATCCGTTCTGGAGGTCCGTTCTTAACCTGAAACTGTTCTTAACCTGAGACACCACTTTGGCTAATGGGGCCTCCCGCTGCCGCCGCGCCACCACGGCACGATTTCTGTTCTCATCCTGAAGCCAAGTTCTTAACCCGAGGTACTATTTCTGGATTAGCAGAGTCTGTAACCTGAAGCGGCTGTTACCCGAGGTACCACTGTACTCTGTCTGCTATGGATTCTCTCCTTCCACCAGCAAGGAAGGTTCTTGCTGTCCATAATCTCCAACAATTAAGGTTGGTTTAACAATTCAGTAGTTTTGTTCCTCAGTATACAAGGGTACATCTTGCAAGAGGGAATCTCTTTTACACCTTCTCCAGAGACTTCCGTGGCCTAGTGCTAAGTACTTTTCCTGCCTGTATGCTACACAAAAACTTCTCTGCTCACCTTCCCCCAGTCCTAGAACTCATTATTAAAATACTTACTACAGCTGGGCTGTCTGTCTCTATTTGCCTTCAGGAGAAGTTGGTCAGGATCAGGTCTAGAGACCTCCCTTATGAATGGAGATGGTCACTCTATTAAACCAAGTTAGGAATGAGGTGAGCAGTGGACTGAGAAGTGTTGTTTCCCTGTTCTTGAAAAGTCTCGTAGCTGAAGAGCCTTTGGCTTCAAAACAAGGTAGAATTTGAGGTGCTGGCAGTGGCCGCCGCCGGTTAAACCACAGAGGTACAGCTTCCCTTAGAGACACCTGTACCGTTTGTCACACACACACCGGCTTTTTGCATTGTTCAGTCTACTTCCCACGGCAATGCCTTGCTTAGCAAGGCAGGAAGAACAATCCCTGATGCACCACAAAAGGAGGCACAAGGTGACAGAAAACATCTTTGGACAATAGGGCCATGCTTTTCCTCTCTTTAACAATCCTAAATATTGATTAAGCCCTGCAAGGTTTGTAAGGCTGGTAGCAGATTGATGCCCAGAAGTAAAATTTATCTGTGCCATTACAGACTCCCCCCCAAGCTATCAGGATAGATAACTATGCCCTGACTTGCCAACAGGAAAGGGAAATTAAAGCTCGCATGCCAGACTCATATCCTAGGGCTGCTAGGTGCTGGCCTGTAAACAGAGCGATTAGTCCTGCAGTTCTCCATCCTGCTTCAGTCATAAAAGGGGGGGGGGGGGAGAGAGAGAGAGAGAGTGCACCATAACCTTGCAGTCAACGCAGCTGCAGCCTTCAGTGATGTTTACTGGTCTCGAGTCATTGCCAGGAAGCTGGATGGCCAGATATTGTTTGCACAGCCTTGGGGAAAAAGATATGGTACAGGATGGCTGCTAGAAGCAGCTGAAGTTTTACCCATCTCTCCATTTTACTGATTTTACCTTGTTTCTTTTGTAAAAACAAAAACAAAAACCCACAAAGAGGTCAGCTTCAGCCTTCTTTGGTTCATTTTAAGCTTCTGAAGTTTGTATGTAACATCAGAACTCTGGTAGGATAAGAGAGGGTTGGCTTTTATCCACATCCTTGCTAAACATATCCCCAAATTTTTCAATAGATGTATAAATGAATCAGCGTAGGTGCTCAGCATAGGGCTGTCTTCAACCAAGTCCTCCAACTAGGACAAGGGCTTCTGTCTATGAAACGGGACATTCTCTTCCCACATCTGCTCTGGGGGTTTAAGGAACCCCTAGAACAGATCAGGAGGAATTCATGGGGAGGAAAGAAGAGGAAGTTCTTTTGTGTGGGTGGTGCTACTGGGACAAATTTGCCGGTTAGAACTCAGTCTCTAGCTCATGTTACAGTTTCCAGTTTTGTGTGAAGTCTTGAGGGGTCCAGTGAATGCAATGCTTTGTACTGAGACAGCAAAGCAGGAGTGAGGAGCTCTGTGGCCCTCCAGGTGTAGCTGGACTTCAAACCCCCATCAGCCCCAGCCAGCATGGCCAATGGTCGGAGATGGTGGAAGTTGTAGTTCAAGAACATAGAGCCACAGGTCACCCCCATCGCTGTACACATACAGCTTGTGAGACTTCACCAAAGGCTTTTATTGGTAGAGTCTCCATTCTTACAGATCCAGGACCCATATTTAATCCAGACATGCATCTGGGGATCCTTTTCTTTTTTTCCCCTTTTACCATATATTTGTGTGGTGGTAGCACAACTTTTATGACCCACCTTAGACCACCTTTGTTGAAGACAAAGGGTTTAAATGCTCCTGGTATTGGGCAGTCTGGCCTCATGCGAATGCCTGCTTAGAGGTCTCTGTGTGCAGAGTTGCTTGCAGCCATACACACACTTTAATTTTATGCTACTAGCTTCCAGGTCAGAGTCATCATCAGTAATGAAAAGTGATGGATGCAGGGCTGCTCCCATTTTCTAAAATATATGAATAGAAGTTCCAGTTGGCATTTGGGACTACTTCAGCCTTTAAGAGTTGTAGAAAACAAACAAACCCACCAAAACACATTCCCACAGGTTTGCATTGTTTCCTTTACAGCAGAAGGCAGAGGCGTCCCAGCCACCAGGCAGGGGAGGCCACTGTTTCAGGCAGCAGAAACTCCTCAGGCAGCATGCCTGTGGGTGCCTTGCCTACCCCCCCCCCCCGCCCCCGGAGAAGCCCCACTACAATCAGCACCATTTTTGGGCAAGTTGGCAGCCATTTGGGGCAAGATCTCACCTGAAACCAGTGCAATCTTACCCCAAATCAGCACTGATAGTGGTGCCACTCCTCTGACAACGGAGCATGGGGTAGGATGCATGGTGGTGGCAGAACAGGTGGCAGCAGAAGGTAGGAGATGGCAGCAGCAGAACTTCCCCTTTAATCTCAAGCAACAAAACAAAACGGGACACACCACCAAGAGGGCATTAATCAAGCTCACCTCTGGAGACAAGGGTCACATTCCAGCATGCCTTTAAGGGACAGGGTTTGTTTTCTTTTGATTTTGTCCTACTTAAGTCAACAGAGCCAATATAAATTCTCTCTGAGCTCTAATGTGACCTTTATAAATTAGTATTTTATGCATTGCCTGGGATAGGGAGACCAAGTAAATCCACTTAAAAGAACAGTGGACTGGCCAAGGCAACGTCTCCAGGGTTGTAGCTGGGATTGTCTTTCGGGCTAATCCTATCAAGACGCTGATCATTAGCATGCGGATAATTATATTCTTAGTAACAAACAACCATAACACCTAATCTTCTCCTCCATACAGCTTTATATCTCACAGGAAAGGGATAAGCAGAGCTGGACTGTTAGCGATCACTCCCTTTTGGACGGTGCTAAGGCACATCTAGGAAGCGTTGTCAGCTGGCTGGTATTTCTTCTCTTTTGTTAGACAATATACAGTTGCTAGATACGTCAGTGTCATTTTTCAGAACTGACCATGACAGAAAAGGGAAGTGAATTCTCTTTAAATCTTTAGCATTAGAACATCTCTACCTTTCTCTCTGCTTGACTCAAATCTTTGGCAAGGTCTGGGCTAGTTGCCTCCAAGTTTCATTTTGACAGGTAAAAGTAATAGATGACAGAACTGGCATCTGATACAGCTTTCCAGTTCTCTGATTTAATCAGAGTAGCTCCCACACTAACTACTTCTGTGTGCAGGAGGGAGCAATTGATACAAGTGAGCCAAATATACAGCACATCATTTTTATTTGTTGCTCTATTTTATTTGTTGCTTAAATTTCCATTTTGCAGAAGTGCTTATATGGACACACTCAGTATGGACATTTCTGGATTTTGAGTATCTAGCTAAGAAACACCCAAAACTTGATTATTATTATTGTTTTAAAAAAGGAGTACAGTACAGTCATACCTTGGGTTGAATGAGCTTCAGGTTGAGCGCTTTCGGGTTGCGCTCCGCAGCAACCCGGAAGTAACGGTGCACGTTACTTCCAGGTTTCGCCGCTGGCACATGCGCAGACGCTCAAAATGACGTCACGCACATGCGGGGAAGCAGCAAAACGCAACCCATGCACTCGCAGACGCACCGCCACGGCTTACGTTCTATTCAGGATGCGAACGGGGCTCTGGAACAGATCCCGTTCGCATCCCAAGGTACCACTGTATAAGAACATAAAAAGAGCCTGCTGGATGAGGCCAGTGGCCCATCTAAACCCAGCATCCTGTTCTCACAGTGGCCAACCAGATGCCCATGGGAAGCATGTAGCCAGGAACCAAGTATATAGTCTTATGTGACTGAATATTTTGGTTCTCAGAACCTCTGACAAAAAGGGAAATCTATGGACTGGGAATCCTTTTGAATATTCACCGATGAAGAGCCATAGATCTGTACAAAGGGTTGATGTGGCAGTCCATTTCAAGAAGAGATAGGGAACCTGGTGCCCTGCAGATGTTGCTGCTCTGCAACTCTCATCATCCCTGAAAATGAACCATGCTAACTGGGACGGATGGGAATTGGAACAAAACTTCCTGAGGGTCACAGGTTTACCTCTCCCAGTTATAAGGAAGTGGTAGCATGATTTGCCAAGATTCTCCCCCTCCCCCTTACTTAAATGTCTGCTCTCCTTAGTCCAGATCACCCCATTATTGGAGATAAGGGCCAGTTCTTAATCAAACGGTGTCTAATTTTCAACAGACCAAGCTCTTCTACCAAACACTTGGCTAATTTCAGCAGTTTGCTGCCCTCTACTGGAAAAGGGTGGTCCTCCAAACAAATATATAAGCAGGAAATTGACAGCAAGGACAACTGCAACTATGGTGGCGATATGCAGACTCAATTGCTTTAGAAGGGAATGGACCTTATTGAGAAAAACAAGGTAGGAAAGGATAGTTGAGCGCCAGCACTATTTCCAATGCACAAAGACATGTCAACCTAATTTGTAAACAACCAGTGTGTTTGGATAGCCAATGCACAACTAAACCATGGCATGGTAACAGAGCAAATCAGTTGAACATCTGAAGTGGGAGAGAAAATCCCTCTTCCCTTCTCACTATTATGATTACTTGATAATTAGGGAATTCCCAGGTGACCTACAGCCATGTCCCTAAAAGGCAGAAAAGAACAACCCAGTGTAGGTTTAAAATCACAAAATGAACACCTAAGGCAGGTAACTTTTCAATTAGCTGAAAAGGCTTGCAGAAACAAAAATGGTACCAGTTGTATCTAGAAAGCATACATAGTGGGCACCTGCCATTATCTCAGCAGGAATGCTGCTCCGTAGAATAGGGGCAGCTATACTGAAAGCCCTGGTCTGAGTTACTGTGGGGTTGACTTTTGGTACCTTTGGAACTTTTAAAGACAAACTCTCCTACAGAATGCAGTATATAAGGGATATATAAGGGGAAAGTGGCTGGCAGCAGGCTGACAGCCAATGCAAATCCCACAAACAAGATGGTACCATACTAAAGGGATTCTGCCAGAAGGACAGTGAAACTCTTTCCCCACCAATGCTGCAGAGGGAGACCATGAAAATGAAGGCAAAGCTGCAAATAAGCTGTTCAGGTTCAAGAATCTAAATCCTGTACCCCATAACTGTTAAGAATTTGCAAAGTCTTAAGAAACTGATGTAGGCGGCTTCCTACAGAGTTCAATGGGGCTTACTTTCTAGTAACCATGTACAGTATACTTGGATCACAGCTTCAGCTATTTCCTTGGCTGGCTATTGTAGGACCCTGCGACCACCATTCAACTATCAGACTGCTGTCTTGAAGTTAAATGCAGTATTATTCATAGCTGCTGACAGAAACAGGAAAGGCCAAATTTTACAGCGGGCTGCACAGGAGGCAAACATTGTTCATTGCTGAATGCACCTAACTGAATTAGAAAAAAGTAGAAGTGAATACTAGACCCATCAAGGATATGGGGTCTCTTAAAATTGACCACATTGATACACTGGTATATTAAGCTGGAGCAAGTTTGGGAAAAGAGGAACTTGTGGATAGTAAAGCGACCAGAACAAGGGATAGAGGTACTCTGTGAACACTTGCAATCTCAAACAGACACAGAACATAGGCAGGAAAGTGTGTTAAATGTTTAGGGTTTTGATTGGGACATCTGGTGAATATTTTAAAGGATCATAACAGGGAACTGTATTATTTTCAGAAATCTCAGCAAGACCAGGTGAACACATAACTAGGATGAGCTCATGGTGGGAAAGGCTACTGAATTCTGAGGTAGGGTCAAAGTCACATGTGGAGAAAGAGGGAGAATCAGAGGGGCATTATGTTTGAGATAGCCACCTTATATGGAACCCAAGCTTTAAGAACTATATAAAAAAGGGCAAAAGCATGATGGGCGTGATTCTTTTGGATTTGGACCACCAAAGCTGTGGGTACATATGGGACTCTGGAGTGACAGGTAAGAACTGCTACCTTGAATCTCTACTGTTTAAGAAATGCCTTGTGTTTCTTCTTTTAAATATTTCTGTGACTTTATTGTTTCAAATGTTTGTAAGAAATTGTGTGAAACTTGTTTAAACCATAACCACATTTGTTCCGATTGCACTCTAAATCCAGAGAAAGACCAAGGTCAACAAAAAGGTGATTGGAAAGCTTTGTAGGAGCTTCCAGATCAAACTCTGGTAACTAATTAAAGTCTCCTAAAAATAAATTCCTACAATATAATTGCAGAGGCTGGATGGCCATCTGCCATATGTGATCTAGTTGAGATTCTTGCATTGTAGGCAGTTGAACTAGATGACCCCAGGGTACCTTCCACCTGTACAATTCTATGATAACAGACTATTCCCTTTTTTACCAGTGATGAGTTTTCTAGTAAAACATAGCTAATTCCTCTCAGCCACATAACTATAGCCTAGCACTGAGTAAGTAGCACACCACCTAGCATGCATAGAGAGCGAAGCAGAGATTCACAACTTCTTTTCAGATCTATGTGGTTGCTCTGGCTAAGTAAAGGATGTTGTAACTTCCAGTTAAGCCATATCAAACTTATGTTTAATTTGTCTGATATGGCTTAACCGAAAGTTACAAGTTAATTAAAGGCAATCTGTTCTGTCTCTGATATCCTTATCGAGGCTATAGGAGTTGATTAAAAAGTGCTACACAAAACTAAAGGCCAATTCACTGTTGCTTTCAAATTGCAGAAGCACAAAGTCACATTGGGCTTCTGATTTCCTCTATGCAGAAGGGTACAATAATATCTAAAGCGTTTCCTAGAAAATGCAAGGCAGTAATCAGGATACAAATTCAATAAGAAGTTGAAGCTCTAGCAGAAGATATATTCTAGTCAGCATGCTGCACTGCATCAAGTATTTCAGAATCCTACAAACTGTGACACTGCAAGTTAGTTACTGCACATAAGGAAAAAGATTATCACCCAATGTTTAGATGAAAGCTAAGTACAAGTGAAGTAATGGAAAATAAGGCTTTATTTTTAAAAATTTAAAAACGAAAATCATTCAGAGAACAATTCAGAGCACTCCCACCCTGGTTCCATTAAATGATTAGACTTAACGAGTTGTTAGCGGAGGTGGCACTTTAAATGTTGCTGAAACAGTCCAGAGACTTCGCCCCTCACAAAAGGGAAGAATGGAGCTCTAGTCTAAGGGTCTCTCAGGTATCCTCAACACAATGACAGAGTCATTAGGAATTCGAGAAATAAAAGGTTTTAGCACAGTTCCCCAAGTAAGAAATGGCTGTTGCTGAAAGCTGTTCAGAAAAAAGGTTGATCCAGTTTAACTGAAATATGCAAGAAGAGCTAATAAACCCAGGACTTTCTTTGATGCAATCACAAGCTCTCAGTGAAATTTTTCATCGGATGGGTAACTGTAAAACATGCATCCTTTTAAAATGCATAAAGTGCCTCCATTAACAAAAGCAGATGCTCTAATAACAGTACAGCATTAAGGACCTGAAAATAAAGTCGGAGCTAGAGATATATTGATTTGTAAAGCCCCTGTTGCTTAATTAGTGTTTAATAATGATCCTGGCTAGAATCGTTATAATCTCATTATATAAGTTTCTAGGTATCATAGTTATAAAAAAAGGCAAGTATTAGCCATTGGACTTTGAGGCAGCAACTTCAGGTCTAACTGCAGCTGGCATAATATAAACACTGCATTGGTTTTCAATGAGGCACATTAAGGGGGGAAAGTTTGTGAAAAGCAGTATCTTTAAAATAAGAGTTGTGATTTAAACAACGATCAGCTGTAAATTTTCTCTGCAAGGATTATTTAGAAGCAATATTGCAGTTTTCACACTCTTGTCACCCCATCACAAAGGAATCAGTAAACCAGAAGCTTGGAGTTATTTACTTCTGCTTGCAACTCTGGGCAAGTAAAGAATTCAGGATCCTTATTCCCAACCCACGGCTATCTGAATGATTGGTACTTAACAAAACCAATTTACTTTCCTCCAGCATGACAGCTGCCTGGCTTCAACTCCGCAGAACAGGAATATAGTTGGCATCTGGCAAAACAATGAAAATGACAACACTGAAAGAGCGCAACTGAAAGGAGCTAGCCAGCTACTCAGATGCAAGATGTACATTCCTATAAATAAAATCTACAACTTTTTTAAAGAAAGAAAGCCCAAGTTTAATGTGGGTTTTTTTCATCAGTTTGGGAGATCTGGAATAAAAATATTCCCTAGTACAGTAACAGAGGCAAATAGCATCTATAAATGAACACATCCCACTTGTGGAAGATATACATTTGAAAAGGACAGTGATTGTAGCTGAACACTGACATGTTCAGTAGCCTATGGTGACTATTCCTAAAAAAATATTATTGGCTTAACCCTGAAATGCCAAATATCCATCAGTTTTTGATACAAAGAAAAAAGCCACCCAAGTTTGTGTTTTAATGGCATATTTGATACAAGACAGAGAAAGTTAGCATATTGTACCCAAATGGCAGGGCTCTTCAGCCTCACCCACCAAGCATACTTAGCCCCCAACTTCCAGATGAATTTTACTAATCAACTCAGTGAAGGTTTGTAATCCTAGTTTAAATAAATGTACATGGCTGAACAAATGTATCTGCATCCCGGTATGACAAACAGGAATTAAGACTTCTAGGTAAAGATGACATTCCCTGCAAACCTAGTGCATAAAGGCCACACAGAATGTATTACACAAGTCTCCTTTTTTAAACACAGAAAGCAAAACAAATACACTTTCAATATTCTAAACCTCATGGTTGCAAGGAATACTTTAACAGCACGGGCAGATTTTGCCAAATTCTGATTGGCATGCCGAAGGTTATTGGTGCAATCCACGGTTGTCAAACAACGTAATGGCAGGAAGCAAGGCTAGAAAAGACCTTTGCCCAAGATATTGAAAATGCTGCTGCCAGTGAGTAAATATTGGGCTGACTCAGGCTGCTTCAAATGTTCTGGTCAATGTTAAGATATCTATACTAGTCCTAATTCCTTTCCTGTTGCTGTTCATCTGCCTCCTGAGTTACGAGTTCTTGGGTACCAGGCCACAAAAAATTGGAACATAAAGTTATACAGATACAGCTTCCCAGGAAGTTGTAAAATCCAGGGGTATGCAAGGTAAATTCACCTGGTTACTTTCATCTGCTATAAATTTTGGAAAGGTGTTTGTGCGTTCGCTATGCATTTGGATCCTTCTTAAGATATTGTAACCAAACTTTGCATGATGGTTCCTGAGTTCAGACATCCGGTTCTCCTCAATGTTTGGATGCAATTTTGAATCAAGATAGTAGACTGAACCTTCCTAACGATACTGATTTTAACTGCAGTGGCTGAGCAGCATCAGGTACAAGTCTGCTAGTTTAACCCAAGTGTTTTAAGGAAAAAGAGCCTGGGAGAAAACAGTTATGGGATACAGAAGGCAGCCATCCTTTTAACACATACTGTTGGCATTCACAAAAAATGATAGTTTTGTGCAAGTATGGAGTTAAGGCTGGCAAGTGATATGTGAATCCCTGCCTGAGTGAGATGGTAGTATTTTGGAAATGAATAATTAGTACTTTCACAATGCATCAGCCAGTAGATGTGAATTCTCTCTAGGTTGCTGGTAATGGGGTAAGTAGAAAAACAAGAAGGGAATTGGGAAGCATACCCAATTAATCATTAAACTTGCTTTTAAGTGTTATTGGGGCATCAGACCTTTTCACTATATTGCAGACCTTCAGGGTAGAGACTGTTGTGTATGGAGGTACAAGACCCATCTTAACACATAACACCCATCTCCATTAACAAAACAAAAAACCTTGAAGCAGCAACATATCCTGAAAGAATACAGCTACCTTAAGATACACACAACCACATCTTATTTCAAGACAAAACACACACACGTAAAAATACCTGCCATATTACAACAGCAGATACGAGTAGGAAGTTTCTGGGCTGCAGAGAAGCAGTTCTTCATAAAATGGGTTTTTTATTGTATTTTTTCAGACTCCATACACTCCATATAAAAAAGCTTTACCTTCATATAATGTTTCCAGAAGCTCCCACAGGGAGAGGTAAAAGAGGCAACTACAGCTTCTTCCATACCTACTTTTTCTGGGGCAAACTTACAAACTTACTGCAAAATCCAGCAGCTTTTCTTTAAAATAGAAAGTATATGTAATTGTGGAAATGGACTGCTGGTTCAGACATTACATATCTCACGAATCTTATTAGTCCATGGTTGGTTTGGTGTCCTCAACAAATTAAGAATTACAAAAAGGTGCTTCTTACAGGGTGATCATTTTTTACATAACAGAAGGGTACTTAGTTGGATATAGCTAACACAGTGTCTCTTTTTGTGCTCTAGTTAAAGGATCTGCTGACTAGTTACATGCAGCAGAGGTTATAGTTCTGACCTCCAGTTGTAGTGCACGAGAACTCAACTTGTAAACATATGACAATGTTGGAACTTGACACAGGCTTTCAGGAGCTACCTGCTTATTTTTAAGATTACGTTTTGAATAGATATTCCCCATTTTCTTTTGCCGACTGCACAGAGTTGTGAGTCACAGCACAGCCTTGCAGAGGGCGGCATTGTCTTCTGATGTATAAGAAAGCTTGTTTGATGGAGTGCAGAAAGTTTTGAGAACATAGAAATCTCTAGTTTTCTCCTTTAGTAAGCAAGAAGTCAGCAGGTAATGGCAAGTAGAAGTTTGGATTTAAAAAAATAATAAAAAGGAGTGGTGAAGACTTGAGAAAGTTCCAAGCATACAGCTGACAGGAAGAATAGAAGACTGCTGGCTGGCTGCAACTGCCTTTAGATGGGTCTTGTTATCTTTCAGGGATGAGCACGGCTTCCACAAGATTCCCTAATCCTGTCAAAAATAACAACAAAAATAAAAACACAACTTCCTGTCATGTCAGGGCATGCATCTTTTAGCTTATGCAAGATGGCAGTAAAAAAAACTTTTCATAGAGAATCTAATGCACCTCAAGCTTCTTGGAAGTAGCTCCAGTTCTTCAATACATTTACTGCAGCGGAATCAGAAGTGGCTAGCCAATTATATGAATATCTGAGAAAAGTACTGACATAAATAGCTGGGAAAGAGTCTTTAATTACCCAACAATTCCCATCCTGCTAGCCTTCAGACCACACAAGCAAGAGAGATGAGATGCCATCTTTAAATGTTTACCTCAGCCACAAGCCTTACCAAGAGCAGGACAACAGCTTTTCAGAGATCCACTTTTTTGTCTTAAAAGCAGAAACTCCTAAGCTTTATATCAACAGGATCCACCAATAGATAGTATGGTCAGAATCCACCTGCTGCCTCTGAAGAATGACCCAGTGGTACAAGAGACACCATTTCTTTTCCTTTGTTACCTACCACCCACCATTGGAAGCTTACCAGGCATAAGCTCTGACCTACTATTTGAACATCAACATCTACAAGACCAGAGATACAAAAAAACTACAAAAAACCTGATAAGTATCTTCCAAGATATGATTAGCTATTCAAGTCTCATTCCTCAGTTGCCAGCTCTAGCACTTAACACCCCTATAAGCATGGAATCTGATTCTCTCTCCTAGAAATAGAATTTTTATACCTCAACAACATTACCATTTTCAAGTTAAGGAGTTGTGAGTTGGACAAGCAATCAAAATGAATCAAAAGTGAAGAAATCTAGGTACTTTTGATAAATAGAAGTCCCAGTTTAGAGCATTAGAAATGAGAAAGGAGATGTGTGGGGTAAGGTGGGTTACAAGCACATGGTGAAGCTGCCCCCCTTTATGGACAACTCCCTTATACTCTCCTTGTCCGCAATTAGCACCCCAGCCCCACAAATCTGATGAGTTTCCATAATTTGTTTGGTCACCTGGAGGAGCTGCGCTCTTTGCTCACGCAGTCATCGTGGGAGCTTGTATCGCCATTCCCCATCATGCTGCATGTCCTTCGCTTTTTCCTTCTATGCATCATTCCTTCCGTCTCAGAGCTAGAATCACACTAAACAAGAAATGACAGTAATAAATCCTGACTATCAAAATAGCAATTCTGATCACTGATTAGTAATAATGTCTACATTGTCTGAGGAACAGCATTATTTCATGGTGACATCTGAAGTGATTACGAGGCTCCTAGAAGGTGAGCTGTTAAGAGGCTATTATATTCCTATTTAGATGTCCAAAGATGGGGTAGAATGCAATTAAGTCCCATTTTTGAACATAATGGCTACACTTCTAGAATCTAGGCATTCCTGGAGGTGGACCCATATCAGTTGGGCTTTGGCCCAAGATTTGGAAATTAAGCCACTTCAGTATTCCTTGGTGGACTGTGCCTGGAGACTGACTTTTTCAATTCCCTACATCTTACAGTGGCATATCACATGTACAAAATTAGAAGAAGGAAAAACAAGCATAGCTCAATGGTGACTGAGTGTGCTCACTCCCCACAGAATGTTGCTTGAATGGAGGGGGGAAATGAAAAACATGATGGTTGACCCTGAATAGGAACATCCCACACTGCCACCTTTTGTGAAGATTCACTTGTTGATATTACCGACCATCAAAACCTTTTAGATCATCTGCAGGGGTTGGGGAATATAGAAACCATTTATATATGGGACCAGCACTAGTGATGCAATCATTTTTGCTAAAGGACACCACCTGAAAGTCAACACCCCCCACTCCAGAACTGTTGTCATACAACCCCACCTATGACTTACAACATGTGGCATGTCTGATGTAGTAACTTACCTCTGAATCAGAGTCTGAAGAACTGGAACTTGAAGAGCTGGACGAATCACTAGAACTATCAGAAGCAATGCCTGTTGATTCCTGTAAGTCAACAGAATCTGCTAGTGCAGCCAGCTCAGGATGTTCCTGTTTTAGGACCCTTGAAGACAAATTTTCAAGAAATATTTGTTGGCAAACAAACTAATGGATATACACGCAGATGGCAACATTATTGTACATTTTGCATCTTCAGCCCGTATGACACAGCAGACTATTTCACTAGCCAAATGCATCAGCTACAATTCTGGAGTCTGTGTTTACATGCAACTTGGAGCGTTTATTAAAAGTAATTTAACAATATTGACTGGGGTTCTCATGTACAGTATCTAGGTAAAATAAGAAATGGGATACAGATGTTCTCAATTCCCAATATGCTGCTTAAATGTGATCCAAATTCACTCAACAGTTCAAGCAGGCCTGTTCCCATCAGTGTAACCATTGCAACTTTGAGCTTGCCACCAAAAATACCAGTTGCTGGAAACAACAGGAGAGGGCTATTGCCCATATGTCCTGCTTGTAAGCGTCTCAAAAGGAATCTGAAAGGCGAAAATGAGAAACAGGATGTTGGACTAGATGGGCCTTTCCTTTTCATCAGTTCAATGGGAAGCCAGATCAGACTACTCACATATGTAATCTGAGAAATGAGTACCCACAACAGAGTGAGAATAACTTTAACTGATGCTCCTTTTTCACCATGATAATACATTTCAACTACTGAACTAGCATTTTTATTTGATAGCTGGTAATTGTAAGTTTAAACAAAGTGTTCAAATGCATTCCCTGTCTTAAACTATATGTTTAAGTTGAGTCACCTTATTGAATCTTGAAATCCAGAAGCCTAATTCTCCTTCTGGACTACATGCAAGATGTTGCTATTAGAAAGCCACAATCTTTTTCCAAAATGCAAAAACAAGTACACCTTCATCACTTCTGTCTTTCAGATATTCTGTCAAGCATCATTCCAGGCGTACGCAGGAAGCAATATTTAGCTTGTACCGCCAGCATCTGGGAAACCACAGAAGTAATGATCACATCTCTCACCTGTACCATTTTCTTGATAATTTTGGTCTTCCCCTTACTGTCTTGTGCCACACCACAGGGAAATTTGTACAGCTGGCAAAGTTCTGAGTGACAGCAATAGTTGTGTCAAGATTGAGAACTACATGCCACCAGCCACCTACAAATGCAACACCACATAAGGTTATAAACAACCAACTGAAGGAAGCACATTAACTACGCTATTTTTAAACGTAGGCTTGAAAATATGGAAGAGCATGTTTGGAAACAGGTGTATAAGAAGCTTCTTTGAAACCCATGTCTCCTGTACAATACTCATTCCAATAATGTCTTGGGATAAACACAAAGGTTTACAAATTTGGTGAAAAGTGGCAGTCACCTCTGCCTTAAAAGTGTGAGGAAAGGGGAGAAATTTTTCACCTTTCTAAAAAAGCAGTGAGAGGTTAGCAAGGCCCTCTGCAAAAGCTACTCCCCAAGTACTCTGTAATGTGCAAGAAACTCAGGGATGGGGTCTTTTCTAAATCACTTCAAGCCAGGCTTTAGAGACAACAAAAACAAGTTGAGACTTTTCCTGCTTTTATAAACAACCCCAGTTCCTAGAAAGTGGTCATATTCACACATTGTGATAAACCATGCAGTGTTCAGCATGATGTGCATGAGTTGTGTGGCTCAGACTAACGTAACCCATCCTCCCCACAGTCAAGAGGGTGACTTCAGCAGCATTTCATTTTACTTTCACTGGAACAGGAAAATGTTCTTAAAACCCTGACTAGCTTAAAAAGCGAGTTTCAGAAACCAGGGTTTGAAGCTGGCTTGTTTTGAAACCGACAACCAACTTTGTTACAAGCTGCAATCCCTGGTCTTTACAACAGGACAAGCTGAGATAAGTGAAACTGAACAATGTCAAAATCTTCCTCCCTGACATGGAGGACAGAGAAGTAGTATGTAGACCAAAGGCTTACAACCATAAAAACAATAATGAAGAACAGTATCCTACTGCATTATAAACAAACTGAAAAAGGAAAAAAACAACCTACTTTGGGAGGAAAGGCAGGGTATAAATTTATAAATAAAGCAAACCCATATATGGGAATGAAAATGAGTATTTTTGTCCCCAAATCAACCCCTGATTGACATCGATGAAGAAAATTCAGAGCGGCAGAGCATGACACTACATAAGAAGAGGAAAAGGGACTGCTTAGCAAACAGTGGATGAAATAAAAGGGTTTCCTTATACTCTGGGACTGTTCACCTGATGAGCCATCCTTCTAGGACAGCCTTCCCCAACTTGGTGTCCTCCAAATATTTTACACTACAAATCTCATCAGCCACAGCCAGCATGGCTGATGGTCAGGGCTGATCTGGACCTACTCTATATATTCTCCACAGAGAGAACATGCGATGCAGTCCAGTCCCTTGCAGATTTACCTGGAAATACGCCTCACTGGGTTCAATAGGATTTAGAGTGTTCACTTACTTGGAAGTCCCACCAAACATGGTGAGACTTGCTTCCAAATAAATCTGTGGAAGGCTGGGCTGTTAGCCACAGCATCCAATCAATATATCAAGTAAGACAGAAGATGCAATGAACATTAAATGATAAATGAAATAGAAGCACAACAGCTTGGTTTTTATTTGGGATCTTATTGTTTCAACTAAACAAAACTATTGTATTTAAACAAAACTGTTTTGTTTTTGCTTCAGTATGGTTTTAAAAGAACAAAGGAGTCACAGAAGAATGGAATTCTGTTTCCTCCACTGTTAGTGGGATACTTAATATGTAATCTATGTTGCACAGAAACTCTGTGTCAAATACCAGAGATCTATTTTTAAGCTGACTTTTTATGACGAGAATATTTATTTCCCTCACATATGAAGCTACAACTAAAGACATGATCAATTGATTACATTTACACATTTCTTATGAAAGTTATAAGCACCTAAGACAAAAACAGTTTATAAGGGAAACTGACAAGGCAACTCATGTTAACTGAAGACAGTGATATATTTCTGATACGGAATCAACAGTTCTACAAAGACAACTGACCAAAAACCCTCCAAACACAAGAGACAGAGGCCTACTCTGGTCTGGTTATTATTTGACATCTGGCTCACGTCCTAGAAGTGCGCATTTAAAAGCCAAAAACCTGATCTGGTCCACAGATCACAGAACCAGTATTTGCTACTGGGTCAGCCCCAACCTGCCAGAGACCATAATACCCATGTACTTGAGTTTCTGAAATTAAAAGTTGGAGACAGAATGAGAGAAATTATTTCCCTAAGGAACAAATTGAAATGAGGGTCCGAGTGTTTACTTCCCTGCTTCATATACCTTTTCTGGAGAGATGCAGGTTTGTACAGATGTGACAAGAGGTGCTAGGCCTTTTGTTAGAGACGAAACAAAAAAGTAATTTTAAGAAGCAAGATCAAGTGGAGTCCACTTGTCCACTTTCGTTTTCTGCTTCCATTTCACCGTGGAAGTCTCAAAGCTGACAAACTATCTCGCCTATTGTGCCAGTTAATCTCCTTGGAACTGAAAGGACATTATTCAAGGGGCTTCCTCCCACTTCCTAATCTTCAAAGCTTTAGCACATCTCCATCTCGGTTGCCTTGCTAAAGTATACATTATTTCAGGATTACCTCCCATCACATTTGCTATGCATCCTTCTTGTTCAACACACACAGCCTAACATAACAGAATCTATGAAGAACTCTTTGGACACTTTGTTTCGCATCTGTCCAGGCTTGGATACTGCACCAGAACTGTATCTTCTATAACTTCACTTCAGCACAAAACTTAATAAAAGCCCTTACCTGGTACAAAGACAGTCTCTCCTGGTTTTTGCACAATTTCCAAGGGTTTGAACTCAGAAGGCCAAGTGGGAAGCTGAGTCCTTGGATATATTACTCTGAACCAAGTGATGGCTTCATCTTGTTGGTTCCCTCCTTCCTCACGAGTCACTTTGATCAACTCTCTGGGAGTGCTGGTAGGGAAGAGGCACCAGCGTTTGTATCCTTGGACTAAGGAATTCCAGGCACTGGTTCCCAAGGGGTCAATGTGGATGCCTGTACCTGATCGAGGTGGGCCCATCACAAACCATCTGCACAGAGGGAAAAACCCAGCAGGGTTACAAACAACTCTGCTATTTTCCTTAACGTGTTTCTCAAAAGCAAGTGTTTTCTTTCCATTTCCAAAGCAGTCTGAGATAAGTTTGCTTTATCTTTTGTTTGTATTTGAGGAGAGATGAAAGCAAAGAGATGAAAGAACGATAAATATTACACTGCTCTATACAAGTTCAGTATTGCCTAGGTTAACCAGCAGCTTTCTCCAAGCTCTCCAGAGGCCTTTCCCAGCCTGCTATTCATTTAACTAGAAATTGCATTATTCCGCCTCCCATCCAAGATGAACCCTTCTTCAACCCATCTGGCTGAGTTATCCCAGAACCTGGGGAGACGTCTCCATAGAAATGTTACAAAGGCAATTAAAAGGTTGATGGCATATAAAAATTAAATTAAAATCTATGATTATGCCAGTATAATGTGAACTGCCCAAGATCTATGGATAAAGGGAAGTGTACAAATCTAATAAATAATAATAGTAAATAGTCAAAAAAAGCCTACAGAAGGCAAGTTTACCCAAATGAAGAACAGAAGTTAGAATACCTTTTGAAAAAGGAAGGTGTAAGAGACTGGGGCATTTTAATTTTATTTCTCCTACTGTATTGCAATTTGAAATTCTATGTAATGCAAATTGTAATATAGCAAAATACAGTAAAAGAAATAAAAGAAGCAACAAAAAATCAATTGGAAATCATGTAGCACTTAGCACAGTTCTGTGAGGGGAATGCTTGGGAACTAATGATCTGTACCATAATTTTGTTAGTGAAATATGTTAACATGGTATGAGTGTGAAACTGTGGAAACCCCACCCCCCAAAAAAGTAAGGAACCTGATTACCCTGAGATGTAGCTATGAAAAGTGTATATAAGCTTAGGAAAATGCACTGCAAAGAATGTAAGCCAAAACTGTGTAAATGATACACCAAAAGGGTGACAGTAGGAGTGAGGAGGAACATCTGGCATTGGCATAGGAAGTACAAGGTCATTTCCATAAAATATGGGTCTTTTACGTCTCTCCATTTCTCATTAGCTCTTCCCTATTATGTTTTTTGTCAACTTTTAGTGAAAGTTCTGAAATAAAAACAACTCTGGCGTACCCATGCTGTATATGCAGGGAAAATGGAAAATGTTGGACCCCTGCATCTGTTTAAAAATCACTGCCCTTTGCTGTTTCTATCCCGAGGCATCAAATAACCAGTTTATACCTGTAAGGTGGCCTTCTCTTCTCGCCTGCATACTTGAACAGGTCATCTGTGAAAAACTTAGGCACCCTGTAATCCTCCAAGAGTTTTCTACGCTTCGGGTGCTCTCCATAGCTGCTGTCAAATATATAGAGGGGACTGTCATCCCGCGTGGTCTCCATGTATTCAATGTAATATTTCATTTTCATCTTGACAGAGTACCCATCATTGTCCTCCCCACACTTGAATTTCTGGTTCCTGTATTTGCGTTTCAAACGCTCCAGGGTCCATTTCTCTTGAGCTGGCCATCCTGCCTGAGCATTTAAGAGGACAACCGGCTTGTAAGGCTTCTCAAAACGTTCAATAAATTCTTCCACTGACAAATGGAGTGCGTCTGCTCTATCCACATTGTCCTGAAAGATGGATAAAGTGTTCTCAATGCAGGATAATGCACATTTAACACTGCAGAATAATAGTGACCGTGTTAAGTTCCACAGAACAAGTGCAGAGCAAGCCTTATACTGAATCAACCAGTCAATAAGAAATATACATTAAGCAGTCTTTAAAATCCCGCCACCCAAAAAAATCTTCCTTAGTTCTACAAGGAGATAGACTCATCCAGGCAACCAATAGGCAGTGGATTTTATTCTGAATGCATCTGAATAATAGCACTATGTGATCTACACTTTTAAAAATATGTTTTTAAATGGCCAGATAATCTGATATGCTTAATGAAATACAAGAGATTCTAGACCTTAACTGGCACCTTCAAGGAAAAACATTGTGTATGGTAATAATTATTTTAATATAATTTCTACAACACTTTAACAGTGCAACCATATACATGCCTATTCAAACTGATTTCAGCAGGACTTACTCTCAGATAAACAAATACCGGAGGGCAGCCTCAGTGTACAAAGGAATTTAAAATATAGCAATAAAACTGACAATTACAGATCCCCCTTTAGATATGAAAGCTTCAAAACACATAAATTTTGTTCTACACTGAAAACATGCAGTTCTAAATGATTCTATTCTTATTCCTCATTAAAATGAAGCACAGCACTAACAATATCCTAATTGCTGAAAAGTATACCTGAATCATCACCATGAAACAATGAGTGAAATCAGAGGGATAGAGAAAACATTGCAACTTAATCCAAAGGCACCCAAGATTCTTGCTGCAGCTAAAAGTTCTCTGTACAAATAGTGAAGTACTTGAATGGAAATTTCCATTCCTCTTCATGCCTAAATTGCTATGCATTAAGATAAGATATTACTTTGTATTTCAACACACATCAACAGAATTCCCCCTGCCCCTACATTTATGTCACACCATAAAGATTCCAAAGTTTCAAGATAACCAAGTTATGTCAAACAGTCAGATCTGTAAACATCTGCAACACATGAAGCCTGATCATATGGAGATTTGCTCAGAAGTCCCACCAAGTTCAATGTGCAGAGGATTGCACATTAAGAGTAATTTTATGGTCCATAATATTATTGGAAACAGACTATTTTTGGTGTGCTTATGATTTGAATTTTAAATGGTTGCTTTCCACTCTGAGAGTAGAGTTACAGATACAAAAAAATTGAGACCAGAAGCCTTAGATTAATGTTTCCTTGATAACTGCCCACTGTAAAGATGACACAGGATTCTATGTTACATAAGGAAACTTGTCACCATGAGCCTTTGAAAATTGTTTCCCTTATTCAGTGTTAGAAACTCAGATATGTACACTAGGCGGCAAATAACTCCTTAAACCAGGATTACAGTCGCCCAAACAGAATGTCTAGCTGCCATTTCTGTGCCAGACAACTCAAAAGTTGTATTTTTCAGTAAGACATTTGATTCTTAAAATTCATTCTATATGTGCAGATAAATATAATGGATAGAATTCAACTGGATGTGTTGCTAGTGTGTGAAGACAGTCAAGATCCAAGGATCCCCAGGCTTGCACCTCCAGATGGCAGAGATGTCAGGTGCCATCCTGGCACCTGGGCATCTTCACTTGGTCACAACTGCTCTTGGCACCTGGCAAATTTAGAATGCTGTATACAACAAGTTCTACTTTGTGTCGCTTGTTCCAAAACTATTGAGACAAGATTTGTACAGTTTCTTGAGAATATGGAAGTTCTTGAGTTAACAACCGATTTATTTCCCCGATCTCCAGCAACAAGTGTTCTACCACTTTTCACAGCATACTCATAAGCTCACTCTCTCTGGGTCATTGTACCATATAAAATAAAGAACCATGGATGGCAGGACAGTGCCAAACAGCTTTCTGTTCCCAGGGTGTGCTCTGAAGGCACATAGCTGAAGCTATGGAGGTGTTCAGTCTGACACCGCCTGGCAACCACTTATATGCCACCTTAGGTTCCATAGTCAGAGAAAGCAGGACAAAAATGGAAGGAAATATGGAAAGAGCAGCTATTTATGCTCTTGCAAAGTACTTTTTTTAAAATGCCAATGGGAAAAACCCCAAATCTGCAGCAACAGTTGCACTGACAAGACTAAAGCCTTATCCCCATTTATGTAACAGCAGACCCCACTGAACAACACAGTAGCTTGCTTCTGAGCTGACATCTATCAGCTTGCGCCACAGAGTTAAGTGAAGCATGCAAGTGCATACAAGCAGCCTCTGGTGATTGCGGCTTCCAGTCCAGGAAAGTTCACACCACAATACACCTTAGTCTTCAAGGGATCACAAGACTTCTGCTTTCCCCATACCTGTATACATATTATATACAGTGTGTACACACACACACACACACACACACACACACACACCCTATGTGGTTTTATGATGAATCAAAAGGAAAACGGGCACGCGTTCACGGGGTGGCTGCTGTGGGTTAAGCCCCTTTGCCCCTAGGTAGGACTGGCACCCGCCTAACCTTGCCCGGTTTCACGCAGGATCCGGCCTTGAGCCTCTCCCCGACTCCCTGCGCCCCACAGCCCTTCTCCCCCTCCCCGCCCCGCCATTTTCCTGCCCCTTTTCACCTCCCCGCGCCCGCTTCACCTTGCAGGCTGCGGGGCTAAGCGGGAAGCTCTCGCAGTAGTTGTGCCGGGTCCAGTCGAGGGAGTCCTTGAGCTCCGGCCGGGCGCTCCGCTTCGCCTCGCGGATGCGCTTCTTGCTCTTGTGGTTCATGCTCCCGCTGCCGGCGCCTTCGCCGCCGTCTCCTCCTCCTCCTTCGTCCGCCGTCTCTTCAGGCTACGGATCCGCCGCGGAGACACCCCGCCCGAAGGAGCAGCGCCCCGCAGCTTCCAGAAACCTCACGCCCGCGCCTCCTCGCTCCGCCGCCAAACGCCGCTGCCTCCTCAGCCTCGCTCCAGGCATCGCTCCTTTCCATTGGCCGGCGCTTCTCGGCCCTCCCTCGCGCAGGCAGCGCCGATTGGATGACTCTGGCAGCGGAAAGAGGGCGCCGAGAGGGAAGGATTGGAGCAGGCGGAGGAAGCGGCGCCGCCTCCGCCGCCATCTTGAGAAGTCAATCGCCCACCTTCAAGGGGCTGCGTCGCCGTAGTGAAATGTGCAAAAGTTGTGGCAGGCTCTTACCATTGTTGTTGTTTTTATTTTAAAAAAACGGGAACTGCACTGCCGTTTAGGGAGGAATGGTGCATAAGATGTGGCTGGCTGGCTGGCTTGGGTCAGAAAGCTCATTCCCAATGTCAGTCTGGATTGTAAGAGGAGAGGCTGAAAGAAGAGAAACAATCACACAGCCATGTGGCACCGTGAAGACTTAATCCTAACGCATAAGGTTTTGTGGGCTCGAGATTCCTCAGATGCACCGTGAAGCGGCCTTGAGGTCACGAAAGCTTTTTCACCAATGCATGTGTTCATAAGGGGACACACACAACTCTTTGGGTGGTATTCAACTCAGGGGAGACCCACTGAAATGCAAGAACAAATTAATTTCAAGTTAATTTCAGTAGGTGTACTCTGAATAGAACTTCGTCGAATCCCACCCTTCGTTTTTGCTACACGACAGTTACCACTTCCAGGAAAGAAAGAGACGCATTAAAGGCTGCAACCATCGCTCGAGGAGATGGTTAAACAATGCATGTTGAATCATACTTAAAGTCAGTGGCTCAGCCCCAGCAAGTGTGCAAACGACTGCAGCAATTTATGGACAAAGCATGCTGGATATGCTCCGTCAGTGTGAGGTGCTTTATATTTCTTGGAAACAACATGTGGCATTCCTTATTTGCTTCCAACCCATAGACATTGCCGGACTCTGCGCAGGGATGAGGACCATGTCGCAACGTGGGTCTGATCACAGGTGCCTGATATCGTGCATCGGATGGAAGTGGGTCCCACGGAAGTTCTTTAAAAAGAACCAAGAACCAAAAACTTCCATGCATCTAAGTGGGCTCTGATCCACGAAAGCTCCTGGCCATTATCAGTCAGCTGCTCTTCGCTGTGTGTTGGTTCAGGTGTTCTGTCTCCGCATTTCACCTCATCTTATTTTTATTTTAATTCCGGAGTAGTAATGCATTAATTGAACCAACGGGGGTACTGCAGGGGAACGCCTGAGAACCATGAAGACTGAGTAAAACAAAAATTAAAAGGCGAGGGACCTCTGCTGCAGCACAAACTCCACCGTCCCGTCTGCTGCTTTTCCCTAATCCCACCCTTCTCGTAACTGGCTGCGATAGGGTGCTTGGCCGGAAGACGCCTTTAACGTTCTTGACTGCGAATGGTCCACTTACACATCAGTCCATAGCGAGTAAGATACAGCCAATGCTCAGGAAGCACCTCATGGTTGTCTGTCTATGTACCGGGAGCTTTCCTTCTTGCGGGGAAAAGGGTTCCCATGTGCGAGCCGGAATGCAAATTCAGTGTGAGGGAGTACAGGTTTGCAGGAGAGCATCAGGAGGAGGAGGAAGAAGAAAGAGATCAGCTAGTGGTGCTTATTCCTGAGGTGCTGATCCCTTATCATTTTTTAAATGCGTATTTGCAGGAAGCAGAATTTGGAACTATGCAATTTAAAGCAGAAGAAATATGGGGCAGGAGATACATATACAGAAATATATGCATCAAATGGGTCTGCATTTACTAGTAAATTGCACACCAATCATTTGGTGTTGCTTGCCACTTAGAGACATTTTAATGAAAGCCGCTTAATTTATTTTGATAGGCAAAATCACCTAAGTTGTTTTCATGTTAACTCCTAGGAGAAAACTAAGGGCAATTTTGTAGGATTTTAAAAATGTTATTTTTTGTGATAAGCTTCGTTTTAAAATAAAACGAATTGTGAAGATTAAAAGGTAGCCTTGTTATTTTAGTCCCACCGTGCAAAGGTTTGGCAGGACATTCTGTTGCAAAAGAAAAGTAATGCTTTTTTTTCAAATCTGTTGACAAGGAGGTAACAATGACGACATTTCATCTTAGTTCAGGACTATTTAAATTTCAAGTATTGATCTGAAAGTGGAAACCACTTAGGTTGCAATCTTGTGCCCACTTACATGGGCATAAATCCCATTGAACTAAATGGAGCATTCTTCTGAGTAGAGATGTACAAGACTGCACTGTTAGTACATTATGCTGATTTTTTTTCTTAGCGTTCACCAGCAGCTGGAAATCTGATGGCTCTTCCATAATGTTCCTGTGATCCATTGGCACAATTTGTTCCATTATTTGTGAATCACTGAAGTAAGGTACAGGTGATCATTTTGTAGGACAAATCAATGAATTCAGGAATTTTTTTTCTGTCTCTTTTGTATCTCAAGCTTTTATTTGCTTTGCAGATCTTTGCCACTTCTACTCTCTCACAACTAAACAAATCACAGCATATATGCACTGTCTCGACCATTTGCACACGTTTATGTATGGTTCATGCCTCAGTGATGTGCCAGACTGGGTTGAAACTTCAGCACAGTTTGCGTTTATATTTTTAAAAATAACAGGAAGAGTATGTGTGTTTGCCTGTGTATTTGTCCTTTATGCACAAGTGCTTTATAGGTAATTTGACTTCTTATCTATATGTGTTAATTTAGCAAATACAACGTATGGTTGACAAATGCTTCCATAACATATCTTTTATTTTTTTGACGTTGGCTATAACCAGTGCTTTCTTTCTGGGGGGACGCATACCCCTAAACATTTTGTGAATCTTTGTGTTTTTGTCTATTTACTGTACTGTATTTATTTCCTCCGATTTAAACTATAAAATGGTGATTTTCTTGAGTCAAAATGAGAGTACCCCTAAACATTTTTTTAGAAAAAAAGCACTGACTATAACTATGATAAAGTTACAAGAGTTAACGTTACTGGTGGAATAATAGTGGCAATGCTGACATTCTTTAAAATGTGCAGATGTTCAATGCTGCTGCTAGCCTCTTTTGTTTGAGATTGTAACAGCACTTTAGATTACATAGACTCTAATGAATCCTGGAGTCATTACACATGGTAGCATGGTAGTATTGCTTGGCCATCTAAACAAGAGTTAACGGTCTCAGTTGCTGTGTTACATCACTTTTTAAATTGGTTATGTGTCGGGTCCCTATCCTGGCAACCAGCAACCATCATTTTGCTTCACTGAATTTCACTGGCACTGTATAACTGATCAATGACAGCAACTCCTTTTATGGACACCCAGCAGAAAAAAAACAATTGTCTTCTGCAAAACAAACATGATTCCCCCTTGATCTATTACACAATTGCAGCTCTTTCTCAGTATGTGGTTTCTAATGAAAAATTCCATTACAAAAAGGAAAACTGATGAAAACTTAAAATGCACTTGTATCATGTTTCTTTAAAAGATGTTTCTGAAGCAACCATGTTTTACAGCAAGATGTCCTTTTTTCAGGTCCTTGATCCCCAATATGGCATGTACGTTTGGCCCTGTGCAGTGGTTCTGGCCCAATATGTGTGGTTTCATAGAAGACTAGTCTGCGGCAAGAGAATTTTGGAGGTGAATCATCGTAATCATTTTATTATCATCTTCATCATTATAAAATTTACCTGCCCTTTGCCAGCAGGTCCCAGTGTGGGTTACAATTAAAAAGTGAAAATAGATTAGTCACAGGAATAGGGTAGGCCCTGAAAACACACATGGAAATATAGGTTTATAGTATGAAATTATAATATTAAAATAAACTATGTTTTTAAAACATGGGTGTGACCCTTCAGATGCTATCAAGCTCTCTGCAACACAGAGGGCTTTGACAGGATCAACTCTATCCACTGGAAAATCCTCTATAGTATTCAGGAATTCCTAGTTCCATAAATCTCTGGGACATGGACCATATCAATAGCGTAGCAGACCTTGCAACTATATCTGCTTCCCCATTCAAGCTTTCCTGCTAAAAAACTGCAACAAACAAATGTAGACCAGACCACAACTGTTGACACAGTTCATTTCTGAAGGAAACGCTTAATCAAAGATCAAATAAGACCTTAGAAATCGGATTGTGCAATGAGGCTTCTAGTGAGTAAACTGCTGGTGTTTTCGTTTGTGTCATTTAGCAGTTATCGATGATCATGAGGAAGAAACACACCCAAGCTGTAGTAAAGTTCTGAACTCGTTATACGTGTATTTGGTGTTAAAAATCAGTTTTTACTCTGTTTAGATTGGAGCAGGTGTGAGTCTTCCTGGGATAGTGGCAGCAAAATGTGGAGCAGAAATTATATTGTCAGATAACGCAGAATCCCCTCGGTGTTTGGACAACTGTCGAAGAAGCTGCCAGATGAATAACCTCTCAGGAGTACATGTCATAGGACTCACCTGGGGTCATGTATCACCCAGTCTATTGGCCTTACCTCCAGTGGACATTATTTTGGGATCTGACGTTTTTTTCGAACCAGAAGGTAATTCTAAATTTTTATCTACTGCTGTGCATGTTCTGATCATCTACAGCATAGAATTTGACACCAAATTAAATTGGTGTGAATGGTGGCTACAAAAACCTGAGTAGTTCCTCAGCTCTCCAGGCCACTCCTGTCTGCCATGTGTTATCCAAATTGCTGAAGAAAATATTATTCCCCTTGATTTATATTTTTTTCTTTTACACAGAGGCTGCGGATAACAGCGCAAATGTTGAAAAACTGGTTCCACATGCAAATTCTGTGCACTGTATGTCCATAATAATGGACAGGCAGTAAAATACTAGTGATGTGGAAACTAGCAAAGGAAGTTAAAAGGAATAAAAAAGGATATTCCTTCCTTAGACTATTCTTAGAGCACTTAGACTATCATCAAAACACAAAGTGTGAGAGCTCTGCAATGACAGAAATGGTAAATCGTTGATTTAGGCACTGCAAGAGTATACTGGGATAGAGCAACTTAGAAAGTAAATGGGAGTTTTTCTTAAATTACTTAATTACTGACTCATGGAAATCTAGTGAAGTATTTATATCTAGCGAATATTTGCTTTTCATTAATATGTATCAGACTAAGCATCATTGGTCAATTATATGAAAATGAATTCATTTTCTTATATTCCAGTCTTCCTTCCAACAAGAGCAGAATGCCCAACATGTCCACAATAAAAAAAACATATGAAGCTGTTCTGGACCATTACTCATCTTGGTCAGCATTTTCTATTGCTAAAAGTCTATGTGAAAAAAGCAACTTGGTCCTACACTTTTTTTTTGATATAGTTTTGATCAGGGCCAGATTCTTAAGCAGGCTAAGAATGCAATGACCTGGGGGCCACTATTTTCATAATGCTGTGGTGGTTTTAAAAATACAGGTATTGGAACAGCAACAAAAATCCCTTCAAGCACATCAGAAATGAAAACTGTAGTTACAAAAGTATTTTGTGTGTTTGAATTTGTAGAAAAGTCCATCAAGACTGTTAGCAAAGTAGTAAAAATAAAGTTTGAGAACCACTAGTCTATAGGGCTGGAGAACCTGTGGTCCTCCAGGTGTTGCTGGACTTTTAAGTCTCATTAGCTTGGCTGTGAGGATTTGTAATCTATCCCGACTTGCTGTGGAAATCATGTAATGAAGTTTTCAAACTCTTCTCATTACCCAAGGTATTTTAATGAAGCCAAATCCCAACACCTGTCTGCGAAGTGTCTGGCCCAGTCCCCTATGAACTATAATACTGTTGATTCAATTGTTGTTCAAGTGATAGCACAATGAATTGGGCACCTGCCAGTCTTAAGGTTGTAAAATTCTGCATACTAGATGGCACCTGACACAAATAGGACAGCAACACACCTTCCTCACTCTTTCGTGTGCTTGTAATCATTTTAATTTTTACAATCTTAGGAGCTGCAAATAACCATTATCATGGCAGTACGGGAACATACACTGTGGCCTTTTATTGACATGTGGTAGAGGCAGACTATTCCACCTGCACTTTCTTCAAAAAATTAGTCCAGACCAGTAAAGGCTATGTAAAGCTACCTGATACACACGTGTGTGTGTGTACAGTGTAATATTCTTCTGCACTTGTCACATGGGAAGAGTTTATTTTTAAATGGGAATCAGATACAATGGTTGTACTTTTATTCAGCTGGATAAACAAATAATATAGTTGCAAGAGTGGGGAACCTTTGGTTCCCCAACTCCCATTAGCCTAAGCCAGTGTAGCCATGGGCCAAGGATGCGGTTGGCAGTCCCATTCACTACCCATTCTGTAGAAACTTGGTCAAGATCTGAAAAACAGACAGAACTCATGTGCAAAACTGGATGAAAGCCCCACACACTCTAAAAGAACAAAGCCTATATGAAGAGGCTTTTTAGAATAGATGTTACTACAACATACTTCTGATAACAGTGTTTATGCCATTGTACAGGAAAATATAGTGCACATAATTTACAAACTTCTACACATTTATATCCCTTCTCCAACATGGAATAAATGGCAGCTTAGGTTTTTAAAGACCAAAGTAAAAAAGGCACAAAAGTAAAATGCCACCACTTTACAGTATTATTGCATTAAATACTTCCGTTATTTCATAGACTTTGAAGATGTTATAAGTACAGTGCACTACCTAATGGAAAAGAATCCACATGCTCAGTTCTGGACTACACATCAAATCAGAAGGTATGCTTGTGAATTTCCAATTTTGGTATTTTGTTTCAAGCATTTTCACAGGGCATACTGATTGACCTTGGTCTAAAATGTGCACACTATTAGTTTATTACCATTTTTGTATTTTTACAAGGTGTTCTGTGACTTGTAACGTTACTGAGGAGCCAGTTTTAAAATACGTTGGCGATTACACAAGCCTAGGTATTAAATGAGAAAGATTCAAGTGCTGACTGGTGTTTCTTTCAGTGCTGACTGGACTATTGAAGGACTGCTTCACAAATGGGAAATGGAAAGCATCTGTGTGCCCTTGCAATCCTTTGAGGCCAACAAGGAACAACTGGCAGGCTCTACTCTTCCGGGAAGACATACTATTGAAATGCTGATCCTCACAACAAATAAAGCAACCAAGTCGGATCCTGTTACTGTTTAAAAGAGAGGTTTGCTTTGATGTGTTTTAAAATAAAAGTTATTTACCTCTAACACATTTGGGTTGGATATACTAGCAAGCTGTACATTCAGCCAGTTTACAATAGATGCTGTTTAAACAGGCATGGCCAAACTTGGCCCTCCAGATGTTTTGGGACTACCATTCCCATCATCCCTGACCACTGGTCCTGTTAGCTAGGGATGATGGGAGTTGTAGTCCCAAAACATCTGAAGGGCCACACATTTGGCCATCCCTGGTCTTAAGTAAATGGAGTTATGTGGCACCATGAGGTGGTGCTTTTCCTTGCATTTCAAGGGTTCCCCCTAGTAGTCTTCTCCCGACATTCAGCAGTGAAGTAGCAGTTGCCCCCAACATAGCTGTCAATGTACACAGCATGTTTATTAAAAGTTTTAGTGCAGCCATTCTCACATTAAGATAGCATATTCTGCTTAGTCAGTTTAGTTTCCTACTTCATGTATCCACTACCCAGAAAACACCTCCAATGACTTATGTGCAATATTCCCATCTGTGTGCTCTACTATATAGTGTGTACTGTAGAGGTACATTATTGACTCCTATCCTGCAAATCTGGAACAATTCATACAAATTTCAAAGGAAAAGTACTCCAAATGTGATTTGTTATATATAAATGAAGGTTAATACACATTAGCTACTGTTCTGAAATAGGACGACAGATTTTGTTCGCTTCTAACATACAAAGCAGAGTCAGGATATAAGAGTTCAAAAAACTGAACACCAAGTAAGTGTTTTATTAAACTACAGACACAGTGGTTATAGTATAGAATGTTGTAAGAGATACTCCAAATCAGTACTTACAGAGGAATGAATCAAATGCTTTTAACATTACATTTGTTTATATCCAAGTTCACATATGTAGATGGTCTAATTTACCATTCTGGAAAAAAATAAGGTGTGTTTACCACCAGCTAGATGTGCTCACTGTATGCTCCGTTATTTTTATGCAAGGCCCGGGTGACTGGAAGTGCAGTTGTCAGGCAATTATAATTAACTGGACAGCCATTTGTTTCTGCACGACAAGGCATCGTTACAGGAGCAATCAGGAGAAAACAGGAAACAGCCAAGCACTCTGCACTGCAACACGCCACCTTAACAGCTAACCAGCATTACTCAACTGCTACACAACTGCGCCTAGTGCACAAAAATACATAAGAGAAGAGATTAGAATTTTGTCTGATAAAAACAAATTGTTCAAAATAATTGTCAGCTGTAAAGTTTAACGTTTGACTTGTAGATACTATTTCAACGAAGTATTTGCAAATGCATTTGAATTAAAAATTTCAGAATTTGATACTAAAGGCAAAAATTGAGCATGTGGACAGCATTAAGCTATTCAGCATATCACAGCTGCATAGATCTTTAATAAACTTGAGGAAGCAAGTTAGTTATCACTTTTATTTGCAAAATCAGCACTACATGAACAAAAATGAAAATTTTACCTCACATATCCAAGCCAATAATGAAATCTGTAGTCGTTCACTTCACTAAATTACAAGAAATTTGAATAATAGCAACAAAATGGCACATAAATGTAAAAGTCTGCCATTTGAGGCTCAAAAGTAAAGTAAAAGTTAGACAGAGTGTTACAAAATAACCTTTTCAACAGCTGGTTGGTTGTGCCGGGATCTCTCCAATGGACTGGCGATTCTAACGATCGTACTTCCTCCAAGGCTTCCTTTATGTAGGTTTCTCATGTTTTTGACGTTATCTAGGTTTGAAAAAGGTATAGTTCAGCAAGGTACCCCTTTGTATGTCCTCCATATTTTATGGATGCTCTCAGATTCCTAGTAATACTGGCCTTGTCTCACTGTTTTAGAAATGTGCAATGCCCACCTCCCACCATGATACTGGATACTAATGTAGACAGCATGAGAATTTTTTGATACTGTTGAATCTCCATTATTGATGTTACATAGTGTCGGGCTAAGATTGAAGTACCCTTAACCTGAATCCAGCCCAATTCACATTAGGCATTAGTTCTTATTCAAAACCTTGAAGAATCATTAAATAGTTGTGTAACTTAACAATTCTAGGCCCACTTCCGTTGAAAAAACAGGACCAAACAATTTGAGGGAGGTTAAAGACACACTATCCATTTTCCCCACCCTACATATCCTTAGAAGCCCACAATCGTACTTTAGATAAAACTGATTTCCATTAGCTCTTGCAATTCACCTTCCACTTTTAAAAATATTGGATGCCGTTCAGCATTGTAAACACAGGACTGATTGGTCATTAACAGGATAGTGTATCTTTAACATTTAAAGACAAACCTGCTCCAATACACGCCCACAGAAACTGGTCCCTGGAGGATCAGCCAAATCAGTTAAAATCTGCAATACTGGCCAATATTCTTTAAGCAAACAGGAGACCGCAGCTTTAAAGGGGAAAATGCAGATGTTGGGTAAGAACAGTAAGAAATAGTCATTTCAGAAATAGGTTGCGTCTCAAACAATAGATATTAAAAAGCAAGCTATTAATTGCAACAAAACACATATAGTCTCTGTAAAAAATTGCATTTTATTTTATTAGCCATAAGCTAAAATGCCCTCCTCAGAAACGAACATGCCCCATTAGGATTTACTCACGCTAGAATCCTGTCTCAAGAACCCAATACCCACTAGAGTGCTACAATACAGCATGCAAATACAGTAGGCCGCCAGACACGTTACCATATTCTTAAGATGACACAGCTCCTTCTTCTTCGGGAGACTTAGGAGGGCTCTTAGAACGGGACCTCGACTTCGATTCCCTCTTTGAAACAGGCGGGGGGCTTCTTGATCTGGACCTGGACCTCGATCGGGAGCGAGATCTGGAGGCAGAAGAGGACTTGGACTTCGATCTTCTGGCAGACCTGGACTTGGAAGTGGAACGAGACCGGGATCGTGTGCGGGATCTGGACTTGGAGCGGCTGTACCGCGATCTGCTTCGGGACCTGGAGCGGCTCCTGCTTCGGGACCGGCTGCGACGTCGTCTTCTAGGACTGCGGAGAGCGGGCGGGTTAGAGGAAGGATTGAGAAGGGAGAAAAAGGGCGGATTGAATAACGGCTAGAAACTCACAATGCTATTTCCCGGCCAGATCTCGTTTATGACGCCTAAAGGGGAAAACTCCGCGTCGCCCATTCGATCCCTCGCCCTCGGGGATCACGTGGCCCAGCTATTTTCCCGCCGACCTGAGCCAAAGCGATCCGCAAAGAACACAGGCCTTTCGTTTGCCACCTCAAGTTACTCGCAACAATCACTCCCTTTACCTTCACACGCCAAAGATCCCACTTTCCATACACCCCTCCACCCGCCCAGCCTTGGCCTCCGGAGCAGCCGCGGGGCCTTCTCTCCCCCCCCCCACTCACCTCCTGCTCCGACGTCCGTAGCCTCCGCTGCCGTACCGGCGCGGAGGGGGCCCCCGGCGGCTGTGGTGGGAATCGGGCGGCCGCCCGTAGCGGGCCATCTGGACGCGCAGTTCCCGCCCGTCGAGCACGGCCCCATCCATAGCGTCCATGGCGTCCTCCGCGTCGCGCTTGTCGTGGAAGCGCACGAAGGCGAAGCCGCGGCTCTCTTTGGTGTAGCGGTCGCGGGGGATGTAGACGTCCCCGACGCGGCCGTACTTCTCGAAGACGCGCCGCAGCGTGTCCGGGGAGGTGCGGTAAGTCAGGTTGTCTACCTTCAGCGAGGTCATGCCTTCCACGTCCGGCGGCGGCCGCCCGTAACTCATAGCAGCGGGAGGGGAAAGGGGGGAAAGGGAAGGGAGGAGGGGGTGACGCCGGAGAAGCGGAGCGGTGACGGGGGTGGGAGGGGGAAGAAGGCGCGTGACGAGAGGGCTGGGAGTGAGGAGTAGCGGCCGAAGGCCTCTTCCGTTGGGGCTGCAGGTGTCGGGACCTGCGGTCGGGTCTCAAGCGCGCGGACAGGGCCTCATTCGCTCACCACCATCTCCGCGCAGCCACGAGCAAATGAGCGAGGTGCCGCCCTTCCCCGAGCACTTAAGCGCCACAAAATGGCCGCCTGTGACCCGGAAGCAAACCGCGAGACCACCCTCCCCCCTCCTACTCCCAGAGCTGGGTCGATTCAAATTAAAAATCCGTTTTCGTTTTCCCAACCGAAAAAGCCATGGAAACGCGCTGGCGGCGCAACTGGGCCGTCAAGGGAGATACTGTAAACTTAATTACAGGGTTTTGGACGCTCAGGCGCCGTTAGGTTTGAAACCCCGGAAGAGATTACACACACACGTATTATACATAAATGTCTGTTCCTGAGGACTATGCAATGTTTTTAAATTTGATGAATCAAATATGAAAACATGTTCTTTAAGATTCTGTTTATTACAAGTTGCGCGGGTTTATTTCTTTTTAAGCGTTCAAATAGCGCTTGTCGAAAAAGAGGAAGTATTGGATTCAAAATGGCGGCGAAGGGAGAGCGGAAACTGATCTTTAGGGAGGGCGCGCGCGAAATCTGTAGTACACACGTAGCGTGCACGAGAGCCTTGGACGGTTTAAGGATGTGAGGCGGGGCGATGATGTCCTTCCTGCCGCAGTGAAGAGGCGCGAACTAGGGTTGAGGGCGTGGCTACCTTTTGCCCCGCCCATTGCTATTAGTGCCGAGTTAGGCGGAGGTGGGGGACGTGTTGATAGGAGCCGTGCTGCGTTGGTCGGGGGGGGGGGAGGGGGTGGAATCAGAAAATAATAGCCCGGCAGTGTCTTTTATCAAAAGCAATCATGACACCATAAAGCAAGCTTTTTGCTAAGGGGACTGCAGATTACAACTGGTGCATTAGTGAATGTGAACAGCAAAAAAAGTAAAAGTTTGGCATTTTAAAAAACAATAGACCTGTGTTACTGTATTTTGTTCTATGGAGGTTTATAGCCATTATTACAACCTAACCTACCAAACTGTGTTCTGTACAAAAGTATTACACTGAAGTAAACAGATTTAAAGACAGGTTAATTAGTAGTGCTCCCAAATGGAATATCTTTTTATTGGGGCAATGCACTAGTGAGTTAATAAGGCACCCCTTTTGGGTTTGGCTATGAACAAAAATAGTGTTTGGCTACTTGATTCCACAAGTGAAATGTTTAGCTGACAAAATTCTGAAATATTAGAGGTCATCACTCTGATTTATGAAATGATGGTAAGATAAAGAGGTAAAGGGACCCCTGACCATTAGGTTCATTCGTGACTGACTCTGGGGTTGCAGCGCTCATCTCACTTTACTGGCCAAGGGAGCTGGCGTAGAGCTTCCGGGTCATGTGGCCAGCATGACTAAGCCGCTTCTGGCAAACCAGAGCAGCGCACGGAAACGTTTACCTTCCCGCCGGAGCGGTACCTATTTATCTACTTGCACTTTGACATGCTTTCGAACTGCTAGGTTTCGAACTGCAGGAGCAGGGATTGAGCAACGGGAGCTCACCCCATCGCAGGGATTCGAACCGCCGACCTTCTGATCGGCAAGTCCTAGGCTCTGTGGTTTAACCCACAGTGCCACCCGCATCCCTGAAATCATGGTAGAAGCATCTTAAAAACAATGCCTCCCAACCTTTTTATACACCAGCAATATCTTGCCCACATTCCAAACATACCCCTGAACCAGAATGTATCACCACCTAATCTGTTGTGCCTCATTATCACCAAAAAGCTGCATGGGAATGTGTAACGGTTAATTAAAAAAGTGGTTTCCTTGTGTGATGGAAGAATAAAGTAATAGAAATTATTACTGTGTTAACAGTACACGTTATAGCCGAGTAATTCACATTCTAGTACAGTATGGAGAAAGTAAATTAAACACTGACACGCATAACTTGAATGCCCAATTAAGTAAATGATACTTAGATATCTTACCTCTCTTTACCACTCATTCAGATTATATAAATATATGAAGCAGAAATGAATGTTTTTTAAAGGGAGTCAACAATTCCTCATTAAATGTATCATTTAAATAACCAAGCAAATCCTTTGCATGCTTGCCTTTTCTGTGTTGACTAAGAATGGAACATTCAGAACTGCATTTCCCAGAATTCATCAGGGCTTTCTTCCTTTTGGTCAGCTGACCTGACTTCTGTACTGCTCTTTAGTTCCTGTCCAGCATGAACTGAATGCTCTCTCTGCAGGAGTTCCCTTTGTCACCACGTGATTTAAAGTCTCTGGGCCAAAAACTGACTCAGAAGATATGATGAGGAAGTAAAATGTCAAAGAAGATCAGCTGGGGCAGAATGCTTCATCTTTTGGGAGAGCCTGCTGTTGTTCACTGTGTGAAAGGTAGTATTTTCATTCCTGTTGCTTGGAGATTTTTCTCTGCTATTATTTTGCTTAGCTACAGTTGTACATGATTTTCCTTTATTTGTCAGAATATATCTGTCGATGCCACAGTCAGTTTTACATATGCGCTTATTGTGGTATTTGTGTTGTCTTGACAGAATTTTTTAAAAAAGAAGCTTAAAGGCTAGTGACCCTGCCCCAACTTCAGCCGGAAAGCTTTTTGAGGAAACACAAAATGAATCCTGAGACAAAAAAACTGTTGAACATCATTGTTCTAGGAACAGCCTTTATGTTTATGTTCACTGCTTTCCAAACATGTGGAAATGTTGCGGTAAGTGAAAATCTAAGCCTACCCCTTCCTACCTTCCCCTGAATGCATCCCTTTCCTTTCTTCATGGTGCTTCAGTCTGGTTATATTGTTTTGGGGCTTCAAGCACATGTAATGTGATAACTCTAGTTTTGTTTCTTCTAATCTCTCTAGATTCAGAAATATTTCTGAAGCTATCTAGTGCTTTTAGAGAACACAGAAAATGATTAGGGCTGGAATCCTAACCTCATTGCCTGCAAGGATAATAGATCTCAATGAGCTTCCAAGTGAAAAACCATGTGATTCCCCACACTGTCCTGTGTAGCATTCAGATGATCTTTCAGAACGTAATGCTGAGGCATAATAATCTTTACTCTGTCTCTGTGTGTGTTCGTGTCTGTGTGAATGCAAGGCAGAATAATCACCAATTCTATAGCTCTGCCAGGACTGATATATACCCCCCCCCCAAATATCCCAGGAGCATCCCAGAGGCTTGGGATTCATCCCAACATTCCTCTCCAAACACCACTGGGGAGGAGCCATGTTAGTGGCCTTTTTAGTGGGAACCAGGGGAATGGTTCTGGGGGTGGATGCCACCCTCTGAGGATGGACCTCTCTCTTTGGCCAAGGAAAGGAAGATCTGCAAATTTCTATGGCCCTGGGACACCCTCCCATGGACTGTAGGATTGTATTCTTAACTGCCAGCACTTGCACATCTCTTTTCTAGAGAGAAACCCATGCCTCTCTAGATGTTGTTGGAGCACAGTTCCTATCATCCCTGACTATTAGCTATGCTGAGGCTAATGGGAGAAGGATTCTAACAACATTAGGAGGTTACCATGTTGCCCATCCCTTTGTGTGAAGTTCCGCTTTTTATCACTCCACCTCGCCCCAATCCCATGCATGAGGTTTCCTGGGTGTAAGGAGTAGAATTCAATGTAGCGCTAATGAAGCATACATACACACAACATGGTCCAGTCTCACAACAAGACACCCCCCATGTGCCCCCTAAACCAGTTCTGGGCTTTCATCCAACCCTCCAGAGCAGATTTTGGGCGGGCTGGCAGGCATTTGGGGGGAGGATGGAGGAAATTCCTGTTGTTCAATAAGATCTTGTTCCATGCATGCAACATCAATCCTGTCCTCAATAAGCAGGAGTGTGAGAGAGTTATTCCCTTCCTAGTTCCCTGTGGATTATACGTAATCAAGGACACTTCCCACTCATCAGTTAGAATGTTCCATTGTAATCTCATTAGTGTTACCTGTTCAAATGTAGGTTTCAGAATATCTGTTTGTTAAAGTAATGTGCAGTTTTGTCTTCAGGAGAAGGGGAGAGAAAAACACTCAGGGAGCTCAGAAAACCGATGTGCAAAACTCTTAACTTACTCAGGCTATCAACTTTCGTTTGCATCCTTGCTTTCTGTGTTGCAACATTAGTGATTATGAAAACCTGTGTTCACGTGCTGAATGAGTCAGTGCCTTTATCAATGAAAAGGAGTATTACAGTAGCAACTACCTAATTCAAGGTGTTGCTTTGAAGTTTAATTAGTGTTTTAATTGCTGTTACTCTGTAGTTTGATTTCTAGTTCTGTTAGGTATCTCAAGTATTTATTATTTTAAAAAATCTTTAGATACCATATTTTAATTTTTTAAAAAATTCTTTCCGTACAGCAAACTGTTATCACAAATTTAAATCACACTGATTTCCATGGCAGTGGCTATACAAGGTACTCTTTTTGTTGCTTTTGAGTCGCACTATGTACTGGGTTCAGACATAATGGAAAACAATCATTCTCCCTATCAATACCCTGAGTTCCTCCTTTTTTATTTGGAGGTCCCAAACAGAGTTTCAGAGCTAAGCATTTCAAGCTAAACAGCTAATGCAATGTGTCGGAATGCTAGTCCCCATGTGCAAAGCAGTGGAAAAAGTGCATGAAGAAAACTAGCCTTGCACCGAAGTGTCAAAAAATAGAAACCCCTCCATTTTGTCCCCTTATGTGCATGCCTCTCTTGTGGGGGAAGGGGGTGGGGGTGAGAAGGCAAGCCAGTGTCTAACTCGATATTTCCCTGTCCATTTCACTGACTCATAAGGAGTTATGTAAATAAATTGGTGATATCCTGCAAAACAAACTCTGCTCGTTACACAGAAGTTATCTGTCTCTTCCAAAGTTGAAAGTCCTTAACAAAGAATGTGTTATAAACACCCAGAAAAAAGTAAGGATTAGCCTCTGGATAAGAAGTTACAATGTGCTAACAGCATTTCAGCTTAAGATACAAATTATACATTCCTAGTTATTTTCATATCATAGTGTGAGGTAATTGCTAAAAGACAGTAACTCTAAATTATGTAAAAATGCATATACAGTGGTACCTCAGTTTAAGAACAGCCCTGTTTATGAACTATTCGGTTTACGAACTCTGCAAAACCAGAAGTAATGTCCTGGTTTGCGAACTTTAACTCGGTCTACGAACGGAAGCCGAACGGTGGAAGGGCACCAGTGGCGGGAGGCCTCATTAGGGAAAGCGTGCCTCGGTTTATGAACGGACTTCCAGAATGGATTACGTTTGTAAACTGAGGTACAACTGTATCTGCTTGTTTTGTGAAATGTATTCTGTTTCCATGATTGAGCTCTCTCAATTTATAATGTTTTGATGCAAACCATGGAAGGGAAGAACAATGAAAATGGCTAAAATAATAATTGGCATCCTTTGACTACTAATGGCTAAATCATTGGATATGTGTGAATACAACTTCCTACATGTCCTGTTTTGTGTTGTTTTTGTAGAGGGACCTAAAAATTGATTGGACTGGACCTGATTCCTTTTGAAAATCACCCTCAAGATCTGCTATTAACCAAGGATTCCCCTCCTTTTGTGTTGTGAGGTCCAACTCCTGCCTCCCACATGACTGCTTTTATCAAAAATGAAAAGATGTCGTGTTTGGCCTAGTTCTGAGCCAGATTTCCTGTTACATTGCAGATCTATGAAGGCATACAGTCCTGTGTGACATTAATTGATAGATACAGTTGAGGAAGGCAAATAATGGCCAAACTGGACATTACATAACTGACCACACTAAACCTCCTGATGTATATTTTGATCCAGTTCACACTAAATACATTACTTCTGGTAAATGAGCCACCATAGCTACTAGAGGGCCATGAAAATTTGTGTCCCGGGCTTTTTAGACTCATCTACCCATGTACTGTCTGAAACCAAAGTGGCACATTGGTTGCCATATGTGAAATAAGTTGGCATTATTTTCATCTCTCCTACCCCACTATTAATACATTTAAAAATTCTGAAATGACATTGAACGATATCCTAATATTTATTAATAATTAGTGTTACTTTCCGCAGCATGGCTGTTATTTATGGGGTGTTTTCGGCATCCAATCTTATCTCGCCTTCGGTGGTTGCCATCATAGGACCGCAATTGTCCATGTTTGTTAGTGGTATCTTTTACAGGTAAGTCAAAATATGTAAGTCCTTGATGTTTCCTTCTGGCTGTCTACCTTTTATTCATCTACCTTTGGAAGGCTTATTGTTCTCATGTGCAGCATCAGCAAGTGAGGAACTGAGGAACATGAGATAGTGGTTAGTGTGTTGACTTTGGACACAGGATGTACAAGTTAAAATCCCTGTACAACCATGAATCTCACTTGGAAGCCCTGATCAAGTCATCTTCTCACAGCTTAAATCAACCTCTTGGGGTTGCTGTGAGGCTAATATTTTAAACTGAGCTTCTTGGAGCGGAGTACAGTGTAAGAAAATAGTGGTTGTTAGATTGCATGATTGAAACAGCATATCATGATGTGCTTTAGTGATATGTAAAACTTTCAGATATATTGAGCTGCAGTATTGTTTGCAGTTGGAGTAAGAAATTGACTTTAATATAATATAAACTATTGCAGTTGTAGCATCAGCAATTTTAAAACTGAATCCCATACATTGCCATCTTTTCAGCATATATATTGCCGTTTTTATCCAGCCTTCTACTTGGAGCTTCTACACAGCCTCTGTTTTCCTTGGAATAGCAGCTGCTGGTAAGCCTTTTCTCACCACACCTTGGTTCTCGTGGAACTTTAAAGCATAGTGTAGCACTAAACTATGGTTTTAACAAAATGTGTGAATGAGGCCTTTCTGTATGCTGTTCCCCACTTTGTATCAGAAAGATCTAGGAATGTTTAGGTGGGACGTAGGTTCTTGGTAGGATCTTGAGATTGAGGCCAAGATGCCCAGAGCATATATTCTAGGCACATAATTTGCCCTTTGGAATTGTTGATTTTTTTTCCATCTTCCCCATCTTCTTTGCTTTTGAAACTCCTTTCAGTTTAAAAAGAGATGTGCTATGTAGCATGAGGATATCCTGTTTGAGACGACAAAGTCAAAAGCTCCTTTGGACATGCAGAAGAACTATGAATCCAAATTTGAATCCAAATTTTAGTGTTTCTGTTTTTAAAAAGCTCTTTAGTGTCCCCACTTCTCTAGTAATGATAGTTGTAAAGAAACATTAGAGAACTTTTATACCTGCTAGTTTGGAGCTGGAAGAAGAATGAATGAAAACAAAGTTGAATGTAAAAGATCCCCAAAATTATTCTGTTAGCAAATCTCTTGATTTCTTAAGCTCCGCCTTTAAAAATTAAAAGAAGTTTGTGATCCTTGATGTTCCAACTTAGTAGGAATCCTAAAAGCCAAGTGAGATGTTATATTAAATGTGTCACATGTTATGTGTTTCTTTTAGAATTGCTAACAGCCAGTGTGTGTGTATTATTTTTTTTAACTGTTGCATCAGGGGAAGAAAGGGCTAAACTCCATCTCCTTGGCACCATGGTCTCAACAAGTTCTCTGTGCCTCCGATTATGAATTAAGATGCAAAAGGCACAAGAACAAGTGACATGGCTAGTTTGGCTTTAAGCACGCGACAGTACGTTTGTTGCATTTTTACAGCTCAAGCTGAGAATTATCAAGTTGGTATATCTTGAAAATGAAATATTTACACAAAGCATACACTCAGGCATGGATATGGCTTATGTGAAAGGTTCCCACAGGAATTATTATTATTATTATTATTATTATTATTATTATTCCCTTAGGCTGCAAACCTAACACATTATCTAGAAAGCAAGCCCAGTTGAATTTAGAGAGATTTACTTAGGATCACCATGTTCAAAGTAGGTAGCATTATAATTAACTTGGGTTTTTTTTGCTGTGTCATTTGGAGATGCCCTGAAGTGGTACTCAAAGTCCAGATTAGAAATATGACCGTAGCTGAAGTGGCATCCACTCTGAAAGTCATACCTTATGCATCTTAAAAAGTATATATGATTCAGATTTGTTGCTGCCAGCAGCCTGTGATAAATCAGAAACTAACCCTTAGTGCCGCAGAGGCTGGCTGCGTTGCCAGCAAGTGGAGAAATGCCTAGAATACCTTCTAGTAATGTTTTATGTTATTTGGTATATATTAATTGTTGATGCTTGCAAGTGTGTAATTATTTTCACATTTTGAAGCTGGGTGATAAATGTTGTTTCACACATGGCAACAAATTCTATTTGGTATTTGAGATTTGTTGATGCTTGCAAATGTGTCATTATTTTCACATTTTGAAGATGGAGGATAAGTGTTGTTTCACACATGGCAACAAACTCAGCAAGGAGCTGCTGCCAATTCCAACCTTGTAGCATATGAAGTATGATATTTGTGTTTCAGACAGAACTTTGTTACATTCACGCTTGACATTTTTATTAGTACACTTAAAAACATCTTGGTTATAGTCCTAAAAATCTGTGAAGTGGCCCAAATAGGCATCTTAAGAATACTAACTACCCTGGGCCCACAGACACAAGACACACATAAAATGTCAGCAAATCCTAGATAACTTTCTTTCCTTGTTTACCTGTGTTCTGATTTAAATTTCAGTATTGTGGACTGCTCAGGGAAACTGTCTGACAATAAATTCCAACGAAAACACCATTGGCAGAAACAGTGGCATCTTCTGGGCATTACTACAATCCAGGTAGGAAACAAAATTATCACCCTTATATCTACCGAATACGATCTTGACCTCTCCCTACTTGTTGTTTTTTGTTGTTGTTGTTGGTAAAAAGCCAATAAATATTTTGTCTGTCTATCTACCTGGCACTTGTTAGCTTTTTTAGAGAATGCTGCACTTGTGTCATTTATCACCAAATGTCTAGTTTTATGAATTCTGTCTCTTCTGAAATATCCGTAGTTAATTGGAACAAAAAAATTGCAGTTCAGTAGCAATTCTGTGCTCACTCATTTTCTTCCAAGAAAATATGGCTAGGATTGGGTTGAATAACCGCTTCCAGACCATTTTGTGTTCCAAAATGCTTATTTAGAAATGGTCTTCTATATTGGAAGGAGTACTTTGCTCTAAGGCTGTTCTGAGTCAACATCATTTCTGTGTCATGGGAAATGATCTGCCTTGTTCCTGTAGGCTAGCACTAAGAATTTCCCATGAACTTAGCTAGTGCCCTGGCATCTGAAGGGAAGTAGTCAGAAATTCAGGGAAGGCTGCAGAGTATGCTGCCTGGCTTATGTGATCAGTCTTTTATATAAGCTTTATTCCAGCCTTTCGTGACACTAACCCACAAAACCGCTGTCGTGTTCACACCTGCATATGGTCGTCACTTGCCCCTAGAAGAGGAAAATAACCAGTTGCCTTCCAGTTCATGCAAGCTTCCTTGTCTGATTGACTGGAAGGCAATTCCTATTCATTTTTTAGACAACCTGCTTTATCTGGGAGGCACGCTGGCTTTGAAAAAAAATATTCTCATTCTTATATGTTGTCCATCTAACTGGGTTGTCCTAGCCACTCTGGGTGGCTTCTAGCAAAATATAAAAACACAACAAAACATCAAACATTAAAACCTTCCCTATACAGGGCTGCCTTCAGATGTCTTCCAAAAGTCATAGAGTTGTTTATCTGTTTGACATCTGGTGGGAGGGCATTCCACAGGGCGAGCACCACTGTCAAGAAGGCCCTCTGCCTGGTTCTCTGTAACTTCACTTCTCGCAGTGAGGGAATTGGTAGAAGGCCCTTGGAGTTGGACCTCTGTGTCTGGGCTGGGTGATGGGGGTGGAGATGCTCCCTGTTTGCTTTTTAATGAGTAGACCCCTGATTTAAATTTGTCCAACAAATGTCAAGAAGTCTTTAGAATGTTAGTTTTTAGTGTGAGTTGATATAGCGGCTAGTGGGGATTTGAATCCCCACCAGGAGGGAGTTAAAGAGTCACGGTGCCAACACTGAGAAGGTCCTGTCTATCACATGTCCCTGCCTGATGTTGTGCACAGGAAGCAGGGGCTGTGAGGTAGGTCAAGTTCCTGTGTGAGTGGGCAGTTGCCAAGGTAACTGGTCCCTAAGCTGCCAATTAATTAATTAATTAATAAGATACCGACAGCTTTATTTTTTTATTAATTAATTAAAAACATTTACAAACTGCTTAACATTTTTAAAAATCTCCAAGTGGTGTACAATATAAAACATTAATACAAAAACTCCCTATAAAACAAAGTTATAAAAGGATATAAGAATAAGTAAAACAGCAATTCAGGGAATATGAACATATAAAACAGGGCCCAATTTCATGAGTCAGGGAAAGCCTGGTCAGAAAGGTAAAGTTTTCACAAGATGTCTGAAGAAACCGATGCTTGCTGATTCATATATGGCAGAGTTTAGAGGTTTAAAGGTCATCACCAGTAGTATAAACTGAGCCCAGAAACAAGTGCCCCCCCGGAATTAACTCAAAGATCTGGTGGTGGTAGAAAATGAAGAAAGATGAGCAATGATATAAGCAGATCCTGACAAAATTCATTCTTCTTTTGGATCAGTTTTTGTGATGTAGATGTATATCACCATTGTTGGAAGCAACTTGTTGGGTCCTTTATCCAGCCAAGAAGTATTCTTGCCTTAACTTTGTTACACTTTTTGTGTGGGTGTAGCAAGAGAACAAAGAGAACAAGCTCTTTGTTATCTTATGTTGTCCAGGTATGTTCAACTATGCCTGGAAAGCCAACATAATTTAACTTTTTACAAGGAAATCCTTGGGCTTGTTTCAGCTTCACTAGGATTTGCAGTCTTCTGACAGTGTAAATTGCAGTCTGCATTTCCCCCCTTCTTTTGCGATTCAAGTAGCTTGCTTAACCAGTAATGTGCTTTCTTTTGTTCACAGTTTGTTTTTTGGAAATCTATATATATACTTTGCCTGGCAAGGGAAACTTCATATATCAGGTTGGCCTTTTTAATATATCCTTTTTTTTAAGGTAACCAGGTTGTGAATGAAATAATAAGGGGAAATTGCTAGGTTGATGAGGGGACAAACAAAATTAAAAAAGCAGTGGAGATAGCCGCAGCTTATTTTAAACAGTATTTTAAAAGTCCTTGGAGACTATTTTTAACTTCATGTGTAGCAGCATAATTGTAAACACTACAGTGCTTCCCTTCTGTTCGCTGTATTTTTGTTCCATGTGTACAGCTGGCTCGTATTCCCGTCTATGCCTTCAAACTGTGATCCTCGCTGAAACAAATCTACTTTGACATATATCTGGGTGTTGCTTAGCTTCCTCTTTTATTGACCTTGCCTTGACCCTTTGGGTCCCTTCCAACTCTACAGTTTTGTGATTATATGATTCCATGTCTCGGTGTTTTATCATTCCAACCTCAAAAAAGCACTGCCATCCTTGAACTTCCCTCCTACATTCCTCTTGCTCTGACTCCCAGATTCTGCAACTGAGCTCATGCCAGTTTTTACAAGCTTCAATAACGTTTTGCATTTATTTAGTCTGTGAATCAGATGTGATACATTAGCTAGAATTCACAGTTGATTTTGAAATTGAATAAAGCTCAGAATTAAAACACGCTACTGGCATGTGGTTCCCAGAAAGTTACTCAGAGGGAACTGGCCCTTGGGTTGAAAAAGGTTCCCCACTTCTATGGTATAGATAACTTTGGATGTAGAACTTGAGTTTCATAGATGGAGAACTTGACTAGTACATGGGAGAGTGCACCTTATTTTATATGCTGTATTTAATCACAGCACAGAAATGTCCTAGGTATAGAATGAATGGATATGCTATTGTTGGTTTATGAAGTTGACGCACACTTCTTTTTCTTTCCCAGAAAACGACCGTAGGACTGTCTTCATTGCTCTGACGGTGATTAGTCTTGTGGGGACCGTTCTGTTTTTTCTCATTAGGACCCCAGAAGAATCAAATTCAGAGGAAGAAGAAGCTGATGCCTCTACTGACAACCTCATAGAACGCACGTAAGTGTTTATGGCTATCCGACTCCTGAATCTGTATGCTTAGCCATTTCTACTCCTCTGTGAATAAGATAGATAACTAATTTGTATTACGAAGGATGGTTATGCACACTGTCCTCACAGGTCACACTATATTTTTCCATTAATCAATTTGTTTTAGGGGGGACTAGAGGAGTTTGTGGGAAAGACTCCACCTAGCAGTTCGAAAGCACGTCAAAGTACAAGTAGATAAATAGGCACTGCTCCGGCGGGAAGGTAAACGGCGTTTCCATGCGCTGCTGTGGTTCACCAGAAGGGGCTTAGTCATGCTGGCCACATGACCCGGAAGCTGTACACCGGCTCCCTCGGCCAGTAAAGCAATATGAGCGCCGCAACCCCAGAGTCGGCCACGACTGGACCCAATGGTCAGGGGTCCCTTTACCTTTAATGTGACACTAATTCAGGCTAAAGTGTGTGGCTAAAGTAAGAATTAAGTCCTTCTGATACTTTAGGAGTTACTATAGAGTGCAATAGTCATTCATCTGGGCAGCAGAAATTAACTTGGGTTTGGGTAGAAACATAATAAACAACATAATGGCCATCCATAACATAATATCAGTAAAATACAACAGTTCAGAGGCAGCTTGCTGGCTGGGGTGCAGCTGCTACACGAGCTTCTTGGCAGGTGGGTTTGCTGTTGCGTAGTGGGAGATAGAGAAGGAGTGGTGAGGAGGTCAGCAGAGTGCATATGCACCAGCAGAGCCAACCTGGCACACCTGCTGGTGTGTTTGCACTGCACTGACCTCCCTGCCACCTTACGCTTCTCCTGTTATAAGCAGTCGTGACTCACCCACCAGGAAGCGAGTGGAGTGGTTTCGCCCCAGCCGGCGAGCTCATTCTGAAATATGGCTAATAATCATAAGCAATACATAAAAAGTAGTTTGTTTCTGAACAAGTTATTTCCCATATTGGTATGGTAAAAATTTTAATCGCATTGTTGTATAAAGAATAATAATCATGACAAATTTGCCATTTGTAAATTTATTTTCTCACTTTAAATAAACGTTTGTTTTAACCAGGTCTGGCCAAAGCAACATGACAAGGGCCGTCGATGCATTTAGTAAGTAAAATCCCATGGAAGTATTAGATTTTCCAGCATGTCAAGCCATAGTCATACATCGATGCCTCACGTTAAAAGCTCACCTCCAGGTGTGTTTTTTTATAAAAAGGACAGGCAATATGCATTATTTTCCTGTGTTGTATGATGCATCTCTTCTTGCCACCCAGACACCAATGCTTTGCATTTCCCAGGACCACAGTTAAGCTTCATTGTCTGAGATTCTTACCCCTAGCGAGGAAAATATGCTTTTAATTCCCTGTGCTAGGGGTTTCTTGAAAGTTTCATCCTTAATGGAGCATGGCGGCTGTTCTCTTAAGGGAGCAGTGGATGTGTTCTCCGTGGGGTAAGGGGAATTGAAAGATGGTTTGCCTAATATTAGCATCAGGATTACTACATTCGCTGCAATGTGGTTTGTTTCAGATATGAAGTAGGCAGGAAGGGAGGCTCTTAAGGTGTCTTTTCCTGCCTAGGAAGCTGCCTTCTTCTGACCATTGATCCATCTAGCTCACTATTTTCCACCCCCACCTGAAGACCCATACCTGGATTGAACCTGGGGCCTTCTGCATACAAGCAGCTGCTCTACCAGTGAGCAATGGCCTAGGCTCATAAAGCTGGAATCTGTCACCCTTTTGTCTTCTTAAGCCCTATAGTTCTGTGTTCCTGTATGCAACTGTGAATATTAATTCAAAAGTCATCATTATGAATGTGGGAGGGGATAACATAGTTCAGCCCATTCCACCTCCCCCCACTTTAATTCAGTATCCAGCGAGGATCCTCATGGTGTGCATGTGTGTATTTTAATTGTGGCTTCTTTGCAGAAAGATCCATCAAGCTGTGTGTCACAAAAGAGATTCTGCTGCTTAGCATCACAACGGCCTATACAGGTAACTAACTGGACAGGGATAGAATCACTAGCCTTAGGAGTTTGCATGGGACTTTTCTTTGGCCCAGACTGACTTTCTTACTGCCCATCAGTCCTATCCCAAATCCATTGCTTTTGGCTGCATCATGCAAATCCCCCAAGTGCTTTTCTTTTCCTTGTATCTCCCAAAGCATTTGTTAGTCTGAGTTTCTGCTCTCATTCTGAGCCCGTGAGCCTGTGGGAGAACCATGCACAGAGCTGAGGATTTCTTTTAAAGATTTCTCTGCATCCAAAAAAGGCAATCTGCTCTTTCTAATGAACTGCCACTCATATTGCTGGCTGATGCTACTTCGGACAAAAGCCTTGGCTGCTTGGATGATTCCTTTGTACACATCTGTAGATGCTTTTTGGATTGTGGCCCTTGCCCTGCATTAAGACATTCCATTCCAGCATCTTCAGTTATCTCTTCCATCATATGTTCCTCTCTCTCTCTACCCCCGCAGCAACTTTCAGTGCTCCTCTTCCTATATCTTCCCTTTGGTAGCAGAATACTTGTGTTGCAGATTGCCATCTGGTGGTTACAGCTGAGAGTATCTGTACCTTTCATAGCCTGCAGTCTTTTTTTTTTTAAAAAAAAATCCTTTCAGATGTGAAAGGATTTCAAATTTTTGGGGCTTTAAAATGAAAGTGGAGATTTTCAGAATTTTGCATTTATTTCGATCCCATTTTTTGCGGACCTTAGTTGGCCTGATCACCACATTTTAGTATTCTTGCGTTAAACTTGGAGGCCTGTCTCAGGTTCCTTCACCAAGTTGTGTTTTGGGGGGGTTTGTCTGCAGTTCTATGGGTCGGTGGAAATTTTGGCCCATAGCAGGCTCTCAATGGGCCATGTGCCTCATTTACCTCACTTGGTTAAGATTTTTTATTATTTAATTTACGTTCTACTTTTCCTCAAAAGAAATCAAGGCATGTGGTACATATGATCCTTTTAACAATCATTATATAGAACCAGACAGCTCTGAAGTAAAATGTTTCACGAATACTTCTTGGGAGTTGTTAGTAAAGCTAACACTTAGCGTTCCATAGGTACCTTGGTTGTTGTAGCTGAATCCTGCACAAACATTCTTAAAATTTAATATCGGCGCCATTGTACTTGGAATACCTTGGTGGTTTATATGGTTGGATCCTACACAGGCATTTTTGCTACCAACTGCTTCCTCCAGATAATCAGCAATGCCACCGCTGGTCAACTTGACTTGCATTGCATAAATACAGTTATGAAAAGTTCTCCTAAAAGACCAGTGCATCATTCAGTCTACTGATATCTTTTGGCAGCTCCATGTTGCAATTCTATCTTAAACTGTAGACTTTGATAAAGCTCTAACTAGGGACTTTCTCCTTCCCTTTTGTAATATTGCTGTTTTTTTCTAGGTCTGGAATTAACGTTCTTCTCTGGAGTGTATGGGACCTGTATAGGTGCTGTAAATAAATTTGGTACTGAAGAAAAAAGTCTGATTGGACTCTCTGGTATTTTTATTGGTATTGGAGAAATATTAGGTGAGTCAAAGGAACAAAGGAAATTCCTTGATGAACGTTAGGCCTTTGGTTTATCTAGCTCAGTATTGTTGACATAGAGGCTCATAGCAGATCTCCAGGGTTTCAGACAGGCATCTGAAAAGGTGCTGGGGATTGAATCTGGGACCTCCTGCATGCAAGGCAGATGCCTTACCATTGCACTATGGCATCTCCCAAAACTGGATTTGAAATAGCAGGAAATAAATTTTGCCTACAGTTGTTTAATACATATATACCACATATGCCAAAATGGCTTCTATGTAGTTAAATGAGGTGGACCTGTTTTAAATGCTTATGATGTGCATTAATATAAACAGCTACAACAGTTTGTTTAATCCTCAGGAGCTAACTAAAACTATCCACACCAGTTTAATGCATCAGAAAGTTAAAGGGTAAAAAAAAAAGGTAAAGGAGCCCTGGATGGTAAAGTCCGGTCAAAGGTGACTGTGGGGTTGCGGTGCTCATCTCGCTTTCAGGCCGAGGGATCCTGCGTTTATCCACAGACAGCTTTCTGGGTCATGTGGCCAGCATGACTAAACCGCTTCTGGTACAACGGGACACTGTGACGGAAGTCAGAGTGCATGGAAACGCCATTTACCTTCCTGCCGCAGCAGTGCCTATTTATCTACCTGCACTGGCATGCCTTTGAACTGCTAGGTTGGCAGAAGATCAGGAAGTTAATACTTATTTATAGTGGTGATGGAGTAGCAGCAGTGTTTTGCTCATTTTAGACTATGCAAACTCTGCAGTATAGGACTTCTGACAGCCAAGGCAAGCAGCTGTTGGGTATAAAAAGCAGATTGCCTTTTTGGCCGTTGGAGCCAGCAATGTTTGTGACATAATTAGTCCTAGTTCTCAGAAATAGCAGTAAATCATTGAAGTGTACCACTTTAGACTGCAGATACAGACTTACATGAGTGAATATGTGAAAGAAAGAAAAACAACCCTTGGCCTAACAGACTAGGTTCCAGGGAGAAGGATACAAGCTTAGTCCTTTTCCTGACATGCTAGCGTTTTCTTTACAGGGATGTTTATTTAACCGAGGTGGAGGTATGGAGGAGCATGTGAGTTCCTACCCTCTTGAGGTCTCATGTGATACAGTGGTGACACAGTTTACCTCCTGATTTGCTCTTGTGAGAGGCCAGGCCACAGTTTCCACTTGTGGATCAGGTAGTGGTGCTGTGTGGGGGAGAGAGGATGGAGCGTTAGTTCGACACTTTGCCATAGTCAGTCATCTGGTGGGGGTTTGCTTCTACCCTCCCACAGTGTTGCCTGCTTTCTAGCATGTTGGACTGTGGGTAGAACCACCACCGCAAGGCATAACGCTCAGGATGGAAGTTGCCTCTGCTGGATTTTCTGGAATCCTTCCTTCCTACTCAGCCTCCCAAGCCAGAGAACACACAGTTTAGCAGGATCCTCTCATCCTTTAGTGAGGCTTTTTAGGGGTGGGATGGGATGCTGCTGAGCAGAGCAGGGGTCAAATAAGTCCATTTCCACCATTCCCTTACATGACATACTAGGGAAATGATTTAACCCTCAAACCCCGCCCTGTTTTCTTGCTCGCAATAATGATACATTCTCTATTACAGGTGGAGGAATCTTTGGCCTTCTGAGCAAAAACAACCGTTTTGGCAGGAACCCAGTGGTGATGTTAGGCATTGTGGTCCATTTTGTAGCCTTCTATTTGATTTTCTACAACATGCCAAACGATGCCCCCATCGCCTCCATCCATGGCACAGACAGCATAGCATTCATGGAACCAAGGTACGAGTTACTTTACTTCTCGTGACCAGACAGATCTGGTTTACACAGGGTGCTAAGCCAAACCATGGCTTAATATGAACAGGCAACATGTTGGTTACAGGACCAAAGATAATGGCTGAGGTGCCATTCTCCTCCTTCCCTTTCTGCTGCTGCGCTATCTGGGGCCAAGTCATGGACTGCCTTACTGTGATGGCCAAAATTGGGCTCATGGTTTCTCTTGCTCCAGACAAACCATGAACTGTAAACGTAAGATTTGCTCTTGGTTTACCACCCATGGTTTATCTGGGGAAGACAAACCATAAGCCCAGGTTTGGATGGAATGCTAAGTCAAAGAATATTTAAAACATTAAATAATACAGGCAAAGTGCCTTTGACATATTTAATTGCAATGCAGAAATGCCCGAAACGAGAATTCTCAAAATGAAGCAGCTCTTTGGTAGCAATCTGGACCTTGCCATTTTTTTCTACATTATTTCTCAATAGACTTAGACAAAAATAATATGAATGGTAGGATTGTACCTAATTTTCCATTCATAGTTGTGTATATTTTTATTAATTACAGTGTGGTTAATATTGGCATCTCTTTATTTTCAGCAAAGAAGTGGCAATTTTCTGCAGCTTCTTACTGGGTCTAGGTGATAGCTGTTTCAACACTCAACTCCTCAGTATTTTGGGATTCCTGTACTCAGAAGACAGTGCACCTGCCTTTGCAGTCTTTAAATTCATCCAGGTATTATTGGTTGCCAAATGTCAGAGCCAGACATCATATAATGAGTAGTCTAGTGAAATAATACAGTAGTTTATTCATTATGCAAACAAAGAGCTTTGTGTAAAATTGGAAGGAGTTTAAAAGTCATCTACTTTTGTCTAGGACACTGGGTAAGGCAAGAACACAACAGCCTTTTCAGTAATGCAGGATGTTTGGTTAACCAAAATACATACTACAGTCCTGTGTTTAAGCCCCAGTGAAGACACTGAAATTTAATTCTGTTTAAACATAAACATGTGTGATGTGATATATTTGTGCATGACGAAACAATGGTTAATAGAACAATTATTTTTAAAGAACAAACATTTGGAGTAGTCATAAGTGGAATACATGCATTGGTAGGTGTGCTATATAGAAACTGCTACCTTCTATCTCAATACAATGAATGATATTAATGGAACAATAGCATTCCATATCAGTATAAATTAAATTAAAATAGCTAAGTGGATAAAGTGGAAAAGATAGATGCAAAAAATGCCATGTTCCAACTCAATCTACAAGTCACTGTGATGGCTCAGCTGGTAAAGCATGAGACCCTTAATCTCTACATTGGGCAAAAGATTCCTGTATTGCAGGGGGTTGGACTAGATAACCCTCATGGTCCCTTCCAACTCTACAATTCTAGGAATCTGGGAGTCTCTACATTCCTGGATTTGGTGCAGGTCAGCCGTTTGTAGACGCAGTAAGGAATCTAGGAATTAGGAATGACCTTGGATCAGGAAGAGTCAAAGCTGAATATGAAAGGGCATTTGATGCTAAGCTGTTCACTTTGAAATAGGCAGATTGCAGGAGAGCTAAGTAAGCCAGTTAATTAGAAAAACAACTTGGACTGGGGAATTTATGTTCTGGAAATCACAAAAAGTTGGAATGTTACTAAAGCTGAATGGCACTGAAGCCAAGTTGAAATGTCACTCACACCCTTCCTCGCTTCCCTTTTCAGTCTGTCTGTGCTGCCATCGCGTACTTCTACAGCAACTACCTGCTTCTTCAGTGGCAGCTTCTGATTATGGCCGTGGTTGGGTTCTTTGGGACACTTTCCTTCTTCACCGTGGAGTGGGAGGCCCCAGCCTTTGTGGCCAAAACCACAGATTACAGCAGCATTTGATGGAGGCGGTTTCAGCGCCCCGCGACAGTATTCACATGCAGAGACACAAGCACGTGCTCCTTAGAAAAGACGTGATAGCATCTTCTGAACACAGGGAAGACTGAACTCCAAAGTTTAAAAAGCTTACCCTCCCCTTATCAACATGTTGTGATGGGTATTGCATACTACAATGTGGAATAGTAGCCTGGCCATTGGGGCAGCGAAGCCTCTTCTTAATTATTTCCACTTGCCAAGTGCCTGCATCTTACGCTTATGCCCACCTATTTTGGAGACCCTTTATTCTTTTTAATTGCATTCCTTTTTCATTTTTTACTTGACTGTCTCTGAAGCAAACAGTAGTCTTTTCAGGACACCCCCTCCCCCCCAAGTACATGAGGATATTTTTTTCACAAGATGGAAGGCCAGTTCACTTTGTGGATTTATATGGAAATCCATGGAGGGTTTCCAATGCTTTTAAAATAACCCCAGTTCCATTTTTCTCCAAATAACTCTAATGTTCTTACATTATAATGTGAATGAGCGTCGATTTTTTAAAAGAGGAGCTATATATTATGGGATAATAGCATAAGGGAATGAAATGCATTTGCACAAGCTATTTTAGCTAATTTTAGCTGAGTCTCATCAGAGGTAAAAATGATTATGTTCCAGAACCCCCATAGTCCCCGTATTCCTGTGTGCTCTGAGACTTTATATTATATTTTCTCAGGATCAAGTTTATAATGATATATGTTGCTATGAAACTCTGTAGGAAATGCACTCCAGAGACTCCCAAATACTTTACCATAGTGATCCCACAAATATTCAAATACCCTGGTGTTCTGCATGGCTTGTCACAGGCATAAAATTTCTCAGCTGCACAGGTAGGGACCTGATTAAGGAAAGTGCTGTGCTGGATTCTAGCCTCATTGTCTTACTTTACTGGCAACATCATTTGGGGAAATTTGCCACCGCAGACTTTTAATATGTTTTTTAACGCTTGCTTGGGAAGAATAAGATCTTATGAGTTTAGCATTGTCAGGATCCCAGGGAGGAACACCGCTAAGAGCAATGGCAAGAGACTCAGGGCCATTAAAAATGTTAAATCCTACAAACTGCTTACAGTGCTCTCCTGTGCATGTTTACTCAGAAGTAGGGCTTACGCCCTAGTAACTGTTACAGATTGCAGCCTTAAAATGTAAATGTAGGGAAATGTGTGAAAACCATATGTGACAATCATGGTGTCTGTGTACAGATAGTGTCTGCATGTACACAACTAGATACATTGAATTGCATACTCTGTGCTTAAAGGGATAAGTGGGAAAATGCAGGACACTAGGCCCACAACTTATACACATTTGACTTAGGTGCATTCAGCTTTATGTGCTTGGCATTTTTTTTTAAAAAAAGGGAGGGGGTATCCAGGAAAAAATACTTTGGCAATTCCACTTGCATTGCACCCAATGCGTCTTTGACTATATGCAATTTTGGCATTAGGCATGATACCTGGAACAAACCCCCTATGTAAGTTGTGGGCTTACTTGGCTGGCATCCTTGTCAGGAATTTAGTGAAATTACTATTAAATAAACTACCTGGGAGTTAATCACCTTTCCCAAGGGAATAATTTTCCAAGAGCATTGCTGAGAGTAAAGAGCTTACTGTCTGGGGCAATGGGTGAGGAATGAAAAGGATGATTCTAGGTCCTACAAACTTCTCAATGCAAAGCCTTGTTGAAACTGATTAGTTAATTTTAGTGAGGCTTGTGTAGATGTGCACAGTGAATTGTGTTCAGAACTTTTAAAATAGTTGCTGCAAGGTAACCCCATTGGGTAGTGTCACATGAACAGGAGTTTGCTTGTGCAATGGGGGAGTCTCGTGCAGAGGAAAACAATATCCTTTCCCTCTGTTTGGGGGGCTTCTCCCCTCACACTGGAGTCCTGGATGATGCAGCCTGCAGAGTGTGGTGGACCCCCTCTGGGTAGGCTTGTCAGAGGGTAGAGGGGCTGCAGGGGGAGGAAAGGAAGCTTGTGCTATCTGAGCTTCTTCAAACTGTTGGTCTGACCCCAAAGTGGAGGCTTAGGATGTCAAGGGACAAATGCCAAATGAAGCAAAAGGATTCCAGAAATAGGGCATTGGTCCCATCAGACATTGCCTGTCTCGGAGGGGAGAGACACAGCTGCCCACATACAGAACCTGGCACATCTTTTAAAAAAATCTCATTTGAGAAGAGACACCACCACCACCACCAAAGGTAATGAGTTAGTGTAATTAGATGTCGTTGGCATAAATTTTGCAATACACATGCCTTGCTGTCCCAGATTATTTCCATTCATGAAATGATTTTGTGATCAGCCATCCTAGTTTATTGTCATACTTGGAGGAAGTCCATACATTAATTGGGAATCTGAAGAGTGGAAAGGCTCCGGGGAAAGACTTTATCCCAGCAGAGTTGATTTCATCAAACCAGCACTGGTGGGCTCCGCTTCTGGCAGCACTCTTTACGGTAGTAAATAACTCGGGTAAGGTACCATATAGCTGGAAACATGCTATAATAGTTCCAATCTTTTAAGAGAGGCCACCCAAATGTACCTTCCAATTATAGGCCTATTAGCCTGCTCTCAATAATTGGGAAACTGTATGCCCGTTTCCTCAGTAGCAAACTGACAACTTTTCTAAATGAACATAATATACTATCTGAAGCCCAGGCAGCTTTTCGTGAGAACCATTCAACAACAGACCACTGTCTAATGCTGTCCTTCCTAGCTGAGAAGTATACCAGACCTCTACAGGGTAAACTCTTCGTGGCCTTTATGGATCTGAAATCAGCATTTGACTCCATCCCCAGATCCCAGCTATGGTCCAAACTGAGTCTGATTTTGGAGGACAAACGACTTCTCTTTCTTATAAAAGCCCTGTACAATGGAACCAAACTGCAGGTCCGATGCGGTCGACAGGGACAGCTATCGAACAGCATCGAGATGACTAGGGGGGTGAGACAGGGTTGTATTTTGGCCCCACATTGTTTTGTCTATTCTTAAATGACCTAGAAGAGAACTTAATGGACCCAGATGGACACATTCCAAAAATAGGAATGAGAAGGACCCCTTTGTTGTTGTATGCTGATGACGCTGCCATCATCTTGCGTTCCAGACCGGGTTTGAATTATCTGTTGAGGAAATTTTCTGATTACTGTTCTGGAAATGGTTTATCCATTAATTATGAAAAATCTAAAATTTTAGTCTTCGAAAGAAGATTCTCCCAGTCTAAATGGGTGCTGGATGGCCATAACCTTGAACAGGTAAAATACTTCAGTTACCTAGGGCTCACATTCCATCATACAGGATCTTGGAAGCACCATTGGCAAACCTCCCTTCAAAAGGCGAAGATTACAAAGCTAGCCATACATAGATTCTTCTTCACAAAGGGCGGCAAATATGTTCCAGCAGCCTTAAGGGTTTTCAACGCAAAGCCCGTTTCCCAACTCCTGTATGCAGCAAATGTCTGGCATAATGGGGACCTGCCAAAGCTAGATGGCTTTCAGGCAAAATTTATACAATCTCTGCTGCAGGTACCTCACTGTGTCCCCAACTCCGTACTTCTGTTGGAAGCTGGTGAATGCCCAATTTCAGCTAGAGCGTGGTGGGCTGCCCTAAAACATTGGCTCAGGATTTCAGTGTTTAATCTAGGGAAGGGTCTGTACCAACATTTGACCAATGAGGAATTTGTCAGCAAATGGCAGAAAACCATGGCTAAAAAAGCCACCTCTATTGGTCTGTCTCCCCCCCCAACTGTATTACCTGGGTTATGAAGGCGCCCAAAAGGTTTTAAAGCAAAGATTATGGGACAATGCACACAGTGACTTGCGATCTCGATCACACGCAGTCTGTAGTCCGCTGGCAGCAGGAGTTCAATATGGGTATGTCTTTGAGTTAACATCTTACATCAAAAACCTGACAGTACCTAACTATCGAAGGCTTTTCACCAAAGCCAGACTAAATGTCTTCCCTCTGCAGTGCTGGATGGTAGGTTGAGAGGAGTTCCCTACCAGGACAGACTTTGCTCGTGTGCTCAAGACATCGATTCCATAAATCATATTTTGTTGCATTGTGCGAAGTATGAGCAGGCCAGGGCTGAACTGATACTACCCTTGCTGGTGCCTTTCCTGGGAAAATCAGAGGCTCACTATGTCAGGTTCCTACTGGAAGACCGGACAAAAGCTAGAACATTGGCAGTGGCAAAGTTTTTATCGGTGGTTGCAAGAACAAACGAGCCCTATATTCTAAACAAAGTGCTTGATTAACCTGGAGGTAGGCTGTATGAACTCTGTATTGATTTGTAATGTTTTGTTGGGTCTCTGGACTGTAATAAAGATTGTTGTTGTTATTGTCATACTTCTGTTATTTTTTTAAAAAAACGATGACTCAAAGTATTCTCATTTTTATGGCACCAGTTTTGAGAGTATTGAGAATAGTTCCTTGTTTCATTTCTTTCTGTGATTACATCATCTGAATAAAAGTGAACCTCAACCAATACCTATATTTTGCAAATGTGCTTAGTGATTTTTTGAGTTAAATGCGTGGCGTGGATTATCTGCAAAATTCCTTGCTTTTTCTGTATGGTAGAACAATTGCGTCTTGTCTTACGGAAATAATTCATGACAGCCATGGTGGATGCCCCTCTTTCCTGATACTGGTGAAGAGTGTCCTTACCTTAGAATTCTTGCAAGCCATTTTATAACAATTGATACTGTTCAGAGGATTATTAAGAGCAAGCCATGACTGCAATCCTATATACACTTGGGAATACTTTTGCATAGGTTTCTGAGTATATGTATACCTAAAGCACACAATGTCTTTCTCTCCCCCCCCCAATTTTAAAGATTCTTATTTGTAATAATTTCAGTCTAATTATTTTTATTTAAAAGATTGCCGAGCTACCATTCAACAAAATTGTAAGGACAGCATTCAAAGATAATCTTTTTTAAAAAACAACAACAATCAAAAGACAACACAGTAGACAGAAAGTGGATAAAACCAACAGTAAGCCAGTTCATATACAGTGATACCTTGGTTCTTGAATGTAATCCGTTCTAAAAGTCCTTTCGACTTCTGAAACGTTCGAAAACCAAGGTGTAACCTCCAATTGGCACAGGCGCCCTGGAAACAATGGCTGACAGCCGCATCGCACATTCGGCTTCTGAAAAACATTCAAAAACTGGAACACTTCCGGGTTTTCAGCATTTGGGAGTTGAAATGTTCGTGTACCAAGGCGTTCGGGAACCAAGGTTCCACTGTATTTGTGCTGGAATGTGTTAACCTGACACTGGAAAGAGATATCAGTTGGTGCTAGGCCTTAGGGAGAGCATTCCATGAACAGGGTGCCACAATTAAGGCCCTTTCCCTGGTCCCCATCCACTTAGAGGAAAGAGGAAGTTTGCATTATTTGTTTTAAAGACTGAGAGTAGCTGATGGGACATGAAGAAAGCGAATATATACATGGCTAAAGTAACAAGGAGAGGAAATGCTACAAGCATAGAAGGATCTAACACACATGCAAATTTGCAAAATGTTTTTTCCTCCTATGGGTCCCTAATACTTCTGTTACTACCTAGGTTGTAAATGGGGATGTGGAAAGCAGACATTATGGCTGGGAGCTGCTCTGGCAGAACAGCAATGTGCGCTCTACTGTCTCCTAGGGACCATCTTTGCATAGATGCCTCTCACTTTTTACTGCTCCTCCCCTAGGCCCTCCACTGTCCTCTGCCACAAGCAGCTTGCTGTAAAACAGCCCCTAACAAAGGTAATGGTTGTGGCATTATGGAAATCAAAGTCATTTGCATGATTTCCTTCATGGCCCGAATCCATAGCTTCCAGCTGGCAGCCGCAATCCTTCCTAAGAAGATGGATGTCTTTGAGCCAGGCCTGTCACTTGCTGAGGCAAACATGTACCGTGCGGTGCCTGTAAAGTGGGGTCTGGGGAAGCTGCCCGGAAATAAATGATGGCCGACAGCAACTTAACGGAAACTTTGGAAGCAGGTGAGACCTGGGCATTGTTGTGCAGGCTGCAGCACACGATGGCAGAGTGATTTGCGAGTTGCGATTTTAAGGTTTCTAATGCAATAGGAGCAGGCAGCCAACAAACGCAGATGGTGCCTCAATTATCCGTAGAGTTGTGGGCTAGATCTAGAGTCCTGCTCGCCGCAACCGGTATAGGAGCACACGGGCGCAAGGACAGGGAAACACAAACCTGGAGGAATGCAAATGGGACCTGCTAGCTTTCTAACTCCGACTCTTTGGGGTCACGAAGAGTCAGACACGACTAAACGACTAAACAACAACAACAGCTTTCTAAGAGAAGTGCTGTAGTCCAGCACTACAGGCAGCTTGGAATAAGAACTTTGTGGTAAGATATTGTGTGTGTGTGTGTGTGTGTGTGTGAGAGAGAGAGAGAGAGAGAGAGAGCGCGCGCGCAGGGGTGTAGCTAGCTGCTCTGGCACCCGGAGCAGTAGGGGTGGGGTGAGCCGCCCACGGGGGCAGCAATCCGTGCACAGGGGCGGCACAGCGCAGTGAGCTGCCCACGGAGTCCGCCGGTGGACGCAAGCCCCATACTGCTGTTTCGGGCAGCGCGGGACCCCGAGCCACCGCGTCACTCCCAGGAGAGACACGTGGCTCGGGTGCGTTGCAGACCAGGCCCCACGGTAAGTGCCATTTTGTCACCACCTCAGGGATTACACCCAGGGCAGCCTACACCCCCACACCCGCTTCCTACACCCCAGAGAGAGAGGGAGGGAGGGAGAGAGAGAGATCCCTTGAGGCTTTCCCCACCCATGCTGTGTAGCCCTAGAAGGCAGAGCCGTAGCAATAACAATAACAATAACAATAACAATTTATTTATACCCCGCCCGTCTGGCTGAGTTTCCCCAGCCATTCTGGGTGGCTCCCAATCAAGTGTTAAAAACAGTACAGCATTAAATATTTAAAACTTCCCTGAACAGGGCTGCCTTCAGATGTCTTCTAAAGATAGGATAGCTGCTTATTTCCTTCACATCTGAAGGGAGGGTGTTCTACAAAGGGGCTAGCCTTTTTTTTTTTTTTTGCCCCAGGTGAAGCCTCCAGAGAGGCACCATTGATGCTCCCAGCCTGTGTATGTGTGTATGCAAAGGCCTGTGTGTGTGTGTGAAACTGGGTCTTTGACCAAGGTGAAATAAAGCCTAGTTTTGCCCCTGCCAGAAGGCATCCAGTGTTTTCTCCAAGGCAATACTTTTCAGGCTGAAGTCCAGGGCTTCGCTCAAAAAGAATGAGTAGGAGTGTCCCTAAATCAGCAAGGCTGGCTTATTGCATTTGGCAGTAAATGATGTAATTAATACACATTACCATCTAAAGAGGGGTGTCCACTGTGTCATCAATATCAATATAACAACCAGACAATTAAAAAAAAAATCACATTCCATCTTTCTCTCTTTAAACCCACAAACCCAAGTACTTCTAAAGGATTAGGCTGTCCCCCAAGTATGTAGAAGCCACACAAATCTTATTTTTGGGTAGTGGTATTTTGTTTCCAAACTGATAGGCACTCAACCTTCTTAGTTTGCTATAATAACAGGGCTTATGGCTGATTGCTTGACATGTTGAATCTCGTTATTTGAAATAAATGGCTAATCCTGTTTTTTTTGTTTTTTTAAAAAAAAGGATAATGAGAAGCAAGGCTGATTTTGTTCTCTTCCTACAAAAGGCATTTGGTCTTCAGTGTTATCTCTGAAAGGAGGAAATAAATAGAAAGGTTAGTGGTTTATGTAAGAAATTTCTCATGCTGTCATATTAAAAGGAAATCGCCATTTATGAAAGTCATTTGTTGAAATCAACTTCAATTAGGCTCCCTTTTGCTATGTGATGGTTTCTGCCTGCTGGCAATACAGTATCTTCCGTAAGTGGGGTTTTTTTTAAAATAATGATTCTGGATGAATCATTTTCTCTGCAAATTATAGGAATATAGAAATAAAAGGTGGGACCATCCAGCCCGAAACGCAAGGTACTCTTTTCTTGACTGCCATTGCAGCAGAGCAATTATTAAGGTCCTAAAATCAATCCCAGGCATCTCCATGTAGCACAAGGAGCAGATGAGGAAGCTGATTAGTCTCCTGTAGGTCCAGCACATACTCTACCCTATATAGATCATGTTGTGCCATATGCAGCATACCACAAGTAAGAAGACAACATCTAGTACATAAAGAGCCATCCATTATTATGCCAGTGCTGAAACTGATGGTCCATCTAGCCTAATAATGTCAATGATGAATGAATGAATGAATGAATAGTCTCAAACCTGACTGCCTAGAAATACCTTTCTCAGCACTGCCTCTTGGAGATGTTGCTAAGTCAATGTTGAGCGTCAGGTAATTGATCTTGTGTTCTATCTTGCCTACCCATCTGCTAAATAGAAAGTGAGTACTGTTATCAAAGGCTGAGCACATACAATAGGTTTGTTAAGGGCTGGGGGAAATTGTAACTCTCATTCCCGCCAACATTTCTCCGATGAAAATAGGATTAAATATCCTATTCAACAACAACAACAACAAAAACAACAACACTCCGCCCATCAGGTCTGGGTTGCCTCAGCCATTCTGGGCAGCTTCCAAAATATATTTAAAATGCAACAAAACATTAAACATTAAAAAACTATACAGGGCTGCCTTCCTATGTCTTCTAAAGGTTGTATATCTTCTTGACTCGGGGGGGGGGTGTCACATAATTCCATACCCTCCAACATTTCTCTGATAAAAATAGGGACGTCCTAAGGAAAAGTGGGACATTCTGGGATCAAATCAGAAACCGGGACGGCTTCTGTAAATCCGGGACTGTCCCTGGAAAATAGGGACGCTTGGAGGGTCTGTGAGGGGTAAACTACAATGCCCAGAATTCTTTGATGGAAAGAATGTGCTTTGAATGTGCTTTAAAGGTATAGTGATCTACTCCCAGTATTAAAAAAAAGCTGGCAGTCATCTACCCATTGTCATTGGAGCGAAGAGGAACATGCATGGGGTGGGAGGATTGCTGAGAGTTGTTGAGCTTTTTTTGGGAAGGGTTGCACAGAGTTTTAAAGCTTTTTTTGCAACTTTTTGTACACAATAAGGATCCCGCGATCTACCAGGATCAGCCAGGGATCTACCAGTAGATTGCAGTCTACTGGTTGGACATCCCTGGTATAGTGTGTTCACAGCCAAAGAGGCCCCTTGGCCATGTCAAAAAGAGCTATTATATGTCAACTGAGGCAGGAGCTTCTTTACTTACATACTCTGATGACCTTGTCCCAGTGAGCAGGGTTGATCAGAGGGTAATACCTTCTGAGCAAGGAATGCACTTCGTAAACATCAAGTCAGTCAGAAAGTTTAGCCAAATGAGCTTTGTCACATTCTGGGGTAGAGGAAAATACAGGGGGGAGGCAAGCCCTTTCTTCAGCCGGAACTCAGTTCTGGCACCTCTCAGGTGGGTTCCATTGCCATTGTAAGAAAACAAGGGAGGTGTTCATGGTGGGTTCCGGCACTTATTTTTCTAGAAACATAGCACTGGGGGGGGGGGGGATTTGGAATTTCAAGTATGGTGGACCCTGAGCATTAAAACAAAGCTCACCATTACCTCAGCATGGATCTCCCAGCTACTGATTTGATCCCCAACATTTCATAAGAAATTCATTGCAAGGGTGTAGAAAGACTTCTGGCTGAAATCCTAGATGTCTGAATTTCAGAGATATTGCCAGAAAGGGTTGGCGGGACTTGTCCTGATCAAGCATTAGTCTGATAGCATATGGTAATTCTTTTTTATTGTGACAGGAGGCAGATAAGTGATTATTATTAGCCTGCCTTTCTCCAATAGCGTTCAATTTTGGGTCAGCAAAAGCAGAGAGTAGCAGGATAATCCACTTCCAGTGGTTCAGGGCTCAGCCACACTTCTGCTTGTCCCTCTGCTTTCTCCCGGGAAAACTCTCTCCTTACCGCTGAATCAGAGCAAATGACAACTGGTTTTTCTGCAGATTGATGTTTGCTGTGATTCAGTGGTAAAGAGCAGGTATTCCTAGGTAAACTGGTGGGGCAAATGGAAAAGCACTTGGGGCCCTTCCCTAGAAAGCATGCTTTGGGAGGTCACATCCACACAATACAGTCATACCTCGGGTTGAAGTAGATTCGGGTTAAGCGTTTTAGGGTTGCGCTCTGCAGCGATCCGGAAGTGATGGAACGCTTTACTTCCGGGTTCGCCGCATGCGCAGACGCTCAAAATGACGTCACGCGCATGCACGGAAGCGGTGAATTATGACCTGCACATGCGCAGACGCGGGTTGCGTTCGCTTCAGGATGTGAACGGGGCTCCGGAACGGATCCTGTTTGCATCCAGAGGTACCACTGTACATTTAAAGCACTTGTATCCTACTTAGCAGTCATGGCTTCCTCCAAAGAATCTTGGGAACTGTAGTTTATTTCTCACAGAGTTGCAATAGCCAGCACTTAGGGATAGAAGAATCTGTCGGTTTTGGTTCTCTTACAGTCTTTTCAGGTCTTAAATTCAGTTCTGCACATTTCTGCAGCAATTTGCATTTTTTTAAAACAACAACAATAACTCTTTTTCGTTCAAATTCCTCCTCTTTTAGTCAATGCCTTAAAACAACAGCATATGAAATGCCAAGTTTTTGCAATATGCTCTGCCCATGGGGATCATATACTATATTCAGGAAAAACAAATCTCCACTTTTCTGAAGTCTATGAATCACTTTGTGCCTCCAAGGAGCCTTTTCAGGAATGTATTGAATCATTTTTACACAGTGTTTTTGTCCCAAATTTTACTCCAGAATTTAGGGAATGCTTTCATGATAAAGTAACATCTGAGGAAGTGCACTGTTATTTCTAAACTAAAACCACAGCACTGATCTGGTCCAGATAGATTGTCCGCAGACTTCTACAAATGAGGTAATGGTCCCACACCTTGTGGACCTATTTAATGGGATTGTTGGGAGCAATAGTGGGTGGTAATCCAAAAGCCAGGAAAAGATCCCAAACTGGTGGATTCTTATCACCCTAATTCGCTCCTCAGTCAGGGCAAGGAAATGCACCCCCAGGAGAAAAGAGTGTCTTTACCTCAGGCACTACTGTGTGTGTGTGTGTGTGTGTGTGTGTGCGCGCGCGCGCTTATGTCAGGGCAGCAAACTTTTTCTGCTCAGGGGCAACAGAATAAATACAGCCATCTTGAATGCAGAGACCAGTTGGTCCTGGAGATTGGTCCTGGCTCTTTTTCATGGCAGTGGACCAGATCACATAGTCTGTAATGTCAGCTTTCAGATTCTATCAACTTGTGCAAAAGGGAGCACAATGCTTGAATGCTACATTCCTATTTACATGCAAATTATCCCTGGATTGGCTCCTTTCCCTTGTTTTCTTTTTCATCAGGTATAACCCAACCCATCACTGTTTCCAAGGGCAGTGAGTTCCGCAGCTGTGAATGTATGGTTTTCATTCCTTTAGCTAGCTTTTATCAGGTCAACACATATGCTGCTGATCTCCAGTTTTATCACAACCTCTCACATCTCTTGCCTCCTCTGCAGTCCCAATCTGTCTCTTTGGCAAGATGAAGAGCTTGTGTCAGAAATGGACTGGATGTGTTTAAGAGGTCAAGAAAGAAGATGTCCTTTCTGAAGTGGATTGAAATCTCCAGGGCTCTTTGAAGTCTCTTGCCATTCCTTTTGAACAGATGTTGAAATAAAGGGGAAATAGATGGTTTAAAAAAATTGATATTCCTTTAGTTTTCCTAATACTTGCAAGCCCTGAATTCTCATCTCTCTCTCTCTCTCTCTCTCTCTCTCTCTCTCTCTCACACACACACACACACACAAACACACACACTTTCCTTACCAAGAAAAGAGCATTCTGTCACAAGTCTTCCCAGAGCCAAATTAATTATCCCATCCCAAGGGAATTACAGTGGTACCTCGGGTTAAGTACTTAATTCGTTCTGGAGGTCCGTTCTTAACCTGAAACTGTTTTTAACCTGAAGCACCACTTTGGCTAATGGGGCCTCCTGCTGCCCCTGCGCCACCAGAGCACGATTTCTGTTCTTATCCTGAAGCAAAGTTCTTAACCTGAGCACTATTTCTGGGTTAGTGGAGTCTGTAACCTGAAGCGTATGTAACCTGAAGCGTATGTAACCTGAGGTACCACTGTACTCTTCATCCTGCTTTATGTTTTATTCATTGGTGTAAACATGTCAGTTCCTCCTACTCAAAACCTGACAGAACAACCATGATGGGGCCTTGGCTAGTCTCATTGTATTCTGAAGCATCTGTCTAAAGCACGGACCTGACACTCATCTCTTGCTTGTTGCAAAAGTAGTCAGTGTGAAACACACCACGGGGAAAAGGCAGATTTGCTTTAATTGACTGGGGTTTTTGACAGAGAGCAGCATCTCGTAAGGTTGAGATCTAAGAGACAAAATGAAGACAACACCCCCCCTCCCCACTGACTACAAACCTGCAATCCTCGGACCGCATCATTTTCCTAAATTGAATGGCATTATTCCCATATCGTTGATTTTAGGGTAGGTTTTCAATTTTTCCTTCTGAGGGTTTGTCAGATATTTCCCCGCACAGGGTTCTGCTTCCCTAAGAAGAAAGGGAAGCTTAAGGGAAGAGCCGTAGCTCAGGATGCAGAAAGTCCCACTTGCAAACTCTGCCACCTCCAGATGGGACTGGGAAAGACCCGAGAGAGATGGTGTCAGTCAGTGTAGACAGCGGTGAATTGGATGGATCCAGTGGTTTGACTCAGGGTAAAGCATCTTGCTATGTTTGTGTGTTCCGCTGTTGCAGGCCCGGGGACAAAGTGGACAGTTTTAAGGACCATAAGAAAGGAGAGAGGCAGGGGTCTTGAAGTTGCCCATCAGTAGACAACACTCAACAGTGGACTGTGCAAGCACACAGGGCTGCCCCATCCATTTGATGCACTCTTACACCACTTTAACAGTCATGGCTCCCCCACAAGGAATATGGGAATTGTATAGGGTTCTGGCAAAATACAGGGCTGGGCGAAGTGGGGTGGTTGGACGATTTTTTTAAAAAAATATCTGGTGCTGAAGCAACTTCAAAGCAATTCATTAAAATCTACTGCAGCCTAATAGGATGGCCCCTCTGAAATTTGTCACAGACACACACATTTGGAGAGGATCCCTAACTTGGCAGAGAGAGGGAGAAGATCTGAAATACAGGACAAAACTGAAACGATACAGGATGTAGCATTTTACATTGAAATATGGGACAATCCTATACAGTGGTACCTCGGGTTACATACGCTTCAGGTTACAGACTCCGCTAACCCAGAAATAGTACCTCGGGTTAAGAACATTGCTTCAGGGTGAGAACAGAAAATCGTGCTCTGGCGGCGCAGCAGCAGGAGGAGGCCCCATTAGCTAAAGTGGTGCTTCAGGTTAAGAACAGTTTCAGGTTAAGAATGGACCTCCAGAATGAATTACCGTAAGTTCTTAACCCAAGGTACCACTGTATTATATAGGACAGGCAGCAACCCTAGCATAGTTTGCTAAGGGTGCTGGGAATGGTGCTGGGTCTCTAAGCAACTCTCAGCTCCCTGAAGAAACAACTGTTCCCATAATTCTTTGCAGGACAGCATGGAGAGGGGAAGTGATGACCATGGCATAAGAGTGTTTTAAATGGATGGGGTGGATAGGATAGTCTTCCCCGCGCTATGGTGAGAGATGCATTTGTAGTTCTATCTTAGGGTTGCCATATTTCAAAAAGTAAAAACCATATTTTGTTAGGAAGACCTCAAAATTGTTCAGCTTTTTAAAAAGGAAACCACCAAAATTGTTCAGCTTTTTTAAGGAAAGCCCCCAAATTGTTGAGCCAGGAGAAAGTACTGCCTTTTGGAAATCCGCCCCCCCCAATCGATTTTGCCTTTGAAATCCCAGGAAATTCCTATTCTATCTGAATCGTAGTGGCTATTGCTAAACTGGCATCTGCACATATAAATTAGTGCATGCAAACTGTTGCTTTGTTATTGTGTGTGTGATACATTTAATTTTGGGTCGTCCCCCCCCCGCAAGTGGCTTATGGACACACCCAGTGTTGAGCAGGACAGAGCTACAAAGTTGAACAAAGCAAGCTTCTCATTTAGAGCTTGGGGGGGGCACAAAAGCAGCCACATGGGCAGTACAACTGACACATGACAAGAAAAAATCCAGCAGGTGAAGTTTTTTTCTTTCTCTCCCCATTCCGCTCCCCAATAATCACTGCCAGGGGGAAAAAAAACCAAAACCCAGCTGCCAGCTCTTGCTGGCTCCCTCCTATTTTTATGCCTTCTATTGGCAGCTGAAGAGGCTATTTATCTGGAAAAGCATTTGCAGGCAACTGCTGCATTGTTTCTCATTTTAGCTCACTTAGCTGACAAACGGCTCGACTCTCTGCTGGCTTTGTCATTGTTTTGTAATTTTAGTGCCGTATTTGTTTTATTCGTGTGTTTTATATTTTTTTTTTAAAAACCCACCAAAGTGGGAGGGAAAGGTGACTTGAACATCTTATAAATACAGTAGTACCTCGAGTTACAGACGCTTCAGGTTACAGACTCTGCTAACCCAGAAATAGTACCTCAGGTTAAGAACTTTACCTCAGGATGAGAACAGAAATCGCGCGGCGGCAGCGGGAGACCCCATTAGCTAAAGTCGTACCTCAGGTTAAGAACAGTTTCAGATTAAGAATGGACCTCCAGAATGAATTAAGTTCTTAACCCGAGGTACCACTGTACAACTGTTGCATTTATGCATTTTATAGACCAACATCATGCTCCTCATCATGCAGCCAGAATGGCACCACCCATGAGAAGGAGGTACGTATTGGAGAATCCCAAGATTTGTACAACCATCTTTTTTGTGGGCAGATCTGGGATTTGAACTCTGAAGCTGTTAAGGCTTCGATGCGCAACTGTTACCATAAGTTCCAAATTTCCAAAATGAAAACAATGGCAACGAAAAAGTTTAAGTGCGTCCCCCCCCCCCCCCGCAACAGAATGGTATCTTTGGTGTATTAACATGGAAGCTCTTGGGCTGAAAAGAACTTTGTGCTCTTCCTTCAATAGCATCAGAAAGGCAGCTGTTTTAGCAACATCCATAGAATCGGAGTGTTAGAAATGACTTTAAAAGCCATCTAGTCGAACCGCAGTGCAGGAAATCTGCTACTACGGCACCTATGATAGGTGGCACCCAGTGTCTAATAAAGGGCATTACCTTTCAAGGGAAAGAACAGAGATTTAATAAAAGCCAGGTGATTGGCTGTGTTTGCTGCATTGAAGGGAGTTGGACTAGATGACACTTGGGGTCCCTTCCAACTCTATAATTCTATTATTAATCAGCTAAAATCTGTAATTTTACAGATTGGCCTTGGGAATACCAGTAACCTGTAGAATGCTGGTTTGGTTCTAAAACCTATATATTTATTTATATATAGTAGACGTTAAGAATTTGAGATGTATGTAATGAACGAAAATGAAAAATGAATAAAAATGTTAAAATAAAATAAAATAAATAAAACCTAGCTGATGGTGGTTCAGGATGCAAATTGCACAGTATGTCTCCCATATGTAAATGGAAGTACTGTGTACTGCAATTCAAGAGCAGGCTTGAGCACATAAGAATAGGCATGGGCTGTTTTATTCAGTTTGTGGACTCTTGCAAGCGGAAATATATCCTCGGTTATGGTCAGGCATTTGCTGCCTGGATTGACATGAACAGCACAAACCTGGACAGGATATACGACCTAAAGTATATTTATGCCTTGACTGGTGGCTTTTGGTAGCATTATTTCACATGGCTCACTGCGTTCTCTTTCATTCTATTCAAATAAATATTCATTAAGTCCTGTAGTTGCAAGTAGCACTCTTTATGCAATTCATGTGCGACATTTGCTATGATTATTTCCTTCTTGTGCCTAGAAATACAGCCAGGAATGCTTTCATGCAGCCACCTCTTTTTCTTACTTAAAATCCCTGCTCAAAATCTAGCTTTTCCATGAAGAGAACAGGGGACTTGGGAGGAATCTAGACACATACAAAAAAGGCTGTGAAAACTCTTTAAAAACAAACAAACACGTTTTAAAATATATATTGAATTTGCCATAAGCTCACAATCGCCATCTACTGTCATGTTTGTATAATGCACTTAAAACACACTTAAAACGTTATATTTGCAGCTTTATAGCTGAGTCCTTGGTGGTGTGTTAGATTCCACCCATAGTTAGAATTGCACTGTTAGTCCCCACATCATGAAAAGCCTCAGAAACTAGTGTGGTGTAGTGGTTAGAGTGTTGCACTAGGCCCTGAGAGACCAGGATTCAAATCATGGCTTACTCAGTCTCAGCCTAACCTACCTCACAGGGTTAGAATCATAGAATCATAGAATCTTACGAGTTGGAAGGGACCCAAGGGTCATCTAGTCCAACCCTCTGCCGTGCAGGAATCTCAGCTAAAGCATCCCTGACAGGTGGCCATCCAACCTCTGCTTAAAAACTTACAAGGGAGGAGAGAGTCCACCACCTCTCATGGGTTCCACTGCTGAACAGCTCTTACTGTCAGAAAGTTTTTTTTCCGAATGTTTAGTCGGAATCTCCTTTGTTGTAACTTGAAGCCATTGGTTTGAGTCCTACCCTCCAGAGCAGGAGGAAACAAACATGTTCCCTCTTCCACGTGACAGCCCTTAAGATACAGTGGTACCTCAGGTTACAGATGCTTCAGGTTAC